AGTTGTCTCGAGTAGTTAGGGACCTAGTACAATTTGGCCTCAAAGAGAGTGTCACTGAAGAACCACGCTATGAAGAACTTGCCCATCATTTTGTAAATAAGATCACCCAGATTCACTCTGACTTAGACACCATAGTTGTTACAGCTCTGGTGGATGTAACTTTGGCTTCAGCTTGTTGAGTTGATGAATCTTTTTTCAACTTGTGCAGTCTGAGGATGTGGACAAGATCCTTGAAGTAGTGAGAGCCACCACGTGTGCTCTAGACTCCTATACTTCCTGGCTTGTGAAACAGGCCAGAGGAGGACTGGTGGACTCAGTCAGGGATAGTGATTAATGCTTCCATATATCAGGGCAGCGTCTCTGCAGGCCTCAAGGAAACCTAGACCCCATTGCCCTTGACAACTACAGACCAGTCTACAATCTCCCATTTCTGGGGAGGTATTGGAGCCTGTGGTGGCTTCTCAACTCCAAAGGTTCCTGGATGAATCAGATTATATAGATCCAAGTCAGTCTGGTTTGAGGACTGGTTATGGGACAGATAACTTTGGTTGCCTTGGAGGATGACCTACCAGAGAATTGGACTGAGGGAGAGTGTCTTTGTTGTATCTCCTGAAACTTTCAGTGGCTGTTGATACCATCAATCATGGTATCCTTCTGAGTCAACTGTCAGGGGTGGAGCTTGGAGGTATTGTTCTTTCAGGAGCTTTGTTTCTTCTTGGAGGGATGGTGGCAAAAGGTGGTACTGAGGAACACCTGTTCAGCTCCTTGGCCACTAGCTTTTGGGATCCTTCAGGGTTCAGTTATGTTCTTCATGTTATTTAACATCTACATAAAACCACTGGAAGAGGTATTCTGGAATTTTGGAGAGTGGTGCTATCTGTACCCAGACAGCACCCAACTCTACTAGTCCTTTTCACCTAATTCCAAGAAAGTAGTTCCTATGCTAAATTGGTACCAGGCAACTGCAATGGACTTTATGAGGCAAACAAATTGATGCTGAATCCAGGCAAGCAGAGGTGCTCCTGGTCAGTTGAAGGACAGATCTGGGAACAGGGATTGAGCCTGTGCGAGATAGTGTCACATTCGACCTGAAAACACAGGTTCACGGTTTGGGAGTATTCAGGATTTGGATCTGAACCTGCAAGCTCAGGTATCAGAAGTGACCAGGAGTGCTTGTGCACAGATAAAGCTAATGCGCCAACTGCCCCCATTCCCAAAGAAGTCAGATCTGGTACATACCTTGGTTACATTCTGGTTGGGCTACTTTCAAGGGTGCTCTACATGAGGCTCCCTTGAAAAGTGCTCAGAAACTTCAGTTAGTTCAAAGAACAGCAGTCAGACTGCTAATGGGGACTGGCTACAGGGAGCATGCAACTCTGCTATTGCAAGTTCCACTGGCTGCCAACATGTTTCCGGGCACAGTTTAAAATGCTAGTTTTGACATATAAAGCCCTAAGTAGTTTAGATCCAAATAATTTGAAGGACCCTCTCTCTCTGCCTCTCTCTACAAATGTGTCAGATATCTATGATCATCTGGAGAGGACCTTCTCTCTGGCCCACCACCCACTCAAATACTTTTGGTGGGAACAAGGGAGAAGGCCTTTTCGGTGACTGCTCTGACTTTGGAACTCCTTCTCAAGAAAGACCAGGATGGCTCCATCCCTGCTTTCCTTCTGAAAGAAGCTAAAGACATTTCTGTGCCAGCAGGCATTTGGGGATGGACGCGGATGAATATTCTGCTGGAGAAGTTGTGGGTGAGACAGCCAGTTTTAAGAATAATTTTAAATGTATTTTTTGCATTTTAATTGTATTTTAACTTTAGATCCACATAGAAATATTTAATTATTTTTCTTGTATTTGTTTTATTATAAATTATTAGATTGTGTGGTTGTTATCTGCCTTAAGTCTCAATGAGGAGAAAGGTGGGATATAAATAAAGTTAATAACATAATAAAAACACTTTTGAAATGCAGTTTTGACACCCTTTGGTTGTGCTGACAGGAGGAAAGAGCGAGAAGAGAAGCAGTGTGGTCTGGTCTGCATCTTTAAAATCTGTTTGGTAATGAGTTGAAATGAGAAGGATGTTGAGGTTTCATAACTATGGGGCACCATATGGTTAATAGCTGTTCATAGTGCTCAGTTTGAAGTGTTGGAGTTGTTAGTTTGTTGTAAATCAGAGGTGAGGAGGCTGGGACTCAACCACAGTGCACTAAGAGAAAAAGGCACATACAAGATTCAGCTCCACACACCACAATCTAACTTGAGAATATAAGTGTCAGACTTGGCTTTCAGCATCTGACTGACAACAACTGAAAATACTCTGAGGAAAATTTTGAGGCTGTTATTTTAAGCAAAAGCCTAATGGCTTCTGACTTTGTGTCGTTGTTATGGGCCTTCAAGTTCATTCTGATTTATGGAGTTTTCTTGACAAGATTTATTTGGAGAAGGTTTGCTGAGAGAATGACTTGTCCAAAATCAATCAGAGAATTTTCAAGACTGAGCAGCGATTCAAAGCCTTGTCTCTGGAAGTTCTCACCCAACAATCCCAAATAGAGTCTTGTATTGATTGAGCATTACTAGGCACTTGGTAACTCTATGGGTTTTGTTGTTTCAGTCTTGGTGGACAAATTATAGACAAGTTGCATGATGGTACTTTCTGTACCTTAAACTTATTCATTTATGCAGCTCTGCAAGTTGTATACATGGCACCAATCTACTCCTCAGGGTGATTTTGGAAATGAAAGGGGGAAAAAGAACAGTTTTATGCAGGTAGGAAATATGGCAGAATTTAGAAAGGTGTGTGGGAAGTCGGCATAGTCCAGAGGACAGAATTCTTATGCTGAACCACGATTTAATGTTGCAGTTACAAGCATTCGGGTTGATTCTAACTTACCATAGCTTTTTCTTGGCAGGATGTATTTGGGCTCAGCCTTCTCTAAATCTGAGAAAGTGAGCCTTGATTAGGGTCATGTAGTGGGTTTTCCATGGCTAGGCAGATATAAAAAACCTAGTCTTCCAGAGTCCTTTGGGTGTCAGAATAGGTGTAGTCATTTGAGCTATGATTTTGGATAAGTTCGACTTAGGCTTGCCCTAAATCACAAATTAATTTAAGACACGGAAAAACTAGAATTCCCAGAGTACCAGACTGTTGCTGAAATTACTAAAACAATGTAAAACGGTACTGAACTGTCTACTAAAATTTAAAAGGTTTGGAGCAAAACATGTCTACTGAAAAATTCTGTTGACTTTAGTTGGATGTACTTCCTTCAGGAGGCTTCACACAACCCATTGATGCTCATAAGCTTACTACATAAAGTAAGGTGTTTTACATAGTTTCCTAAAATGGTTATAGCATGGGTGTGACAAACTTAATTTGGCTATTAGCAACCATGAATTTCATGATATAAATATGTGAGCGGAAGTCATAGGGAGGAGGAAGCAAGCTTGTTTTCTGCTGCCCTGGAGACTAGGATGTAGAACAATGGCCTCAAATTACAGGAAAGGAGATTCCACCTGAATATTAGGAAGAACTTCCTGTGAGAACTGTTCAGCAATGGAACTCTCTGCCTTAGAGTGTGGTGGAGGCTTCTTCTTCGGACGCTTTTAAACAGGCTGAATGGCGAATCTGTCAGGGGAGATTTGAATGAGATTTTCCAGCTGCTTGGAGGTTGGACTAGATGCCACACAAGGTCTCTGTCAGAAATATTAAAAATTAACTGGGTATTTTTAATTACAAAAATGTGAGTCAAGCACTGAAAGGGTTAAATGGATGCAATGACTCAGCAAAAGTTGCAGTTGAATATAAGCAGGTGTGTCTATAGCTTAGTATGCCTTAGTGTTAGTTGCCCTCAGTCTGAGAGAGGCCTCAGTGTGAGAGGCCTCAGTATGAGAAGGCTCCAGTGTTAGTAGGCCTCAGTGTGTGTGAAGGCTTTGGTGAGAGAAGCCCCAGGTTGAAGGCCTCGTCTGTAAAGCTTCAGTGTGAAGGCTTCTGTGTGTAAAGCTTCTGTGTAAGTTCAGTGTATGATGAGAAGACAGGAAAGCTTGGAGAAGACAATGATGCTGGGGAAAGTGGAAGGAAAAAGGAAAAGGAGCAGACAAAGGGCAAGATGGATGGTATCCTTGAAAGCTTGACTTTGAAGGAATTGGGGGTGGCCACGGCCAACAGAAAGCTCTGGCATGGGCTGGTCCATGAGGTCACAAAGAGTCGGAAGCGACTGAACGAATAAACAACAACACGTTTAGTGTGAGAAGAGGGTCTGTGAGATTGAAGCTTTTTGTCTGCATGAGAAAAAAAGCCCAGTGTGGAAGCAAAGAATGAAGAATAACTTTATTAGTGTTATGGAAACCTTGTTCTTGTAAATATTTGATTTTGCTATAAAGAAAAGCCTCCTAAGGAAGAGATAACATTGGTCTGTGTTTTTCTTCTTCTTTTTATCGCTTTTGGCTACTGGTGCTGGGTCATGTTGCTGCTAATAGGTTACTCTGCTGTACATTTATGAGGAGGGTCTTTTGTTAATAAGCCCACTCACCCAACAGTCTGTTCCAACTCTATGATTCTATGACACTGGCTCATTATGCACCCAGACTGCATTGCCCATCTCTCCTAGGAAGTGCAGCTGTCTGCTCTTCCATTCCAGAACCAGTGTATTTCCTTCTTCCTTCCAGAAGAAATGTTGGGGAAATTAAGGGGTTCTGGATCTACTGGATCCATAGTTTTGCTGAATATGCCTTGCCGATACCATTGCTGGTAACCCAAAAGTGAAGAGGAAAGACCTTTGGGGGGGGGGGGGGGATTCCATGACAGCAAATGAGAGCTTTTTGACGATGAGTCTCCTCCTTGTCTGCCTATGGATCTCCCTCATTACACATGGGAGAAATAGAATTGTACAATCTGGGAGACCCTTGCCAGGATCCACAAGATCAGATTTAAGATCAGGGTATAGATGATACTGCCTGTTCCGTATGCTAGAAATAAATATATTGGCTTAAAATAAATAAAATTTTATTTTAAAACAGTGAATTCAAAATATAACTAATTGAACAACTCAATAATGCAAACAAGAAAGAATTAATTACAACATTCAGAACTGCATTTGAGAAACATTTCTTTTGCAACGAAGAAGTTTCCAGAGCTCCACCCAGTCCCCTTATTTTAACTTTTTTCGGAAAGAGTATTATCTCCATTAGGTGGCTGTGTTTGATCAGCTCTCTGAAGAATGAATTTTGTATCCTACAGATAGAAAAGAAAGAAACAACATTAGAAAGATGTTATGATATAACTACTTTACTGCTGTGTACTGAACGAAGTTGTCCCACCATTCAACTGAAAAATCCACTTAATCTATGGAATATATATTGTTTGCTTGCTTATACTAAACTTATATTATCTATACCTAACTTATGTTATCTATACCTAACTTATGTTATCTATATTATCTTTAGGTAAAGCTCACTTTTTAAAAATTTTCTTAGGTTGTGGAAAACTGGCATTGGGGTCATTCCTTGGAATACGCTAATGAGGACGGGTTTTCAAATTGTCTTATATAATGATAAAATATATTTGAGAGTCTTTCATTGTCCATATTAATATAATTATAGGATATTTTACACCTGCTTTCAAAACTGACACTCATAATTAATATAATTTATAATGGAACTATAAAGAAAATTGTTATAGAAATAGTTTTCCAAGGACATAATTCACATTATTTCAAAATTTATATGGAAGCTTAAAGCAAAATAATGATGAATCACATTAATAACTTATGATGTTATCTTACCTAAATTCTGTCTTATCTATATTTCAAACCAAGAAATAGTTTGTCCACCCATAACAATGTAACTTTTGAAACAAAACAATACAAAACAAAACAGGTTGTGTGTCCAACAACCAACCCAAACTCTACCTTTGCTGGTTCCCACTTTAAAAGTTGATATTTGTGAAGCAAATGCTATCATTTCAACCCTTTAAGTACAACCATCAATGCGCTCCATTTGCTCAACCCAACCATATGGCTGACCCTGACCCAAGGGAGTTTTCCATCTGTCCCGTAAATTGTCTGCAAAAAAACAAACAAGTAAACAAACAAACCTACAAACAAAGATTCTCCAGCTGAATTTGGGTTCTCTCTCTGTCTGGTCAATTTGTCAGGACACAGAACCAAAAGGAGAGAAACATGCAATACTGCAGAAGGCTAGACAATTTGTGGGAAAGGCCAGGTTGACAAAGGGATAAGGAATATGAATGGCAGAAGGGGAAGGTCACAAGGATTGCAGCTAGAAGGGTAGTAGGCATTGAGAAGCACAATGTCACAGTCTCTTACCTTACGCTGGGGTGTCTAGGATCCTAAGTGAAGAAGATGGGGTTTGAGGCAAGGTTTAGTATTCAAAGGGGAAGGTAATGAATAATAAGGTTAATCTAATAAGGTTAAGAATAATAAGGTTAATCTGGACACAAATGGCTAGGCCAGGGATGTACTATTTTGTCACGGGAAGTTTACAAACCACAAGACTCAACAGGAGGAACAGAAAAGACTCAACAAATTTCGAGTGAAATTTTCTGTTGCAAAGGGAGAGAGAATAAGTTCATGAACAATGAGGGGAAGGGACATTTTTCATTCCTCTTAGAGTTTGGGATTACAGCTTCCAATACTGCTTATAGCAGTTTGAAGATTTTGGTGGTAATATTTTCAAGCTCTGAAGAACAGTTAAAAATAAGTTATTTAATAAAATAAATAATGCCATTGATTATATAACGATGAAATGAAATTATATCATTACACTCAGGACAAAATAAGTAAAATTTATTGACTGGTTGAGTGATCCATCTATCAAGCTTCCATCCAACTTTTCTGCTAAAAATGGCACCACTTTCTCCTGTAACCAAACCATTAAAGGAATATAACACAAGTCAAACTGAACAACTGGAATGAGCCCAACACCAGACAAATCAAAGTTGTACTTAGCAATCTTCTCCAAATGTCTGTCTTTAGGAAGCACCCAAATTTAAGTGCACACCTCTTCTGTTATATTGAAGTAAATATATTAATAGTTAGCAATACCATGAGATTTTCCTTAAAATCTAAATTATATAAGAAAACAATATACAATTGAGTCTATATTGCAATACAGGCAGTCTCCAAGTTACAAACAACATTCAAATTACATGCAACTCACAGTTAAGAAAGGGGGTGAGAAAACAGAAAATTAGAGAAATTTGCCCCTCAGAAGGGAAATTCACTCCTGAAAGAATTATCATGGGGAAAAAGGCGCCTCCACTGAAGCTTTATCACCAATCCTTGTTTCTACAACAAGCCAAATGTTTCAAAATCCATTTGTCATAGATACAAAAAGTGCGATTAAATCTTCTGAACAGTGGCACAGAACATAAAACAAATACTAAGTGAGTGTTAACCTTTCCCTTTGGTATCCAAAATGGAAACAATTGTCTGGAGCTACACTTAAAAATGTACCTGTTCTGACTTACATACAAATTCAACTTACCATATATACTCGAATATAAGCCGAGTTTTTCAGTCCTTTATTTAGGCTGAAAAAGCCCCCCTCGGATTATACTCAAGTCAAGGTTATTTATTATTTTACTCTGTTATTACCATTATTTTATTACATTTATTATTTTACTTTATTATTAGTATTATTATTATTATTATTACATTTATTATTTTACTCTATTATTATTACATTTATTATTTTACTCTGTTATTACTGTTATAACTACATTTCCATTATTTTACTCTATTATTATTATTATTACATTTATTATTTTACTCATTATTATTGGAAGGATACATAAGCACATTTATATTGGAGAAGGTTAGAATAATGGTTTAATCAGAGGTAGACAGTCTTATCTTAAATTACACTTTTATGTAAATATTCAGAAAAATTTAACCTATCAATGTCTCAATTAATGTAATTATATTTTTATTTTGAAACTTACCAGTAGATGCTTCATTTCCCACTCTCAGCTTATACTCAAGTCAATATGTTTTGTCAGTTTTTTGTGGTAAAATTAGGTGCCTCGGCTTATATTCAGGTCGGCTTATACTCAAGTATATATGGAAAGAACTAACCTACAGAAACTATTTTGTTCATAACCTGGAGACTGCCTGCATGTATAAGTATTTCCATTAAAAAATAAGATGCATAAAAACTTTGACAATAACAATGAAAACACATACTGTGTCCCCCCCTCCCCCAAGTCAGATATTTTAGTTTGAATAGTTTCTGCTAATATGATTTTTTTTCATGATACATTTATACACAACCTGATATTAACTTTTCAATGATATATCAGCATTTCCAGAAAAGTTCAAAGCTGTGTTGAAACTGATACTCAGTGTGTGGAGAGAATTTAGAAGTTTTTTCTAATTCAATATTGTCCACAAAACCCACATCATTGGTCATTGGAGTCCAAAAAAGGACAGACTCTACTTAAACAAAAAGGAAAGTAAGAACAAGTAGTGGTGTGTGTGTGTATAGGTAGGTAGGTAGGTAGGTAGATAGATAGATAGATAGATAGATAGATAGATAGATAACAATACAATGGGTTCAGGAATTGAGAAAGGGATGAAATTCTGGGTTTAGGGTTTGCATTTCGCCACTGTATGTTCAGAAGCAATAAGTCTGTTTTTTAAAGTATGTCTGTAAAATAAAAAGGTTTTGTGGGTGTGAAAGACGAATATGACAGGGAGATTTACAAGTAAGGGATGTGTCATATGTGCAGGAACATGGGATATATGGAACATGAGTGAGTGAAACAGAAATGTGTGGGCTTGCGAAATAGTGACCTGCGTCATGAAGCACATGTAGGCTGGGTGAGCTTATCATCCTGACAATGTCTCATACCACAATCTATTGATAATATGAGATATTCTGCTCCTAAAAAAATGTAACAAGCATATGGTATTTAGAGAAAAAAACAAAACAAAAACATGACCGTAATTCAGAAGTGAAGGAAATGTGCTTCAAAGAAAAATCCCACTTTGAGGAACTGGCCATTAACACTGAAAAACTGAAATGACTTTGAGGTGACTCATCTCTTCTTCAATACACTTCTTGAAGGGATGAAGTAATTGGTGTCAGAGTAATGGTTTTTAAACTGGGCTTCTGGGAAACCTGGATTTCTTTGAAGATCTTTATCGAGGTTTTTTCTCAATGGAAATATTACCAGGGAGGGCAAACTTTTTATGATACCGTGCTACCTCTACTTTATCTCTGTATCACAGCAGTAATACTGCTAAAATCATAATGGAGTGACATCAGTGGTGAAAAAATAATAATGTAGGTTCAACAAAATTTGCTTACAAATCTAAGGAGATCCTAGGCAAAATACTTTTTCACTTAGGCCATGGACTGATTTATCTCTCAGTCTCACAGCTGAAGTTCCTTCCTTGGAAGCTTTTAAACAGAGACTGGATGGCCATCTGTTGACAGTGCTTTTTGTGCTTTTTCTGCATGACAGAGGGTTGGACTAGATGGCTTGTGTGGTCTCTTCCAACTCTATAATTCTAATGGTAATGTGAATTGGGTTGTAAACAGTTTCGACTCCAAATCCAGCAGTGGTTTACTGTTTATATATGGACATGGGCCTATCGTGTAAGCCAGCCACTAATAAGAAGCAACTGCATTTTCTTCTAATCTAAAGAGAATCAGAATACATAACTGAAACAGAAGCATGACTTGTCACTGACAGACTCTGGAAAAAGGAAACCCAAACTAATTCAGCTCATTGAAGAAAATCAGAGGTACGTTAGACTTTAATTACAAACATGCCACGCAGAGACTGAAACATGTCCATGTATGGACGTGCCAAGGGATTTGAATTACTGTTCAACTGTAGAAAAGGCCTGATAGGATGACTAATAAGTTCTGAACACTTTGAGAAACTCCAGTGCAAAATGGGACTTAAGTGGTATATGAATAGCTGAGAGGAGATTTTTGAGTAAGCAATCTTTAAATGCAACTATAACAGTAGTCCTCAACCTGTGGGTCCCCAGATGTTTTGGCCTTCAACTCCCAGAAATCCTAACAGCTGGTAAACTGGCTGGGATTTCTGGGAGTTGTAGGCCAAAACACCTGGAGACCCACAGGGTGAGAACCACTGAACTATAAGAAGACAAACAATGTGTAAATTCTATTGTGATGTAAATGCGTTTTTGTGTGTGTGCTCCCCTTCCTACTTATTTCCTTATAGATTTTTTCTTTGTCATGACCAGTTACAAGACTAGCTGTTGCTCTATCAAAATAGCGGGAGCTTTTGGTTCAAATTGGCATATTCTTTCCCGCACTGCTGCTGAGCCTGTCTCTCTACACCTGAATGAGGTTGTGAGCAAACTACTTTACATACACTTTTATAAAGACCCTGGTTCTTTTATCTTTGTTCTATATGGCTGTTGTGAGTGACAGGTGGCTATTTACTACCTAAATTCTATTTACCATAAAGTATTCTGCTAGAGAAATATTAGGAAATATCTATCAAATGCCCAGTAAACAGGCATTTGTGGTAGGCCAATGCTCAGCTCAGTGGGTTTCAGGCTTGCTTAGGTACCCGCACTCCATCCACAAAGAGACAACAAGGTGCATTACTCAGCAACATGCAAAATTCTCCCGATTCTATCAGCTTCACAAGCGGCAATGCTTCAACCTTACAAACCACACCCTAGCACTGCTGAATTTATCTTACAAGAGATCTTTCAGTAACACAGTTCTGTGAGGTTTGTTTTTGTTTTGACTCCTCTTAAAAGAGAACAAATCTTTCTTACATTGTGTATTATTTAATGTGGTTTGGTTGGGGGGGGGGGAGCACTTTTACTCTGTAACAGGTTGTAAGGATGTGGTGCTCTAGACTCTAATTCAAAGACAAAGCTTAGCAAGTTATCCCTAGCATTACATTTATTGCTCTTTTGATATTTCACTATCCTAATTAGGTATTTCCAATCTTGGCCACAATAGATTCATTCAAATTAAAGAAAAGTCATGATCCCACCCCAGCAGAAAAGCCTTGAATCGAAATTAGATTGACCTAAGAGTGAAGAGATGGAAGTCATATTCATAGAGTCTTGATCCTGATTAAATATAGCTCCATTAAACATGGCATAGGGGTTTGCATCTCCTCTAGCAACAGGCCATACTTTTGTAGGGATTTCTAACTCATAGCTCTTTTAAATATTTTCTAGAAGTAGAAAGAACGTAAACATTTTATGATAGAGGGAGATATATTCCTTACTAAGCGATACATATTTGTTCCCCAAATGATCCAATCTGCATCTCTATCTTTGATGGGACCAAGCAATGTGGGATAAAGAAAGCATGAGTGAGTCTTCCTTTTCCCCTTTTTCTAGAAATGAGGGCCTTATATAATTTCGTTGGTCTATAGCAAAAACTTGAAAATATCCCAGTGAAGGCACAGATCTTGCAAATGATCGAATATTATTTGATTCCCATGCACGTGATCCCCCATTTTACTCAGCTGGAGCAGCTTATTAAAACCTTCTTTGGAGAGGATTATTGCTTCAAGCCCTGAGAAGTTTTTGAACACACTGTATTGTGCCTCCCCTGGATGGTAACATGTCTACAGGTAGAATCAGCCCCTTTTCGCCCACATTAGACTAACCTAGGTCTTAAATATTGATTCTAAAATTAGGTAATTTACTTTCCAAAAGCTTCATTCTGACGGTGGATGAGTCTAAAGTTGAATTCAAGAATTGTGACATTCCTGGAAGATCCCATTATTCATGGTGTAGAATCAAAATCTTAATTCGTTTTCTTAATCTGTCATGTGATGTCGCTTCACTTAGTACGGTGACATAAGCAGCATTTACTTCAAATCAGATACCATTGGACTTGTCTGTCCAATTCTCTTCTGAGTGTCAAAAAGTCTTCCTTTTTTGGCCATTTAAAAAGATATATGTTGCCAACATGTCCATATTTTAGTGTCATCCTTATCTGTATCACTTTTCCCCTTCTTCCTTACTCAATTATTGGCTATGATGGCCAACGTGACCTTGTTTTGTTTACTATCCATCTATGCTTCTGTGGTAATTTCCCGTGATAGATGTGCCAATTCAAGAAGAAAATACAAAACATTCACAGAATCCTAGCTCAAAGGTGGACAACTGTAGTCTTCCACACGCTGTTGGACTTTGAGTCCCATCTTCCATCACAGGCTATTCTAGCTAGGGCTTATGAGAGTCACAGTAATCCAGCAGCATCTACGGAGACACAGTTGTCCACTCCTCTAGTTAACATTTCCTCTTCATTGACCGCAGAAAAACTGTACATTGGAAGGGTACATTCATTCTAAAGCATTATGTACTTTTGCATAATAAAAAATACTCCAGATGCCACGGCAAGAGACACTTACATGAAGTTTGTACACCTGGCAGCTCTTAACTAACTCTTGAATGAAGGGATGTTTCAAGAGGAGTGATACTTTGATCGGCTGCAGATCTTCAGAGCCAAGATCCTTGTATACCTTAATGAAGTTCTTTAAAGAGGAATACCAATGACTTACTTTATTAGGGAAATGGAAAATTTAAAAGCAACAGATAGACATGCTGATACAAAAGACAGAAATGAACAATGGGTTGTTGTAGATTTTTTAGGCTGTATGGCCATGCTCTAGAAGCATTCTCTCCTGACGTTTCACCTGTATCTATGGCAGGCATCGTCAGAGGTTGTGAGGTCCTCTCACAACCTCTGAGAATGCCTGTCATAGATACAGGCGAAACATCAGGAGAGAATGCTTCTAGAACATGGCCATACAGCCCAAAAAATCAACAACAACCCAGTGATTCTGGCCATGAAAGCCTTCAACAATACAGAAATGAACAATCTTTACTGCCTGAAGGTTTGGACTACAGTTTGGTACAAAACTAAGTGCTCTTTCTTTTATTTATACAATAGTTAGCAATGTATAACACATTAAAAAATCCCATATTTAACCATACTGATATTCACTTTTTCTCATATAATATCAGAACTACAACTTCCAGAAATCCATTAGGCATGCTGGCTGGGGAATTCTAGGATTTTACTTTATCCCCTCGGGACAGTGGTTCCCAACTTTTGGGCCTCCAGGTGTTTTGGACTTCAATTTCCAGAAATTCCAGCCACTTACCACTTGGGAGGCTGAAAGATTGGGAACCACTGCCTCGGGAAGACTCAGGCTGAAAAGGGAATACGGTATGGCCCCCATACACATGGAACTGATAGTTACAGTTTTACCAACTGCATCTGACAATATATACAACCTCTAGCAATTTTCTAGTTCCACCAGGTGATACTATGGTATGCTTCTGCTGCAAGTTACCATGGAGTTGCCCTGGAGAACCAAGAAAATTTTGTGAGAGGATCCTTCTCTAGGGACGTTCTAGGTCCTTCCAGGGTGACCCTATGTTAACTTGCAATGGAACTTGTCCATTTCAATAGGATTCACTATTATCCTTACTTTCCTTTTTCCATAGCAAGTTCAAGAAAGTATCCCCCATGGATATGGGAATCCTACTCTATAAAATTATTTGAAATAAATTAAATGAATACATCTATCTTTAACGGAGATATGGCTCATAGTTTTACTGGCAAAGAAAATAAGTCAGCTATCTGTTTTAGTAGCATTAGTTCTGCAGGTCCTCCAGGTTTTATTTATGGTGCTATCTTGGTCATGAAAAATAGTGTCAGCACTTGGACTATTCATTAATATCCCTGAGCAGCAGCAGAACTATTAAGACTGAGGGTGAATTCCACATTCTGCAGTAATGGATTGGAGACACCAGAGGGTTTTTGTGTGTGGCTCCAATGATATCTAAGTGGTTCAGTAATCTTCAGACCTGAGCATTACTACTGTTAGAGTAGTGCAGCACATGCTTTGTTAGCACAAAATCTAGGTTCAATACTCAGCATTTGCATGTAGGGATGGGAGGGAATCTTCCAGAAATTCTGGAGAGCTGCTACCAGTCAAAATTACTGAGTTAAATGGAACAATAGTCAGATTCAGTATAAGGTCAGTTCCCAAATTCCAAAAGAAATGCAAGTACTATTGACTAGTTAACTAACCTCATAATTGTCCTTTGGCATCAGATAGTTACTGAATCTGTGGTTGTCAGCAGCTTTGTTTGTTTCATACTTGAACACTCTAAGCAGAGTATCTAGAGATATTTCTCCTTCCTTGGCGAAAGAATGAGCCTCATCCTCTTTCTCTTTGTCTTCTTCCTCCTCTTCACCTTCTTCACCAGCCTCCTCCTCCTCTGGCTCATCATGGGAAGAAGCCGTGATCAGCCGTTCAGCAGAAGGAGTGAACTAGGGAAGAGGAGCAGATAGTATCACAGCAGTTTCTGGATTGCTTACCAATTGATTAAGGTGGATATCTCACACCATAGCTAAGGCACCCCTATTAGACCAGTTTGAAAGATGCAGCCTAATAAACAAGTTGTACTGCTTCAGAAAAGCTCCTACTAGGTGCCTATTTACTTTTGAGGAAACTGATTCTGATTTAATGACTATTGCTGTTTTGTTCCTTTTGGTCCATCCCTCATCAGCCGTGATGGATAGCTATGCTGGTTGAGGGATTCTGGGAATGCAGCCTCTAAAAGGAACATTTCCAAGCTCTGTTGTACTCCCATACTTATTTTCTCTCTGTGTAAATGCTATAACCCTCCAGTTCTATCAGAGAAACTTAGTACAACCAGGAAACAATTAACAATTTCTTTAAAGGTTTCCGATGATTTTGACTAAATCGTAACATAAACTAAATACAATTCTGTCCCTATTATTCATACTTATTCCTCCTTTTCTCTATGAGACCTATGCCTGCAAGTTGATTAGATGTGTAGAGATTCCTAAAGCTTTGTCTGTACTGGGAAGGAACTCAAGAACTGTCCTTTTGCAATGCTAATGAGAAATCAGATAAAATTCTGCTATTTTATATATATATATATATATATATATATATATATATATATATATATATATAAAATTATTTTTTCATGTAATAGTAAAATAACACAATAGGAAAATGCTCTAAAGATAGCAGTTGCGTCAGACATTACAGAGACTACTACCTATAAGATATACAGGCCACATTCAATGCTATATAGAGCTCACAACCAGGAAGATTTTACTTAAAGGCACAGGTTTTAATTGAAACCCCACATAACCTTTCATAGCTACTCATTAAAGATAGAGTAGCATTTTACTAGTCAACACAGGACAGATTGATTGTTTTAAAGACTCAAACAGATCTGGAGCAGGGGAGTTTTAGGACAGAAAAAAGCAGAATTGATGACAGTAACATCATCTGGAATCTCCAGAAAAAGCAAGCAAATGAAAGACAGCAATCTGAGATGGATGTGTTAGTGTGGAGACAATCCAGAATATGAAACAAACCATTGTGAACAGTTAAGAGCAAGTCTGAAGAGCTACCACTGTGCGTTTATTTTTGCCTGGAACAGTGACAGCTAAATTAGTTCTAAGTAGAAAGACTGAAAGAGCCTAAAAATCTTCCTTGTCATTAGCCAACCGATATTAAATTATTGTCCTCATCCAAAACAACACTTTTACCACACGAGGAATATTAGGGAATTTGTCTTTTTCCCTTTGGATGTTTGTTTCTGTTGCGACACTGAGGGCCCGGTAGACTCCATCAACAGAATCCGGGTGGGATGCAAAATAAAGGAGCATATCCACGTAGTTCAGCTGCGGAGGGTCTTTTTCAGGATCGGCAAACAAAGTGAAGAAAAACTGTACAAAGGAAACAGGTTGAAGTGAATTAATGTACCAGATATTTCATTTAATTGCTTTCAACAGTCTACAAATAAACAGAACCCATGGAGACAGGCACATTGGATTAGAGGTGCATCACCAGGACATGTTACCAGCATGGAGATTATGCCCTGTACTATGAAAAGAGTGGGCCTCTTCTATGCCTATGTAGCAGTTGGCATTGAATTTGCTTGTGGGAGAGCAGGTCAACCTGTATTCTATGGATATTTTCATACTAAAACTTTCTACACAGTCTCTCCAAGGGTTGCAGAAGGGTCTTTATCAATTCTCTTTGGAGATATCAAGGACTGAACTCAGGGACACTGAGTAAAAAATGGCTGAGAGGTGCTTTTGCCTATACTAATATCAGCACTTGACAGGAAACCCCATGAAACATATTGCTGGTCAGAGAAGAATGACATTTTGGTTGAGATATGGCAGAGAAGTCATTTCAAATAGGCATGAATGTGTTTTTACTGCAGTACAACAAACCCAACTGTATGGAAAAGTACTAGGTCCAGAACCTGTGAGTCTCACTGTGAAAATATTGAGATCTTTCCTCCTTTTCCCAATATCTTAAATATCCTCAAAATAATCCTTTTCCTGAATATTGACTTGTCCTACATATCTCCAAGCTACGTGGTTTACAAAAAAATAAAACGAAGTCCAGCTACAATCCTATTAATATATTTTTAATTAAACAATTCTATTAAAAGAACAAAGTAAAAAACAGTTAAAATCAACATGGCAGAAAAAAAATTAAAGCACAGCATGCCTCACTAAAAGACTCTTCAGCTACATTATTGATGCCCAAACTGTGGTCCATGGACCACCAATGGTCCACAAGAATTAAAATCTGGTTCGCGGCCTCACCGTTAATACATCTTTTCTGTTGTGCTTTCAGAGAGTAGTCACACAACCATATACTATTGCTTCCCTCAACTTCTCTGTTCTTGGAGCACTCATCCCCCATTTATATGAATGCCCCTTTTCACAACTCCACTCTTTTATGTGCTCTCCCTCATAAATAATCTGCTCCTCCTTATCTCACCCTGAGCTTTTAGTCTTTTATCTCGCACATGCGGCCCGCTCAATATCATTGAAATTGTGGATATTGTATTTTATATTTTGTATTGCTTACTGTATTCATATGTTTTTTGTATTTATTGCGTTGTGTGTGTTGGTGTTTTATTTTATTGTAATTCTTGCTTGGGCTTGGCCTCATGTAAGCCGCCCCGAGTCCCCGTTGGGGGAGATTGTGGCGGGGTATAAATAAGTTTATTGTTTTTATTATTATTATTATTATTATTATTATTATTATTATTATTATTATTTGCAACAATAGTGACTGGTCTTGCAAAACTCTCTTATATTGCTGAGGCAACAGGGATGTTGGGAAGGGAGAGTCTGCCAGTAGAGAGGGAACCAAATGAATGAACTACCTATGAAAGATAACTACTACCACATCAGCTCCAGATTATTAAATATGGTTTTCTGTGGGTGAGCAGATGGTGAGTACTGGATGGCATATGTTCTGTATCAGAAACTAGAGCTGATGTGGTCTATCCAATGCAATTTTCGGAATCAGTACCCCAAAATAATCAAACCAAAATCTAAAGTTGACTAAAAACCGATTTATAACCTTTCTGGTACTAATGTTGGAGAGTGATCCCTAGTCAAAAAAAGTTTGGTAATCATTGTGCTACATGAATTAGGAATGAAATAAAGAAGTCTTTGCCTGCCAGTAGAGAGGGAACCAAATGAATCTCCCTTAGGAGTCACAACCTGGGATCAAAAAGGCTTTCTCTTATATCCTCACCAAATGTCCCTGAGATGGTTTGTAGGAAAGAGAGAAACCTCACCTTTCATTAAAATAATTAGGAATGGCTTCTAGAAGATATACTGAGAACGTGTTTTGTAAAATGTGCAGGATGTAGTTCTTAGAAGTAAATGGATACGAAGGGAGCAGCAGACAACTCATATCTTTCAAGAAAGCAACGAAAACAGTATCTATTACTTCAAAATTCTGAGTGGCGATCTTAAACACAGTGACATTCTTGCACCAACTGAATTTGGTGGTCTTAAGTGTGTTCCTACTTGGCATTTGGGTCTACTTTTACTTACTTTTAGAAGATGCTCCTGGCGGTTAAATGGTAATGGCTCTACAGGACTGTCTGGAATTATTACACTTCCACTGCAAAACCAAAGACCAGCCTAAAAGGAACAAATTTTTAACTCTTTTATTTAATGGTTGTATTTTAAGACGTTGAAAAAAAACTCTGCTATGCCATAACTACAAGAAAACACAATAATAACTACAGGTTCTTCATTCCCGTTCTGTAGCAATTAAAGGCTATTTTATTTTAAAGACATTTGGAATGATTAAACCAACTCTCCCTACTTAAATAATATAAGTGGCATATACATCTTTTACTGGCTATACAATAAATGACTCATTACATGAAACTGTCTTGACTTTCAAAATATGAGTCAGTGATTCTATATCAGCAAACCAGAAAAAAAAATTGACAGCTGTGGATGGCAAACATTGGTTTATATGCTGTAGGGCACTTCAATCTTCCTGCAGAATTTTGCTAACACTATTATGCAGATAGGGCACATGGATTGCAAGAGAGACTTGGCAGCATTTCCGGGGGGGGGGGGGGGTTGAGGGTGCAGATTCTTAGGTTGCAAATTTGAGGAAACCATCATCCTTCATTATCTACCGTCTTTCCCTGTCTTCTGGGATGGTATCCCATCCTACATGGTTTCTCATCCTTTCTCCACTTTGTCTTCATGTTTTCCAATTGCAGTTGGGTAACACCCAACAACTCCAAAGGCACCCTGGGCTCCCTTTCTTCATGCTGCCAAAACTAAGCCCAATGGAGTCCTATTGGCAGTAGCCCTGCATCATGTGATGGGCTCCATGGAACTCTGTTTAGGCATTGTGGAGAAGACGTAGAGAAGATTTGATAAGGTTCTAAGTACAGCCACAGTATCTCAGGTAAGATCTGACCAACACAGAATAGAGTAAGATTATTACTCCCTTTGAGCCAGACACTGTATTACTTAGTTCTACTTATACCAGAAGTCTGTTAAGTCTCTTATGTCTGTTAAGTCTCTTTTTCTGGAATCTCCAGAAAAAGCAAGCAAATGAAAGACAGCAATCTGTCTTAAAAAAAAAACATTAATCCGAAGCTGTACCTCTCACCTAAGAATTAAAGACATAGTCATGTAAGTCTGGAATATCAGTATGCAAAATGACCACAGAATATAACAGAAAGAATACAAAACTTTCATAGACTTGGGGCCCTTCCAGACAAGCCCCATATCCCAGGATCTGCTCCCAGGTTTTCTGCTTTAAACTGGATTATATGAGTCTGCACTGCCAGATAATCTGGGATAAACAGAAAACCTGGGATCAGATCCTGGGATATAGGGCCTGTCTAGGAGGGGAGTAAGTCTACTCCCTCAGAGGCATTGAAGATGTGTTTTATTCAGTCTTAGAAATAGTTTGTTAGTGTCATTTGGAAGTGGTGGAACTTTATTCACATCACCTTCAAACTAGAAAACTAACTGGAGTTAGTCTCTTTGACATCCAATGCATTCCACTAGGAATAAAATCAAATATTTCATGCATTCCATCTGGGAATAAACTATTTTATTTTTCTTAAAAAACCCAAAATAAATGGTGCTTTTCACCAAACAGATCACTTATTTGGCTCAGATTTGCCAGTCTATACATCAGAATCTGCATATCAGATACTGAGCCAAAAAATGTTCTACCCAGCTTCCTGTCTTGATTCTGGAGCTATTGGTATGTTTTTAATCTCTACCCGTACTAAGCAAAATACCACAACATTGTGTAGGAGGGTGTAAAATTAAGCACTGCACCTCTCTGTGGTTTTTCCATTCCTAGTGAGGATCGGTCCCTTTCCTTTTCTGGTTACCTGTGTTGCCACAACATGCTGGGTTGTTTTTGTCTCCTTTTTTTCTAATGAGCTGTATTGCTACATAATTTACACCTTAGTATAATATGATGAACAGAGATGGCCACTCTACTAGTGATTAATGCAGAGAAACCTTACCACTGGATAATGCTCCTGATTTTGACCACATATAAAAGTGAGGTTCTGCCTACAAACCCAATTTCTTTAATACCTTGTACACTGCAATGGAATACTGTTGGAGGACATGGCTTGCAGTGGCATCCAGTGGGTACATTTTTATACCATAAGAAGTCTTTGCAGCTACAGGATAGTGAAGATCATGCAGTTCCCATTTTCATGTAGTTCTCCATGCAGTTCCCATTTTCCCTAACAAGCATAAGCAATTTTTTTTGTCATGTCACAAGCAACTTGAGAAAAGTGCAGGTCACTTCTGGTGTGAGAGAATTGGCCATCTGCAAGGACGTTACCCAGGGGACGCTAGGATGTTCTGATGTTTTACCAAACTTGTGGGAGGCTTCTCTCATGTCCCCACATGGGGAGGTGGAGCTGACAGAGGGAGCTCATCCACACTCTCCCCAGAGTCGAACCTGCGACCTGTCAGTCTTCAGTTCTGCCGGCACAAGGATTTAACCCACTGCACCACCGGGGGCTCCTTAGCATAGGCAATGACAAATGGTAATGGCATTTGCAGTTCACCAATAACTGAAGGATCACAATTTCCCCTTATTTGCAACAGAACTTATGATGACAAGCAGAGGCGGCCCTAGGTAATTTTCAAAGGTAAGGAAACAGTATTTTGGTGCCCCTCCCCCCCAACCAATCACTGATATATATTTTCTGTTCATCGTGGGAGTTCTGTGTGCCATATTTGGTTCAATTCCATCATCGGTGGAGTTCAGAATGCTCTTTGATTGTAGGTGAACTATACATCTCAGTAACTACAACTCGCATATGTCAAGGTCTATTTTCCCCCAAGAGCACCTCAAGAGCACTCCCGGGCAAAATCAACTATACTGCAAATGCTTACTTTGTGTAATGGGTTGAGCCGCCCCTGATGACATGGGTATCATGCTCAGGAATCAAATGTTTCTGCACTTGGAAGGAGATACCATCATGATTCTAGAAACAGGAACAATGATTCTAGAAACAGGAAGCATATCCCTTCTGGAGTATCTGAAAAATCAGTCACAGAAGAACCCTCTCCTACAGAAATCTTGAAAGACAATAAGGATAACTAACTCCCAGTTGCTGGTTTTCCTTACTGTGAGCTTGGCATATCCCTTGTTCCTGGGAATGCCTCTCTACCCACATAATTAGACATCAAGGAGCCCCTGGTGGCGCAAGGGGTTAAACCCTTGTGCCAGCAGGACTGCTGACCAAAAGGTCAGCAGTTCCAATCCAGGGAGCAGGGTGAGCTCCTGTCTGTCAGCTCCAGCTTCTCATGCAGGGACATGAGAGAAACCTCTCACAGGATAATAAAACATGTGGGCATCCCCTAGGTAATGTCCTTGCAGATGGCCATTTAAACTAACAGAGGAACACAATCAATCAAAATGTGCCCAGAATCCAGAGCATTATCGTCCACTAATGATAGAGTGATAGCTTCATGATATATAGTCGAAGGCTTTCATGGCCGGAATCACTGGGTTGTTGTCGTTTTTTTTGGGCTATATGGCATTCGGGCTATATGGCATTTCTTCCTAATGTTTTGCCTGCATCTATGGCAAGCATCCTCAGAGGTAGTGAAGTCACTTCTGAGGATGCTTGCCATAGATGCAGGTGAAACTTCAGGAGAGAATGCCTCTAGAACATGGCCATATAGCCCGAAAAAACCTACAACAACCCAGCTTCATGATAGTCATTCATTTGCAAACTCTGGACCCTTCCACGCATATATATGACCCAGAATATCAAGGCTGAAAATCCCACAATATCTGCTTTGAACTGGGTTATCTGAGTCCACACTGCCATATATTCCAGTTCAAAGCAGATAATGTGGGATTTTATTCAGCTGTGTGGAAGGGGCCTAACTTCAAGATGTTCTCCCTGAAACATCTGAAAAGATGATGTAGGGATTCGTATGTTTGGTTAGTGAGTTGCATTTTGATGGAAAAGAAAACAAGGAAATACAACAGGTTGCAATTGGGAATTGAGAGGAAATCCTGTGGTCCAAAATAAAATGAAGTCCCCAAATGCACTCATGAAATTGGCAGATCCATATCTAGAGGCTGTGGCCAGTGTGTGAACCTGAGAAGATTATCAGACTATTCAACCTGTTGGCTTCAGTACTGAACACCAAGCCACAGAGCCTTGAATTGGGGAAAAAAGCAGTAAAACCTGATTGTACTCTTCCTCTGTAACAAATCCAGTTCCTCCTTCATCCACAGCCTGGAATCTCTGCAGTGTTTCAAGCAGCTCTTTCACAGAAGGCAGTGGCCAAGGCTGGGCAGCAGCTATTAAGAATCGGCGCCAGTCCACTGTGTCCACATCCACAGTCAGTAGTGATGCCAGGCTTTGTAACTGTAACAGATAATTTCACACATCCAGATGAACACTGGTTAGTGGCAGATGAACAATGGTTAGGGGCAGGACCAAATTATACATTAAAGTAAATCACATGTCAGGGAAAGAAAGAATATGTATGTGCGGCAGGCAAGCAGTAAAATATATAGAAGGAACATGTTCATATAGTACACTTGAACAAGTAACTAGTCTCTTGTCTGAATTATTTGCCTCATTCACGTATTGATATAACTTTCTCTCATCCCTCTCCCTGCAAAAGATTCAGCGTCACTAGTTTTTGTCTTTGGCCCCTTCTACACTCCCATATAATCCTGATTATCAAAGCACACAATCCACATTATCTGCTTTGAACTGGATTATATGAGTCTACACTGCCAAATAGTCCACTGCAAAGCAGATAATCTGTATTTTATATGACAGTGTATGGAAAACATAGTCAATACTCACATCATAAATGGAGAGGTGCGCCCAGGCATCTGGAAGGCTGTTTGAGCCAAGGTTCAATGTGACCAAGTCAAAAACAATGTCAGTGAATGTTTTGCTTAGCATTAAACCTAGAGAAAAGACAAATTAAAATGAGAAGGGGGTAACATCATAGAATTCTTAAAAACTACTGTATTTAGAAATCTTATTCTACCTTTTAAAAAAGGCATATCACAAAACTCTTCAGCTCGTTCTCGTTACAGCTCCTTAAGTTCCAAATAGATAGATACGCAAAAGGCTGAGCTAACTGTATGTATTCTCAAGCAAAACTGTATGTATTCTTATGAGCTAACTGTATGTATTCTCAAGCAAAAGACTGAGCTAACTGTATGTATTTTCTGTGTCATCAGTCCTCTACTTGGTAGCTTCAGCATTCCTGGAGATATTGGAAGATAAACCTTTTCCCATTTTCTTTACTGTTTTATTGCCCTCAACAGCAAAGTTGGGAAGTTTAAGCAAGATACGATTTCACATTATTTACATTTGAAAAGGGCTGGTGTATAAAGCGCAGACATTTAGACAAATTACAATCTACCTGCAAAGAAATCAAAGCAGCTACAAATAAATAGTGTAATTTGAGATTATGATTATGATGTCGATGGTGATGATGAAATAATAGCTCCCATACAGCATAGCTTTTAAATATATCTAGATACAAAAGCCAAACAAATTACATTAAAGAGGGCTTGGGGTCAGAAATGACTCAAATCTTAAATGGCAAACTTAAACTTATTTACACCAACTAATAGGGAAAGTATCTGTAACCAATATGATACACAATGCTTTGTTGCTCAGTATCATAGAGCTACAGGTTTAAAATGTTGTCTTTGTTTAAGGCAAGCATTCATAATTCGATGTCATCCGCCCACCACTATGTATGGTGGCCTGCTACATGCTTTTCCTGCATTCCTAGAACTTCAAAAATAGTGAAGGCGTTCTTATCTAGCACCTGGTAAACCACATTACAAAGCTGGGGGGCTCCATGTGGAGTGGCAGAACCTGATCTAGGGGTAAATAAAAGGCAAGCAGACTTCTGAGAGTTTCCTCTCAGGAAAAGATGCATATGTTTATTTTCTCCTGGAACATATGGCACACTGATAAGTGGCCAAGATAACAGTCAGAAGAAAGTCATCCTGGACCCCAAGCATTTTACATGACTGTCATGCCTTGCATAATCTTTACCAACAGGAAAACAGTCAGCTGGAGTTTGGGGAAGAGGACCACCTGAAAATGAAAAACCATGGATAAAGAAATAGCTACTTTTCACCAGAAGGAACATCACTTTAGGAATTTCTAAGGCCCCATCTACACTGCAGTATGAAATCCAGATTATCTGCTTTGAAGTGGATTATATGGCAGTATAGACTCATATAATTTAATTCAAACCAGATAATGTGGATTATCTGCTTTGATAATCTGGATCATATTTTTATTTATTTATTTATTTATTTATTTATTTATTTATTTATTATTCAAACTTATATGCCACCACTCCCTTGGGGCTCGGAGCAGCTTACAAGAACAGGCCAAAATCTAACACAATTTAAAAACAATTTAAAAACAATTTAAAAACAGCAATATCAAAGATCGAAGGCAGTGTAGATCCAGGCTAAATCTTTCAGCATGATTCTGTGGTTAATTTCTGCTAGAAACAGGCCACAGAATTGCTTTGGAGAATCTACAGCAGGCATGGGCAACCTTGGGACTTCCAGGTGCTTTGGACTTCAACTCCCACAATAGGAAGTGTGGGAGTTGAAGTCCAAAACAACTGGAGAGCTCAAGTTTGCTCATGCCTGATCTAGAGAATTAGATTCCTAGATAAACTCTTCTACAATCTTGATTAAAAAAAAACCTCAGCAAAATGGTATTAGCAGCCTTCAGTCCTTTTCCTGGAACCAGAACCAGAAATGAAACAAGCCAACCAAGTTCCTCTTGATTGTGTATTCCTGCCTGACAGAAGGTTGGACTGGATGGATCTTGTGATATCTTTGAACTCTTATGACTATGATTTCTCTGAAAAAGTTCAGAGAAGGGAACCTGACACCTATAACAGATGTCCTCCCCATGTAAACAGCAACTTTGGAAGATATTTTTTTTGTCATAATCTGCCTTCACCGACTCTTGCATCATCTGCACCTGTTGCTATTTTACTTGGGAAAGAATGTTCATACTAAATGCTAAGAGGCATTTAATGTCTTATCTTCTTTGATTCTCAGGATGAGCTTAATCAAGCAAAATACCATGGTGGAACTAAGCTGATCTATGTAGCATTTGCATTTGTACTTGATGAGTTTTATATGGCACAGATAAAACTCACTAATTGTATAATAAGCAAATAACCAACATTTTCACAATTTCTGTAACAATAAAAACCTTTGTGGGATGGGTTTTTTAAATTAAATAAAGGTTTTTTTTTCCTGCTGGGGTACCACTACTATAATCCTGCATCTTGTTTCCTTCCAGCTGATTTAGTCTTCAGTGGGTTCCTTGGATGGAAAATTGGCCCCTGCATCTACAGTCAAGTTATTGACTGTATTGCTCAGTCAAGTTATTCTGAAAATGCTACCTTCCAGTGGGCAGAAAACAAAGCCACTCATGCAGACTTCACCCCTTAAAACCCTGCCCACTTCCTAAAACTCCATAACCATGGAAATAGGGCTGGAGAAGAACTAGCCCTTTTGCTGATGCACAGTGAACAATGACTACTTCTAGCAAGCTTTCCTTCACCAAACAGCAGAGCTAATCCATCTAAGCATGCATTTAAGGGAGCAGTTGCATTCACAAAGGCTGAAAGCAATAGGAAGTAGAGAAGATAACGTGGATACCATAGTACCTTTTAACTCCATGATAATTTACAAGGTGCATTATCCAGAATGCATTGTGGATATCCTTGGTATTTAGGAGGAAGAAAAAAAACTTCAATTGCTTTTTATTATGAAGATACGTCTGAATGTGGTTATTGCCATTTCCTTGAAATTCCCGCCGCATGAACTATTCTCAAAAGTTCGATGTTTTCTTTTCTTTAGGTACTTTTCCAGATCATAGGGGAGTCATTTGCAAGTAGGGTTTTTGCAGCAACCACTGGTAAACAATGATCCCTTATATTGGTAAGCCCAATCCAAACAGAGTTTCAAAAAGCGAGTATGTTTCAAATGCTTGATTATGTCTCTGGGAGATCAGGGTTAAATTCTCTGCTCAAACATGGAAAGCTACTGGATGACCTTGGGTGAGTCATCTTCCAGTTTGAGAGGAAGACAATGGCAAATGTTCTCTGAACAAATCTTGCAAAGAAAACTCTATGACAGGGTCACATTAAATCAGTCAACTTGAAACCATACAACAATAAAACAAAATGTGAATGGATGAATGAATCAGCCGTCACCCCTCTGAACAATTTTGAAAGCTGAAATGAGGTTGACAACCAGTCATTTGTAAGTGGTGCTAATTTGCCCGTGCAGGCTATCATTTTGAACAACGAATGTCCAGAATAATGGAATTCAACAGGCAATATGGCTAGTCATTAAGAAGAGCAATAACAACTATGAATTCATATGTGTCATTAAAAGGATGAAACCATTTCTATAACTGTATACTGAATTTTTTTAGAGCTGTTTCTATCAGCTCACTGTTCTGGGTATAGAAGAATTTCATCTATTATTTTCTCGGCTTTCAGCTTCACAGCTTCCCTGTGATGTTTCCAGGAAAGGGATTCAGTGAAAACAATTCCCATGCATTTTAAATATGTGGTTTTGTTCTATGGCATGTTGGTCTAAAATCAATTTGTATCTGGGACAGTGTCATCCAAAAACCGTCACCTTAGTCTTGGAGTAGATTATTGACAGATATTCTTCTTGGCAGTATTTACTGAAAGCCTTCAGGAGATTTTTTAAGACCCAGCCATGAAAGGGATAGGAGCACTAGGTTATCTGCATACATCAGGATGTAAATCTTTCTGTTCCTGGTTGCTGGTGAAGGAGAGTCAGTTTTGGCTAAGCAAGGCACTAGATTGTTCACATAGATGTTAAATAGAGTAGGAGCCAATACACACATCTGTTTTACTCTGCTTGTTGTTGAAAAGGCTTCTGTCAGCGAATCCTTTCTGCCAACTCGGACCCTATTTTTTTCTTTAGAGTATAATTCCTGTATCAGTCTCCCCAGTCTACAATCTATATCAGAATTCTGTAACTTTCTCTATAATGTATAACAGTATACAGAATTCAAGACAATTACAGGGAAGACACTGTTCTTGACAATCTGGGAAACACTGCCATTTGGCAAAGAGCTCCTTCTCATTTTAGCCTGTGATACTTGGAATTTCAAACATAACAGAAATATCTCACTATTCTCAGAAAATGAATATTTTCTTTCTTTTTTAAATTGTATTTCAGTATTCAAACTACTTTTCAACTTCGCCTACTTTACATTTTACATTCCGTTTTCATAACTACAATGGACATGGAGGAAGAGAGCCTCAAAATGATAAAATGTATTTCATAATCCTAGTATAATGACTGTAAGTGTGGCTCACAATTTACCTGACTTATGTTTACTGAAATGATTACAAATCCATTTCAAAAATCTATGCACATTGCTAAAACTATTTATATGGAAGGCACGCTAATCACTACCAAGTGAACTTTCTGTTTCCCATTCAGAGTCAGATGAATAATCTGCTCTTTCAGGCTGAACAGCCTGCAATTTTCTGTTCTTTTGGCAAGAAATATTCCACAACTGAATAGCTTTTTGGGGATCAAAGTTGTTGATATCTGGAGAATTCATCTGAATAACCATGAGATCACTCATGCTTTCAAATATTTGCTTTGAATGTTTCTGCATCACTGTAAGCTTCATTTGGCAGAAACCTCGAGCTGCTTCATTGGAACTCGCTGGCAGTGTCAGAACTAGATCTATGAGGGTGAGGATGTTTGGATATTTATGAAAATATTCTCTGTTCACCAGGTCCCATGTCAAGCTCCGGATGTTTTGATATCTAAAAAGAAGAACACTTGTTATTAAATATTCTAGCTTTAAAATCAATTTACATTACAAAAAACATAAATGTATGCTAATTTTCCTCATTACCGATTATATAGCTCCGCTTTCAACATATTCCATTCGGTTTCAATTTCATTAACTTTCACATTGGCACATTCCAGGATCAAATCATAATACTTCAACAGAACAGAAACTTCCACTTCGCCAAAGTCTGTAGCAATGAGAATGCTGATTGAAATAATTGTCGTATTTCAATATATATTAAAATCATGGGGGTTTTTTTTGTACCTGATTTGATTTTGTCTGGCCACAGCTTAAAACTTCCAATAGCACTTGCTCTCAGAACAGCTTCACTAGCATCACAAAAACAATCAAGTAGCTGATTCAAAAGACTGCTTAACAATTCTATCCGTACTGCTGATATATTGCCATCTCCTATAAGTTGATATCCATGAAAGTGTGTGACAGTTTCCACCTGACGCTCCCTTGGTCCCAATCTAAAAAATAAACAGTTTAAGAAATGGACTATACATATTGATTTAAAAATAGTGAAAAACAATAATAAGTAGCATCCACCAAATGTGTACAACCTTTCTTGATACATTTGGAGAGTTTCTTGTGTGGACTGTAATGTTGCAAACACATCTGCAATAGAAGAGTTCTGATCCTGAGTAACACGAGATAAAATGTTGAGGACATTAATGACGTCCAGCAAGAAGTGTGAAAACTTAATAATGTTTGTCCTCAGAAGGAGCTTTAAGAAGTCTTTGGCTTTCTGTTGATTTGAAGAACATGGCTCCTCTTCTATCTGGAACTCAACAAGGAAAAAAAACAACTCAGTGAAATTAACCAAAAATATTACTAACCCAATTTTAAATTTATTTCTTCAACTCATGTATGGTTTAAAGGAGCATTTACCTTATTTAAGTGTAGGACAATTGCTGGATATCCTTTAAGAATGATCTGAAGACCTGTCTGCAAACGAGAGAGCCATTGGGTGCCACCAATTCGAGAAGGGACTGTAAGTCGTAGTTTGAGAGCTTCATAAACAATCTTGAGGTTGTTCTTGTTTGATGGAGAGTTGTGATAAAAATAATATATGTTTTTCAAGAAACCTGTCACAACAACATATAGTGGGATGCTCTGCAGAGCTGCCTTGTAAGCTATTTCGAGTCGATGTATAAGACAATGCACACTCTGAATACGTGGCTGGATTTCCTTCAGTAATTTAGCCACACCATTATTTTGTCCCACCATAATGTCTCCACCATCACTTGCAAAGCCAATGAGTTTTTTGGCCCAATCTTGGCTTGACAGACTGAGCTGCAAATTGGTCTGTAACAGTTTCACGATGGCATTTTTCACAGTGGAGGCATCACACCTTTCCACAGACTGAACTCCAACAATTTGGCAATGGATCTTTCCTTGGTTTGCAAAACGTACATATACCAGGGCAGCTTCTTTGTTTGCACTGTCTGTAATGCCATCGCTAATCAGTGAGAAAAACTTGCATTTTTCCAATTTCTCTTTCAAGACCCTGCGCTCCACTTCAGCAATAAAATGAATGAAGATTCTTGCTGTTTTGTCATTTCTAAATATGGAACCAATGTCTACCCCTTTCATATCATCCAATTGGCATATCCAGTCCAGATCTGTGAAGGGGCGCCCAGTTTTGGCAATAGCATGACATGTTCTGAAGAGGTTTTCTATTCTTCCTAGGGTTGTTTTACTCATGCTCTTTAGCATCTGCTCAGTGGTAGCTGTGTTTGGTGCACAACTACTAGCTTCTTCCATACAGGTTGCCCAAGCATGAGCTTCACTACTATGGTGGTCACTGATCATTTCAATTATGAAATCATCAGTCCCAGAACAAAAGTTGTGTGTCTTCTCTCCTAAATCCACATTATGTTTCCGACATAAAGCACAGTACATTGTGCCCCTGTCACTGTCATATTTTAGCCAAGGGTATTTAGACAACCATGTTTTTTGAAACTGTCGATTTTTCTTGAAATACATTCGATTGCTGGAGGTGACATTCTTGCTTTTCAATTGCTTCAGCGCTGCTATGGCTATAAACGTTTTAAACAGAACTCAGTATTAAATGTTTTTAATACCACTATTTAACTGTGATGTTTTTATTATTTTAAAACATAACATTTTAAAATGCACTATGCACTTCTCAATGGAGCCATCTCTCTGACTGGTGATGTGCCCATTGTAATTGCTCCCCTCCTAGCACAAATTGTTCTGACTCTCACACAACTGTTTTCTCCTTTCTTCAACAAAGACAAAGGTAACTGGGTTCACCTTCCTATCTGCCATAGATACCACCTCTATCAAAACCCAGGATGGTAGTTGTTGATCATCTACTAATATCTTAGGAAGCATGAACATTGGGGTAGGTGACTCCTTATAGAGAGGGTTTTCCTGCTTCCGCCTGCATTTTGTCAACTTACCACTCATGAAAGTGCAAGAATTTTCCTAGTACAGTGGTTCTCAACCTGTGGGTCGCCAGATGTTTTGACCTACAACTCCCCAAAATCCTAACAGCTGGTAAACTGGCTGGAATTTCTGGGAGTTGTAGGCCAAAACACCTGGGGACCCACAGATTGAGAACCACTGCCCTAGTACTATGTTACTTCTAAGACAATCCAGAAAGTGTGCTACAGAGATTTTTTTTCTTTTGTTCCATACTGGCTGCACTTTCTGAAATGCTGTGTGACTAATATGCTTGCTTTGTACCAAGTGACACATTTAATTAGTCTCACTCAGCACTGGAATCCTGGGAGTTATAGTTTGGTGAGGCACCCAGGACTTTCTGGCACAGAAAGCTGAAAACCTTGGAAAGCTATGGTACAACTCCCATTATTCCAAAGCATTAGGCAGTTAAAGTAGTATCAAACAGTATTAATCCTACAGTGTTTAGGTACTCTTTGTTTCACATCAGCATTCCTTATCTCAGCAAAGAAATTACAGTAAATTGTATCCCTCATTTTAAAAAAAAAAGATAAGCATTACAATCAGATATTGCTTTCTAGCTCATGTTTCAATCTGAACTGGGAAAGAATTCTCTTCTTATTTATTTATTTATTTATTTATTTATTTATTTATTTATTTATTTGCTGCATTTATTGACCGCCGCTCTCAGCCCTAGGGCGACTCGCGGCGGTGTACAACATATAAAAGACAATTTACAATCAACATATCACTAATACACACTAAAAATCAACATATCACTAATACACACTAATAAATTACACTAAATGATCCGCTCCGTCTTATCGTAGAATCATAACCAATCTCATAATCCATATTCCTTTCCAGTTCTTCCTTTCCTTCCTGCCAAACTGAGCAGTGCGGAAAACAAAAATATGAGTATTTGTGGTTTTGTTTAAGATGCAATCTAAAGCTATCTTTTCAAGCCTGGTAAAAATATTAGGATTGTTAATGTTCCACCAAATGAAAACTTTATTTCCAGAATAAATAATTATGAATATGTAATATAACTTGGTCTCCTATATTAAAAGCAGAGTGCTTTTCTTTCTACTTGCTGAACTTCTCTACGTTATCTGATCTTTTTTTTGAGGCTACAAATATTTTGAGGCCACCGAAATTAGCTGAGCTCTGAGTCAAAATAGTATTGGGTACATAGAACAGAAGTTTCTCTCTATTGTTTCCCCTTTTCTGTTGATTTCCTCCACAATACTATTGTTTTTCTGTTTAATGTAATATAGCTGAAGGGGTCAGCAAAGGAAAATGACAGTAAATTTTAGTTTATGAAATTGAAAATAGGCCTGTTATTCCTAACATCAGTGGTATAAAGAGTATATGAAACATAAATGATTTTTGAGTGAAGACGTGGGTCCCATTTTCAAGATATCTCATTAAATATATGCAAGTATTCCAAATCCAAAATAAAAAACAAACACAAAACACTTCTGGGTACAACACTGCATATTTCCACATTAAGATAAAAAGTGCACCAAGCAATTTTTGAAGACACAAATTGAAAAACAAATGTAGCTGGAATATACATCAATAGACATCTAAAGACAATTATATGACAGGAGAAACACTCATGTTAACATTTTGTTTACTTTCTGAAGTCAACAGGTACTTATAGACAACTCTTCCAAATTGACTTCAGTTCTTTGAAAAACGAGTTAGGACATCTGAAGATCCTCATACTCATCCATGGGTCTGCCCAGAAGTGACTGACCCTAGGTTTCCAGTCAGATTTGTGGTCACCTGAACGAAAGGCATAGCATTCACCTGTGCTTTTCTTCTACTGTACTAAAACAACAGTGTAGGCACTTTCCACCTTATCACGGCAGTTAAAAAAAATTGTCCAAGAATTATTTTGCCAAGATTCAATTGTTACTTCCAATGAGAAGAAATTGCCTGAATAAAGTTTTAAATGATGAGTCAATACTCACATAACACTTACAGAGAGCATACAACTCCCCTGTTGGGTCAGCTCCACTGGCTGCCAGTCTGCTACCGAACACAATCCAAATGTTGGCTTTAGTCTATCAAGCCCTAAACAGTTCTGGCCCAGCTTACCTGTCCGAATGTATCTCCCTCTATGATGCACCTCGGAGGCTAAGATTATCGGAGAAGACCCTGCTCTCAGTTGCACCCGCCTCACAAGCGCGACTGATGGGGACAGGGACTCTCATTTATGGAATTCTCTCCCTGATGAAATCAGATTGGTGCCCTCCCTCCTGACCTTCAGGAAAAAAAAAACTAAAAACATGGCTTTAGGACCAAGCTTTTGGTCAGTAAATTTGAGCAGTGCAATAAGAAATTACAAAATATCATAATGACGACTTGGATGGACCTTGGAAGATGGCCTGGATTGTGTGATTTTAATTAATGTTTTAATGTTCGATGTTTTAATTATTTTGGATTTTAATGCATTGAATTGTTGCCTTTGTAAGGCCTCTCTGAGTTCCCTTCGGGGTGAGAGGGGCGGGATGCAAATGTGGCAAATAAATAAATACATCTCAGTTATTAAATTGGTCTGCATCAGTTGGGAGGAGCAGTCAGATTATGGCACGTGGACTGGGACTCTGTAAGTTATCTTTAAGATTGTTTTGATGTAGTGCAGCTGGTAAGTTGGCTGGGATTTCTGGGAGTTGTAGGCCAAAACATCTGGGGACCCACAGGTTGAGAACCACTGATGTAGTGGTGTGAACATTGGACTATACTCTAGAGACCAGGGTATGATTCTCTTGCTCTGCCACAAAAACCATCGGCAAGTGACACACTCTCAGCCCAAGAAAACTTGGTCAGCTTTCCAGTGCCAGAGGATGCCCTCATGGTTATTTATTGGTTTGGGAAGGTGGGAGGTAACTGGGCAGAATATGTCTGCAAATTGGAAGCTGGAAGAAGAGAGCTGGTATCACCTGTCTTGATCTTCACTGAAGGATCTCAAAGGAGATATTGAATACTTCCTCCCATGACCTTCCAAAAAGGCATGAACTCACATAGCCCCAGAGTATGTGAGCACATATCACCATCAAGATTCTGCCCTATATCTTTTATGCTGATATAAAGAGCCTCTTAGAAGCGGTTTCTCCAATAGGGAACATAATTTCTTAAGCTGGTGACACATTTTATAACTTTTAGGCCTCAAGCAAAAAATATACTTTGATTGCAGGATTTTTTTTTAAAAAAAACAAGTTACCTAAGCAAGCAAGAATATCATTTCTCCAGCCTTAAAGAAGTTGAAGATAGCAATCCAAAACACAATTTCCTAGTTGTCTAGTTCCAATAAATATTACTGTCATATATTATTGTTGTTGTATTGTTGATAAAGAACATCCTGCTCTTTCCATAGCTTTGGGACTTAGGGTGGTTTTTAAAGTTAAAATAGGTACAATTAAAACTAAAAATGTGAATTTACTTAAATTATAAGTAACATTGAAATCAACATACTGAGCTACTTAAAACAGGAACAACAAACTCAGACAATAGAACACCTTATTAAAAGCCATTTCTTTTCCTGTTGAAAAAAAGGTACTTGCTTGCCCCCAGACAACCTTGAAACCTCTTTAATGCTGCATTGCTAGTATGTCATAGAGTTCTCAATACTTTACATTAAATAACTTATTGGTACTTTTAGTCTAGTAGAAACACTCCTTTTGCTGCCTAAAGGCACAAGATGTTATCTTATCTTGGAAGCTACGCATGTCAACCTTGATTAGCAGTTGGATGGGAAACAGGCAATGAATCCCAGGTGCTGTAGACTATATTTCAGAAAAAGGATCTGACAAAACCACTTCTGAGCATTCGTTGCCTAAGAAAAGTAGTATGACATTCATGGGATTGTCATAAGTTGACAGGCGATATGACGGCACATGGATACACATGTGAATTCCAGTATAAGCTACAATAGGTGTAAACCTTTTGGCAAAGAAAGTCACTGATTTACTTTTACAAATGTACAACAAAAACAGCAATGAGTGTTTGTTCACTGATGGGTCAATGGACTGTAATAAATGTTGTCGTTGAATGTACAATGTCCTACCTTTAGGTGCCACCTTCAGAAACTGCTTGTGAAGCGTGCTAAGCTGTGAAATAGTCAGAGTGTCAACTGTAGGAGATTCCACAGATGGAGGACGAGGCGGAGGGACTGCATCCGGAAATACTTTGATATCCCCATTAATGTAAAACTCGGTCCCTTCCAGAACAAGTTCATATTGGATTCTGGTAGATGTTTCAATGTGGTTGCGAGCAACCTCAGTTAATTTGTCAACACTGTAACAAAAAAAATTGGAAAAAAAAGTCTACAGAATTCTAAAATTGGTATTCTAAGACGATTGAACAGATGAGGATTGAACACAAAGACATCGTTTTTAAATTTTTTATTGTTTATTGCTTTTATGGTTTTAAATGCATTGTGATGTTTTTTTCTACTTTTATTAATGTATGTATTTTTACATATATGGCATCGAATTGTGCTGACTTGTACGCTGCCCTGAGTTGCCTTCAGGCTAATATGGGCGGAGCAGAAATAGCGTAAATAAATAAATAAAAAATAAATATGCTGTTAGGCCACATCTGTTATATTTCATGACAAAAAACATTGAATTTTTTAAAAAACATTTTTATATTCATATGTATAGGCATTCACCTTGTATTTAAATTCTATTGTATTGTGTTATGTCACTGTTAGCTACCTTGAGTCCCTATGGGAATAAAAATAAAGTAAATACAACTAAATAAATAAATTATAAATTATAATTAAGATTTATTATTGGAAGCAACACACACATGACCATCTGGCAACAGTCTGTTTTTTTTGTGTGTGCAAACCCTCCATAATTTTCACCCAAAATGTGTATTTCTGCACACAGTAATTTCCTGGAAAACTTTGTGCTGTGGATAACAACTAAATAAAAATATTTAACAGGGAGAACACCTTGCAAATTATTTATTATCACTTTCGAGTATGAAATATTTGAATATTACCATCTCTAACAGCTCTAAGCCTCACTTCTCTAGGGAGTTTAGGGGCCTTCTAGAATAACACAGGAGGTGTTATAGAGGGCGGAAGGGGGAAAAATAAAGAAGTACAAAAATTGCTTCCCTTTTAATATCAAATAAAATTCGTACCTTCCCAAATGTATATTTTTATATATTTTTTCTTAAACAAACCATCTTGCGCCAGATTTCATTCACTACAATATAATACTAATAACCACCAGGTACCTGGACATTTCAATCAGAAATCTCTCTCCAAGCCACTTTTCCATATTCCTGTATGTAACTTCTGCTTTTGAATGCAGATCATCCATGAAGGCTAGCGCTTTAACCTTTAACAGCTCAAGTCGAGATTTTGCAGCCTCCACTTTTTAAAGAGTTGGAGTAGAATATGCAAAAATACAAAATCAAAGGTAAATTTTATAGCCGACACTTAAAATTAGCCATTATTTTGGAAATAATCTGAGATGTATAACTTATTTTTCTCAAATAAGGACCTGATGGAGACGTAGATATTTAACCATCATTTGGTTTCCTTAATAGTGGTTAGCAATATGTAGTGATAGCTAAATCTTGAATTTTATTTTCTCACATTTTATTGCTTTGTTCTGTTTATATTGATGTATTGTATTGCTGGGCTTGGTCTCATGTAAGCCACTCCGAGTCCCCTTGGGGAGATGGAGGCGGGGTGTAAATGATGATGATGATTATTATTATTATTATTATTACCTGCATACATGACATGGAACCATAGTCTGAGATGAGTTGGACATAAGTGTTCTTGAATGTCTCCTCTCACAGAACAGAGCCAAACCAGCCCCTTGGTTCTCCAAGGGGTTGGTGGTGATGAAGCAAGTGAGATAGAGACTAGAGCAACGTTGAAAAAAAACTTCAAGCAAATCTGACCGAGCACAGGCTAGAATGTATTTGAAAGCCTATTCTGTGGCAATAGAGGCAACAAAAAATCATTTATTGATGCCACCATTGCATCTGCAAACAACAACTCACCGGAGCTGTTCTGAGTGGTCAGAGGGCTTTACATACTAGTCCTTAAGAGAAAATACCGACCATTCGACAGCCCGCTGTGAAGAACTTGCATGGCACTTTGCAAATAAAGTTGCTCAGATCTATTACAACTTGGATTCTGTTATTGATACAGTTCCAATGGATGTAACTGTTACTCTTGCTTGTCCAGTGTTGATGGATATTTTCCTATCAGTGCAGCCTAAGGATGTGGACAAGATCCTTGGAGAAGTGAGAGCTACCACGTGTATTCTAGATCCTTGTCCTTCCTGGCTGATCAAATAGGCTGGAGGGGGACTGGTAGAGTGGGTGGCAGTGGTGGTCAATGCCTCCTTGGAACAAGGTAGAATTCAACTTGCCTAAAGGAAGCAGTTGTGAGACCTATATTTAAAAAGCCATCCATGAACCGCTCCATAATGGATAACTATTGGCCACTGTCCAACCTTCCCTTTCTGAGCAAGGTTTTGCAGCATGTGGTGGTCTCCCAATTCCAGGGTTTCAAGATGAAATATATTTTCTAGATCCATTTCAATCTGGTTTCACACCTGGTTATGGAACAGAGATAGTTTTGATTGCCCTGGCTGGACAGGGGAAGTGTGTCCCTGTTGGTTCTTCTGGACCTCTCAGTGGCTTTCAATACTATTGACCATGGTATCCTTCTGGGTCATCTCACTGGGATGGGACTGGGAGGCACTGTCTTACAGTGGCTTCTGTCCTTCCTGGAGGGCTGTACAAAGAGGGGGATTCCTGCTCAAATCCTGCTCTGGCCGTACTCAGAGGGAGACTCCTGGTCAAACCCCTGGCCATTGACCTGTGGGGTTCCTAAGGGTTCCATTTTGTCCCCTATGCTGTTTAACATATACATGAAACCACTGGAAGAGGTCATCCAGTGGTTCTACATATGTTGCCACCTATATGTAGATGACACCTAACTCTACTACTAATCTAATGCCAAGGAAGTGTCCTGATCCTAAAGCAGTATCTGTCATCACTAATGGACTGGATGAGGGCAAACAAATTTAAATTTAATCCAGACAAGACAGAGGTGCTACTGGCCAGTGATCCAGCCTGTGCTGGATGGGGTTAGCTCCCTCTGGTGACACAGGCCTGCAGTTTGGATGTACTTCTTGATTCAGCATTGAACCTGGAGACCCAGGTATCTGTGGTGGCCATGAAGCCCTTTGCACAATTAAAACATGTGCACCAACTGCACCCGTTCCTTGAGAAGCCAGATCTGACCATGGTGGTACACACCTTAGTTACATTCTATCCGGATTACTATAATACATGAGGCTGCCTTTGAAGAGCGTTCAGAAACTTCAGCTGGTCCAAAAAGCTACAGCCAGGTTGATCACTGGGGCTGGCAAAAGGAAGCAGACAACCCCACTGTTGCAGCAGCTCCACTTGCTGCCAGCTTGTTTCTGGGCACAATTCAAAGTGCTGGTTATGACCTTTAAAGCCCTATATGGCTCAGGTCCAGGCTATTTGGCTGGCCTCATCTCCCTGCATAAACCTGCCCGGGCCCTTCTCTCAGTGCCACCTCCATCACAAGCCCAGTTGGTGGGAATGAGAGAGCAGGACTTCCTTCTCGGTGGCTGTCCCTCAACTCTGGAACTCCCTGCCCAGGGAAGCCAGAATACCCGCCCCCCTCCCTCCTTGCTGTCATTCAGGCAGCAGGCTAAAACCTTTTTATTCAGACTGGCTTTTAAAGAAGAAGGTTTTAAAGATCAAGTTAGGGGTAATGTGGTTTTAGCTTTGAATATATTTTTAACCAGTTTTTATGGATTGTAACATTTTTTAAAAAAACCATTGACATTTAATTCTGTTTTAATGTTTGTGTATTTGTAGATTTTAAATTGTACTGAAATGCTTTCAATGTAAGCTACTTTGAGTTTTCTTTGTAGTGAGAAAAAGCTGGGTATAAATAATAATAATAATAATAATAATAATAATAATAATAGTGATCCAATTCAACAGCCAGCAGAGTGTCTGCTGTGAACTCATCTTGTTGTGTTTCAAATAATAATAATAGTGAGATGACCACAGCTAAGAATTACATAAGGCCAAACAAACCATCATTAATGTGTTTCTCTACTTCAAGGCCTCTTTCTGCTTACAAAAGAAAACCTTTCAGGTGCAAAACTTTATTCGGAAGCACATTAGATATCTTAGCTATGAGTCACTTTTATATGTGTTAAGGCAGCAAATTATGGTTAGCTATACAATTGCTCAAACATGACATCCGCAATGTACTCAGGCAGTTACGTTATGGTAGCATCCGAAATAATTGATTTGTGGCCTATTTTCCCACTATTTTCCAGCTTTGACATTGCTTGAATTGCCAGTGCTGAAATGTTCCCAAATTTGCATAACCATAATAAATTTATACCTTCATGATCTAGTGCAGCAAAGTATTCCTGTTTCATTTTATGCTTCAGTTCTAACTTCTTTAATTCTTCTGGGGATAAAGGAATTGGTGTTGCTTCTGGCACTGGAGGAGAAGCACCTTCAAGAAAAAAGTTATATATGTTACCTTAAGCTCTTTGAAGAAAAGAATACAAATTAAAGAAATAAATAATAACTGCAAAGCATTTCACAGTAGTTACAAATATGTCGAGTGATTCAAAGCCTAGCAAATTTTTAAAAGGCAGATGAGCAATGGACTACTTCAAACAACAGTGTTCCAATCTCTAAATATGCTTGATTACAAACTTCTACACAGGGAGCGCAAGATATGAAAGTATCCCTTCTACTTCATTTTTCTGTTTCTGAGGCTGGCATTCAGCCACAGGCTACTAAAGTATGGCACAACAAGCAAAACCTTTTTTTTAAAAAAAATCCTTCTCTTCCTTTAATAAGTTTGCATCAATTCAGAATCCCACACCACACCCATCACCATACCTTGTTTACTTTTCTTCTTCCCTTTCTTGGTATCTTTGGATTCCTTTCCTTTGACTTCTTTTCCACCTTTCCCTTCCTTTCCACCTTTCCCTTCCTTGCCTCCTTTTCCACCTTTCCCTTTTCCTTTCCCTTCTTTTCCACCTTTGCCAGCAATGGCTTGGGAAGATTTTAAACGCTCTTTTTCCTTCATTTCTTGCTGAAGGCGTTCTTTTTCTTCCTCAGCTTCAAAAGACTGTATCTCTGAAGTAACCTTAAATTTTTAAATATACATATTTTAGAACAAGTTTCATTCTAGAAAAATTGCCAAGAAGCTGTATAAACAAAGCTATGCTAAATACATAAGTGACAACAATCAACATGTTTTTTTTTAATTGTGATGTACATCAGGAGCGGACAATCCCTAAGGTAAGCCTCTCACAGTTATTTGAGGCAAGACTGGTTCAGAAAGTGTTTACTATTGCCTTGCTCTGAGGCTCAGTCTGTGTGACTTGTCCTAAATCACCTCTTGGGCTATCATGGCTGAATGGAGATTCGAGCCAGGATCTACGAGATTTTTAGGATTTCAAGTCAGAAAAGTCAAACTCTGGCCTCATGGAGGGCTACTCCAGTACTAAAACCATATTGGATCACCCAACACTGATAGATCATTCTTTTTAACTCTGTATAATCATTCAGACTGTAACTGTGAGAAGTTGATTAAAGAAAGAATATTGTGAAGCAACTGAGGCTGAAGCAATGACTATCCCAGACATGGGCAAACTTTGGCCCTCCCTCCAGGTGTTTTGGACTTCAACTCCCAAAATGGCTGTTAGGAATTGTGGGAGTTAAAGTCCAAAACACCTGGAGGGAGAGTCGACGTCTGCCTATGTCAGGACTAACCCAAGGACACACAGAAAGTTTCCATGGTTGAACAGTGATTTGTACCCTGGTCCCACATTCTTCTAAGGCCTCAGACAGAACACTGGCCCCTGGATCCACTGCAGTTACCCACCATGGACTTACATCACAAACACATTAGCCATCCAGGAACTGTTCAGCAACCCAGGATTTCCTTACCATGTTAGTAATTGCTGTTACAACATTGTGCCATGTCTCCATGATTAGTTTCTCATCTGGAACAACATTAAATATGGCACTTTCAGAAAACAGATCTTCCTTGAGTTTCACAGGAATAGCTCTCATTCTTTCCCTGTTCACTTCTGGAGAAGGAGATCTGTGAGCAATTGTAGGGATTCTTTAAAAAAAAGTGGGAAAGGAAGGGAGAGAGAAATGAGCAAGCTTTATTAATGCATTTCTCAGAATGTGCATTTGCATTCTTGTTACAGACAGTATGGTTATACAACTTTATACATGGTAAGGTAGAGGTAAAGGTTTTTCCCTGACATTAAGTCCAGTCATGTCGGACTCTGGGGTGTGGTGCTCATCTCCATTTCTAAGCCGAAGAGCTGGCATTGTCTGTAGACACCTCCAAGGTCATGTGGCTGGCATGACTGCAAGGAGCGCCGTTACCTTCCTGCCGGAGCGGTACCTATTGATCTACTCACATTTGCATGTTTTTGAACTGCTAGATTGGCAGAAGCTGGGGCTAACAGCGGTTGCTCACGCCGCTCCCTGGATTTGAAACTGCGACCTTTCAGTCAACAAGTTTAGGAGCTCAGTGCTTTAACCCACTGCGCCACCGGGGGCTCCCTTATAAATTGTTATCACATGGAAAATGAGAAGTAATTTCAAATGGAAGACATGAATTTATTGTACATGAAACAATGCATGTGGTGTGAGAAAGTCTTAGTGATCAATAATAATAATAATAACAGTAACAATAATAATTCTACTTTACCTGTAGGTCTTGCCCTCTTCCAGGAGTTGTTCTTTTTCAACTAGTTCTATCAAAGGTATCCTGATAAACTCGGTGCTACTGTCTGTTGGAATTTTGCCTTCCATTCCTCTGTAATAGTCGTGTAAAAGTCTCTTGGTATCCTGGAAGCGATCCAGTTCATTCTTCATTATGTACAAGAGAAGCAAATATTTTAATCAAATATTTCTGCCACTTTACCCCAAAAGCAATTCTTCTTCACAAAGCAATTCCTAAAACATTAAAAGACTGTTATATTTTATTAAATGGGCTCAGAAATAGTTCCACTCATCAAATATTTTTTAGGATCCAATGCAATTATGGAGAACAAGCACCCCCCCCCCCACTTCCCGGCTGCCCCCTTTCCTATAACAAAATTGACATTCCATGGCATGTATTTATATTTATATTTATTTCAGACATTTATATCCTGTCCTTATCCCCTGGGGGTGGGAGGAGGGACTCAGGGCGGCTCATAACTGGCAACCAACAGATGCCAAACAACAATAGTAATAAAATCACAATTAAAACATTAGTTAAAAACATCAAATTATAAACATCAATTTAAAAATGTAAACAAATCCAAATTGAAATCTAAAGTCACAATTTGAGGTCTGTCAGTGGTCAGACCTTGAATTATGACCAATTCGAGGTCTGTCGATGGTTAGTCATTTACATTATTATTGCTGCGTCTGCTGCTTGGTCCCACAACCATGATTTAAGTTTTTTTAAAGGATAGGAGAGAGGGGGCTGACCTGATTTCATTAGGGAGTGATGGGGAGCCACCTCCAAGAAGACCTTGTCTCTCGTCCCCACCGATCACACTTGCAAGGGTGGTGGGATCGAGAGCAGGGCCTCCCCTGATGATCTTAACCTTCAAGGTGGATCATAGAGGGAGATACGTTCAGGCAAGTAAGCTGTGGCAGAACTGTTTAGGGCTTTATAGGCCAAAGCCAGCATTTTGAATTGTGCTCGGTAGCAAACTGGCAGCCAGTGGAGCTGACATAACAGGGGGTGGTATGCTCCCTGTATGCTATCTGGTTGCTGCCCGTTGGACCAATTGAAGCTTCTGAACAGTCTGCAAAGGCAACCCCACATACAGCACATTGCAGTAATCTAAATCTAAATGCTTAAATGTAAACAGTATAAGCAAATGGGGAACAATGCCCCCAGAACATCTGATAAGTCAAGATATTTCCAAACTCCCTAACTGTACTTTATCATTATGGTTAAATGTATAAAGAGCAGCTGTGTGAAGTGGATTTTTCCAAGTACAACATATTGATTTTTTAAAAACATACACCAGAAACACTATGCACCTGCCATACTTTTGATTTATTATTAGAACAGATGCCGCTAAATATATAACTGAAAAAAGGGTGTATTCATGGGAAAATTCACAAAACCACAGTCACAAAAATAACTGGAGGGGAGGGGGAACACCTGGCCAAAGGTTGAGACATGATCCTCTTTTGCTCAGCATTGAATGAATGTTGCAGGCTTGGTTTTGACAGATCATGGTCTTTAGATCAGAGACAGAAAAAGATGAGCTGACCAAATGCTAGGCTTTATTCTGCCAACTGAAGACTGGACCAATTTCATAGAATCACAAATTTGGAAGGGACTCCAAATACTATTAGCCCAACTCCAGGAATCCACCTGTTACTAAAACAGGTGTTAATAGTGTGGAGACTTAGGGAACCAAGTCAATACCTTCATTGATTTTCTCCCAATTCAACTGAAGAGCTCAAGTCTGTTCATTGGTATAGAGAAACTACAGAAAGTTGGAAAAATGTTTTCTTACAAGATAGCGGGTTTGCCCCTTTAAGAGTTCAAGCAATGTAGGTAATGGTTTTTGCTGTGGTGAAATGCCACATAATGCAAGTTGTGGCATAGATTTTCATCTGCACTGCAGGGCATTTTCCCAAGCATAGTCTCAAGCTGGATGAATAATGATGAATCGAAGGTCATTTTGACAAAGGTTAAACAATATAGAGAGACTAAAGGCAACAAGCTGCATAGGTGGAAACTCAGCCTTGCCAATGTAGAAAAGACAGGAGTGTGTTGTAACTTGAGGGCTGAAGATGTTTTCCCATCCATTACATTTAGTTCAGTTAAGGGCCCAGATGCCTCACAGAGTGAGCAAGAGAGCATCCTAGGCCCGTATAAGTGAAAAATATGATCCCAGACCTGCATAAGTGAAAAAATGTGATTCATCAAAAGCCCCATTCGGTCAGGCAACCAGCCATCATTCATGATAGCACAACGCTCTTGCTCAGCTTCATCCCTTCTATTTTCACAGATATCCCACAGACGGTCCCGTAAATCCTAAAAAGATCAGAACAACAACAACAAAAATTTATTAGACTAAATTTATTAGACTAAAGTTGTGAGAGTGGTCCAGCATTTCTGTGTTCTCAGATAAAATGCTGTGTCTAGGTTGGTTCATCAGGTACTCTGCTATGGCTGATTTCTCTGGTTGAAGTAGTCTGCAGAGCCTTACATGTTCCTTGATTCATGTTTGGGCAATACTGCGTTTGGTGGTACCTATGTAGACTTGTCTACCATGTCAGACTACACAGAGAAGCCATTGAAATACATAAGCATGTGGACAATTTCAACAGAAAGAAGGAAACCATGAAAATGAACAAAATCTGGTTACCAGTATTAAAAAACTCTAAAATTACAACAGCACAACAACAGAGAGGAAACAAACAAGGACATCTAATCACCTCTCAACAAAAGTTTGCTCTAGGCACTGTCAGGCCATTATATGCTAATCAAGGTGTTCAGTTGAAACATTCACACCTAGCTCCAGCAGACAAGAGTCCTTTGTCTCCCCCTGGTCATTCCACAGATATATAAACCCTTTTTCCTAGTTCCAACAGACCTCACTACCTCTGGATGCTTGCCATAGATGCAGGCGAAACGTCAGGAGAGAATGCCTCTAGACCATGGCCATATAGCCCGAAAAAACCTACAACAACCCATTCCTTTTCTGTTTGATGAGAACGTAGCCTACAAAATGATTCAATTGTAGAGTTAATTTTCCCCCCCAGATGCTGATAGATTTTACTTATTTTTATTCCTCTCATCCTTGTGGTTGTATGACTGACACGGAAACAGACATAGAAAAAAGGGCGCTATGCTTCACAATGTGGAAAATTCTTCAAAGCATAATATTTTTCTTCTTTTAGGTCACTTTACTGTTTTTTCACCTGACCCACCAAGCTGCTAAACTGAAGGTTATCATAAATTTCCCACCCTCTAGTATCTTAAACAGGTGTTGTGGTCAGCAGCCACATTAGCGGTGTGTCTTCAGAGATAAACGATGCAAGTTGAATTCTTTTCTTTTGTTCTCTTTTGTCACAGTTTTAAGCTAGATTCCTGCACTGATTAGATATTCCAACATAAGATCTTAAGAGGACAGTATTCCTACAAATTTTAAATTGATGTTTATATATAGATCATTTTAATGTGTAATGATTTTAATGTGTAATGATTTTTAGTCTTACCTTTATGTATTATTAATGGTTTTATTGCTTTGGTTATACATGGGTTCATGTAGGAGGAAGATGGCTTCTAAACACATGGAGAGGACAGGTAGCCCCCAAGTTACAAACAAGATAGGCTCTATAAATTTGTTTGAATTGTTTTTAAATTTACTGTATAAGTTTTTAATTTATTGTGCTTGAAAGCTGCTTTGGGTTCTGCACCAGGAGAAATGAGTATATAAATTAATTTAATAAATAATAATAATAAATATACACTTGGAAAGCACTACTTAAATGTTTTGGGTTTTTTTGTCTACTGGAAGGCTGGAGCAATAATTTTATGGCATAGTATCTTTTCAAGTAATCAGCTAAGAGAAGATGTTGCAAAACGTTCAGTTCAGAATTCTGTAGTCTAATGAGATGAGTTTCTAAGTGTCAGATTTCTCTATTCTTCAGGTTTCAAGGAGACTTGAGTGACTTTTGTGATTTTAATGCTGTATTAAGTTGTTTTAATTCTATATTTTAATTTTAAATGTCTGTTTATGATCTATGTTTAATATGATTTTAAGGTTTAATTTGTAGTTATATGTTATTGTTTTAGTTATTACGCTTTGGTTTCATATATATGTTGACGTTGAATCTTGCCATTACTGTTGTACACCGCTTTGAGTTCCCACAGGGGTGAGAAAAGCAGTATATAAATGCAGTAAATTAATTAATTAATCAATTAATTGCCTGCCATTAACAATTTAAGGAAATTATTCCTACCTACAACCATTCATTCAAGAGAGTTTTGAATGGGAACAGTTCAGCTACCAATCAACCACTTTTTGATGCCACTTACAGTGACTCTTTGGTGTAGTTCTTCTTTTGTTTCATCATCATCCCATAAATCATCAGCCACTGAATTATAATCCGCTTGCCACTGAGTCACAAACTCTTGCTTGTGGTCAGGGCGTTTCAAGTATTCCTTGAAATGATTTCTGTGAACAGTGAAATTAAAAGAATTTATTTATTTACTAGATTTTTATACCGCTCTTCTCAGCCCTCAGGGCGACTCAGAGTGGTTCACAACCACAATACAATACATCAGTAAACAGACATGGGCAGCAGGACTTATCTGAGGCATTCCAAAATCATAAAATCCCATTCACTTACCTTATGTCTGAAAGGTAATAAATTATAACATGCTGTTCAGCTCTCAGGCACCTAAGTGTTGCTTTGATGTTATTCACATATGTCTTCTCCACAGTTTCCCAATAAGGAACTAAAAATTCAGGCACTTCCTGTTGAGTTTTTTTAAAAGACACATTAGGTCCTAGTATATATTAGGTATGTAACAAAAAGACAATGGCCAAGATCCTGTATCGCAGTCTACATTTCATAACTTCACTAATTCATAGTCATGTTGCAAAAATGCAACAAAATGCTGTTAAGGAATTGTGAATATGTACATGTAGTTACATTGGCAAGTGTGTTCCGTTGTGTATTTGGGCACTTCTGATGCATACTAAGTATTCCTGTTCTGCTCGGGCACTACTTAGTATCTGGTATCTGGATTCACATCAAGAAGAAAGGGTGGGATACAAATAGGATGAATAAACCTATAGCATTTTAACTGTCTTTGTTTTTTTTTAAATCCCATTATAATGTATATCCTTAACCACCAAAATTCAACTTTATAATTTCCCGGCGTGCTATGATCTCGACTCTTGGATCACTAGATGAGGGAGTATAGACAGATCAGGCACAATACAGAGGATGACAACAGCTACTCTGTAACACCATTTTAGTTCAGCTTGACGCAGGAGTAGTCTATCAAGAGATGGTCTGGAATGGATGAAAAGGAGCTGCCATTGGATTTTTTTACAAAATTGTCCTGAACGTAGCCTGCCTTTTTCACTTATTCAACTTTGAATCTACGTTGAGTCACTTCAGACAAAAATGGCTTTCACATCAGCCTGAGAGCGTTCTAAGGCAGAACTGCCCAAAGTTTCCATGCAAACATATATCAAGAATCAGTGAGCTGGGCTTGCAAAATTCTTACCTATTTGATGTTCAAAATGGCACAGGATAGCAAGCAAAGTAAAGAGAAAGGGGGGAGGGAGGACGGAAAGAAAGAAGAGAGGAAGCCAGGCAGCTAGCTAGCTAGCCGTAATGCTCTGCTGGATTTTGAATTGCCATACTTGGGGTAGTGGCTCATCAATATAAACCCATTCATCTGATCCTGGTTTAATTGGAGGAGGTTCTATAGGAGCAGGAGGCAACACATCTTCAGGGGAAGGTGACACAGATTTTTGTCCTTTTCCTCGTGGAGTGCCTTAAACATGAAAAGATCGTTAGTATGTGAGAAAATAGTTAACTGAACACCTTCACAGGTTGCAAGCAATGGTTGTTTTCTTTTGAAGTCCTTGCTTGATGGTCAGGTATTTTGCTTCATTGTTTCATATGCCGATTCAGTATTTTATTTGTTTGTTAAAGCATTTGCTAACCAAACACTCAGCAACCTTGAAGTGCAAAACTCCAGGATAGCCAAAAGCCCTTAACATTATATGGTATATTGTATAAAGTGCTGAATGGTATATAACACTTTTATTTCAATTGTCTTCCTGAAACTAAGAAGAATTGGCATTTCCTGTAGATGCTTTGAAAAGCCCTGGCTTTGCATATCCCCCCCCCCCAAAAAAAACCTGTACAATCAACAATCCAGATACTACCGTATATGAATGTGAATAACAAACTGAATTACAAAGGGTCTCTATATAATTTCATGTTAAAATCAGTATACAAAGCACTTGTTTATAAAACTATTGTCCTCTCAATGTTTTGAATGTCAAAACATCTGGGGACCCACAGGTTTAGAACCATTGAACTAAGAGAACAAAGTTGGCAACATAAGTTTTCCCAGATTAAGCCTACTTCTGCAGATGGTTTCTGATGGTTCATGCACAAAATTATTAAATATATTGTATAAAATTACTTTCAGGCTATATATATAAGTTTTATATGAAACATAATTGCATTTTGTGTTTGGACTTGGGTCCCCCTATATGTACAAATTATGGTATTCCAAAATCTGAAATCCAAACTACTTCTGGTCCCAATTATTTGGATGAAAGATATTCAACCTTTGTTCTTTAAAATGTGTTGTTCTGTGCTATCAAGTCAACTTTTATTTATGATGGATGAATTATAGGGTTATCTTGGCAATTTATTTAGAGAGATATATTACTGCCTTCTTCTGAACCTGGGTTTGACTTGCCTATATTCACCGGGTGAAAAAAAAAGGAGCCCCCAGTGGCGCAGTGGGTTAAACCCCTGTGCCGGCAGGACCGAAGACCGACAGGTCGCAGGTTCAAATCCGGGGAGAGGCGGATGAGCTCCTTCTATCAGCTCCAGCTCCTCATGCGGGGACATGAGAGAAGCCTCTCACAAGGATGATAAAAACATCAAAATCATCCAGGCGTCCCCTGGGCAACGTCCTTGCAGACGGCCAATTCTCTCACACCAGGAGTCACTCCTGACACGACAAAAAAAACAAAAACAAACCACGGGTGAGTTTTTATGGCTGAGCAAGAATTTGAACATTGATCTCCCAGAGTCCTTGTCCGGCACTCAAACCACACAAAGTTGTTGGCTCTCTTTTAAAAAAGGAACGAGCGTGCTTTTATTTGTTGAACTATAATTTCCATCATTCAGAGCCAGCATGGCCTTTCCCAGTCTGGTGCCCTATATATATATGATTTACTAAAACTTTCCATCGTGGTGCCATATCCGGTCTTTTTGAATACCTGAGTGGAAAATGGCAGTGGGTTGATCATTGGCACTTCCTGTCAATGGAGCAACAAGAGAGAAGAAGAAGTCATAGCTTCTTTGAGATTTTCCTGGGACTAAAGCCTTGCTGTTTGATACTGTACCCAGAGAAGACAATTGTTCTTTTTTTTTTTACTGTAAGAGTTAAGAGCGTGCCTTAATTTATATCTTTAAAAAGATCATCTCCTTCTCTGCATACATTGGTGAAAGGTCTTTTTGAATGCCTGGATAGGAAAATGGCAGGGGTGATGCCGATGCCTCGAGAGTCATAATCAAAATCAATAGTTTTGGCACCAAACTCTGCCCTTGACTTATACGTGAAGTCGACCCAAACATGAGTAAATACAGTAATTAAAACTTGCAAATACTCCTTCTTAAAGGAAGAAGATGAATGTAAAATTTCTCCTCTTGTATGTTTATTAGCAAAGGAGTACTAAAAATATAACAAAATTGTACTTCACCTGGTTTACTTCCTGATTCTTTTCCTTTGGACGAATCACGTTTCTTTCTTTTTTTACCTTTAACAGGGGATTCTGTAGGGGATTCTGTAAGAGAAAACAAGACATACTGTATTTCACCACCTAATAGTCACAGTTTTTATCCCTTTTTTTTGAAAGTGCAACTATTATGTGGTGAAATATACTTGGCTGGTAGCTGGACGAAGCCCCACAGCTGGAAAGGGGGCAAGTGTGTAGGCGAGTGAGTAAAATTGTGTGATTATTATGCAAGGAACACAAAAATACAATTTTTGCCACCCCAAAAATGAGGGTGTAACTATTACGTGGTGGCCCAACTACAATGCAAAGAAGTACTGTATTTATTTTATCAATATTGCTCTATCAGTTGGTTTGAAATTTCACTTTGTTTGATTTTGTGAAATGGTTTTGGAAAATATTTCCCAAGGTCCCTGTGAGCATGTAAAGAAGTTTTTTGTGAGCCATTTCAATTGACAACCTTTATTGAATATTTGGTGAAATTTGGACAGTGAGGAAATGTGTGTGGGGAATGGAGAGGGATGCTCCTTGAACACCCTGGGATTTAAACAAGAACATGCTTTGAAATCACATGAAATCTCACTCCACTCTTTCATGATAGCCTTCTCTCATGCTTAAACTGTGGCTGCACACAGCATTTGTTCCAACCTTCAACAGGATTAACACTAAGGTTTCCATCCAATCAGGATTGAGAATAAAGCTCCTCTTGCAAATGCTTGCTAAGTTGAAGCTCTTTTAATGCTGAATGTTTTTACTTGATAACAAGAAGTATATTTTCTTCAAAATTCACCCATTTCCACGCACTTTTTGCCCAATGCTATCCTCCTGTTTCATGGTCTATCTGGAACAATTGCACTCCTAATTGTTAATAAGCACATTCCCCCCAACAATCTGTCAGTACAACTTCACGGCTGTATGCATGACAATTGCCAAAGCTTGGAAAGGTGAAAAAATGTTAAGCATTAAAAGTTGGAAGGATAAACTGTGGGATTATGCAGAGATGGTCAAGATTTCTAGTAATTTGAAACATGAAAGTCATGAAGTTTTGAAAGAAACTGGAAACTGGCTTTAGCATATCTGATAGGAGAACGTAAGAAATAAAAACAAGAGGAATTTATTGATCGAGAAGTATAGAAGGTCAAATAAAATCTGCATAAACTCTGTGAGGATCAGTGACGGAAGCCAAGGTGGTGGGTTGCACTGGGAGCAGGCAGAGGGTTAATTGTATTGTGGGTGGTGGGATGTCTATGTATGTGTATGTGCACATGTTTCTAATGTCTATTGTGGGTGAATTACCATTTTAAAATTTTAAAATCAGCACATTCCCTACCTACAAATTTCAGGAAATATTTCTCTCATTCCACCAGTGAAGGGTTACTGCTTTGGAACTCTCATGCCTAATACATTACTTTGTGAGGTGTTAACTAGCACCCTTGGCATTCCCTGTCCCTGGGATTTGATTGCACCCACTGCACTCTTTGGGTTCCCTATGAGCATGTTAGAGCACTAAGATCATCTTAGTGCTTATCCCACCAATGTCTTAAGTGCTTTTCGAACCTCATCACATTGAGGTCCTGAAGCCGGGGAACAGCAGTGGCATTTGTTGGACAGTGGGGTAAATTCAGTGGGCAGCATGGGAACCTGTCCTAAGACGCTTCCTGAAGACAATGAGATAAGATACTTAGTGGAAACAACGGAGAAGGCTTTTTTGGTGGCTGCTCCCAGCCTTGGATGGCTCCATCCCTGCTTGCCTTCCACAAGCAGGTAAAGACCTTTCTGTGCCAGCAGGTACTTATAGAACGATGGAAGGTGGACTTCTGGAAATTATGTCAGTGTGATTGGGGGGGGGGGGGCTCTGTAGTTTTAAAGGGTAGTTTAAAGTATGTTCCATGTCACATTATTTTAATGTATTTGCTTCATTTCAATTGTATTGTGCCATGCGTCTTCTTAGCTGCCTTGAGTCCCTTTATTGGGAGAAGCCAACAATTCCCATTACACAAATATATAGGAAAATGTGATCTCTTCCATAAAAGGGTATAATCAAACACTGATTTCTGAAATTTGCTCTTTTTTTCCAATCAACTGTGGATGTTTGAATTCATGACTGAAGAACCCATGGATGGGCTGACTATAATGTGTATTTGTGTTTCCTACAAAAGTGGCAGTAATGTAATAAATGGAAATTTGTTCATTTAAAAAGGTAAGAGTTTTAATTATAGAATTATAGAATATTTGTTCAGACTTCACCTAGAATACTGTGTCCACTTCTGGGCACCAACATTCAAGAAGGATATTGACAAGCTGGAAGGTGTCCAGAGAAGGGTGGTTTGGAAACCAAGTCCATATAGAACAACTTAGGGAGCTGGGCATGTGTAGCTTGGATAAGAGGAAGTTGAGAGGGGACATGACAGCCATGTTTAACTACTTGAAAGAATATCACATTGAGAAGGTATGCAAACTTGGACATAGAGCAATGGATTCAAAATGTAGGAAAAGACATTCCACCTATACTTTAGGAGATATTTCCTGATGGAGAGAAATGTTCGACAGCGGGGTCTGCTGCTTTGGAGTGTGATGTAGGTTTTTAAACAGATGGCCGTTTATGTAGTGTGTTTTGATTGTGTGTTCCTGCATGACAGAATGGGATTGGACTGGATGGCTCCTGTGGTCTCCTCCAACTTTGATTCTCCAGCTAATAAATTAAAGCCACAATTATCTACAGGATATTTGTTTCACCAACCTTTAGTTACTTTGGCATCTGCTGGAGGAGAGGGTGGTGGTGGCTGAACTTCTACAGTGGGAGTGGGAGACACTTCCTCCAACTTCTCTGGGCTAATGGCCCGAGCCTCTTCTTGAGGTATGGGAGGGATCACCTCTTGTAGTTTTTCAATTTCTCTCTTTTCTTTTTCTTTTCCTTCAATATAAAATTAGCAACAAAGCACAGAAAAACCAATAAGTGCAGATATTTTAGTATTTCTTCCATGCTTCCTGCAGATCACTTGAAAATTATTCACCAGCTAACAGTTTATTGAACACAGGATTACTCTTATGCACAAGGTTAACATTCAGCCTAAACAGCTCTGTGTTACTTTTCAAACCAATTCCATAAACATCTCGTAGTTGTTCTGTTGAAAAGGCAGAGCTGCTATCACACAAGGTGGTAAAAGATCATAAGAACTAGACCAGTGATGGGCAACCTTTTGAGCGTGGTGTGTCAAAATTCGCCAAAAAACCGAGCATAATTCAGGTGGTGTGTCACTTCAAGAAAAAAAACATTATTTCGCAATATTTAGTTTAAATAACAAAAAATATATAATTGTAATTCCCAGTTCTCTCTTATCATGTTGCTCTACCTCTCTTTATGTAAATAATATCCTTTTTGGAGTGTTTAATAAAAATATAATTTTAAAAACCCAACAAAATATTATTTATTTTTAATTTAATGTAAATGTATTTTTAGCATTTAATATGCTGTTTAATGTATTTCTAATAATAATACTGCAATAATAATAAAGTAACATTGCTAAATAATATTTTAATATTTAATTTACCACTTCATTTAAGGCATATATATATATATATATATATATAGGCATATATTAAAAATATTTAAAATGCATTAAATTAAAATGCATTAAATTAAATGTCAAATTAAAATTCAATTTACCATTTTGAAATATTTGAGTAACATAGCAAAGTAATATTTATCATTTAATTTAATTTAAATATGTAACTCCTTAATATTTAGGAAACAATGCAAAATAATATTCGTTTACTTAATAATTAAATAAACCAATATTATTTTGCAATGTTACCTAAATATTAATAATAATTAAATATTTTTGCAATGTTTCCTAAATATTAAGGAGTTACATATTTAAGTAGAAATGGCTATGCGTGTCAGTAGAAATGGCTACGCGTGTCAGTACTGACACGCGTGTCATAGGTTCGTCATCATGGAACTAGACTGTTGATGGTTGATATTCCTATGAGTAGTGGGAATCAGAATTATTTGTGAGATTATACAGAAGCAACTGAACAAATAAACAACAACAAATAGTATTTTATGGGTTCATCATTAGATGATGATGATGATGATGATGATGATGATACTTTATTTATATTCCACCCTGTCTTCCCAGGGGAACTCAGGGCAGATTCCAACATACAACGGCAAATCTTCAATGCCACCATAGAACAAACAAGTACAGACATAATAATGCCAGCAAAACCCCACATATGAAAACAACATTAGAACCTGACATCAATAAATTAAACCAAATGTAATGTAACAACATTATATACTGACATAAAATCTGGACATAAAACATCTGATATACAATATAAATTCTATAAAATAATTAAGGATAAAAATGATATTAACTATTACAAATTCTTGATTGAAAACTGGGCTTTTCTGACAGTTGAGAAGCCACGCAGTGAAAAATAATAGAGTGGTGAGACTTATACTGTATACACCTATGTATCCACCACCAAGATACTGCACTTGGAAAATCATCATACTTGGACAATGAGGGATCCACTAAGGAAGTGAGTAAGTAAGTAATGTATATAGTATTTCAAATGGCCCAAAACATTCAGAAGGATTGTTCTGAATGGAGAAATGTGAGGTTTTGTACAAACAATCCACAATTTTTCTACTAAGGGAGTATATTTCCTATGCAGGAAGCAGTGGAAGTTTTGTTCAAGTGCTTTTGTGCACACAAATAAAACCCACTTTTTTCTTCACACTAATAAAACCCACTTTTTTGTTGCACAATCCTCCTTTCCCCTCCTCATGTTTTCTTTTTGTGTAGGAAAATCTCTTAGAATGTCAACTATAGGGACAATACTACACAAAATCCTACAAATGGGATAAAACTATGATCATTCTCCATCTTTCAATGAAGGATGAAGTAGTCAAAGAAAAAAAGAATCATAAGCTAAAAAGAATCATAAGCTAAAACAAAGATATTATGACCAATTGGCGTCCCGTTAAAAGAGCTTAATGGGAAACAGTGCAATTTTTTTTGGAATAATAAAGAATTCAATGGCACCTTAAAACCTAACACATTTATTATAAGAAAGGCTTTCACAGACTATAAATCCTTTTATCAAGTGGATGCAACGTAATCCAATTTAGAGGTAAACACTGTGTAAACCCTGTTAGGAGTTTTCATAACTTGAAAACATTACCACTAACACATAAATGTTAAATGACCCACATTTTTGCCTTTTAACATTCTACTCAAATATTGTTTTTCTAATCCAATTGCAGCCACACTTGATCCAAAATACTTTACAGAGGTAAAGTAAAGACAATCCTAGGTGGAACTGGTCATATGTCGGCAACAGAAAATATTAATTTTTACATTTTCTTAAAATTCCAGCTAGATTACTGAAAACACTTAAATACATATATTTGCCCGAAACAGCTAAAATTCTATTGCTTACGTTCATTTTCGATTTTAACGAGCTGTTCCATTATTATTTGTTTCACCCTTTGACACATAAGATCCTCTTCCATCTCTGCGTTGACTTTTATTAGTATATTTTGCTGATCGGCATACCAGGTTTTTAGTTCTGGCCATGTTTCCAAGAATCTTACAATTCTGTGGAATTAAAATAATGCACAAATGAGATTTTTTTAAATAAAAGAAACCAGGGGAATTCATGCTCCAGATGACAAGGATTCCTGAAATGCATCTATTGATTCTGTGCTAACAGATTCACCAAGATCAGACCAAAGGCTTGTTTTGTCCAGTATTCTGCTCCCATAGTAAGAGAGAAGATACCTGCAGACAGCTCACAGCATAAACCAAGAGTTCAGGCTTAGTTAAGGATGCATCCACACTCTAGAACAGTGGTTCCTAACCTTTGGGCCTCTGGGTGTTTTGGACTTCAACTCCCAGAAATTCCAGCCAGCTTACCAGCTGTTAGGAACTGTGGGAGCTGAAGTGCAAAACACCTGGAGGCCCAAAGTTTGGGAACCACTGCTGTAGAAGTTCTGCAGTTTGACACCACTTTAATTGTCATGGTTTCATGCTATGAAACCCTGGGAATTGTAGCTTGGTAAGGCATCAACACTCTCTGACAGAGAAGATCAAAGCTCTTGTAAAACTGCAACCCATGGTTCCATAAGGTCAAGCCATGGCAGTTAAAGTGGTCCAAAGTGCATTAATTCTACTGTGTAGATGACACTTTAGAAAGGAATGGGCACCCTAACCTGGAACTTCACTCATCCTTCCTCATTGCTTTTGTGACCCCTAAGTACTCCAGACTCCCAGAGAAATGAAGCATTCTTTCTGGAAGACCTCAGGAGTGGAACTTCATCTTTTCATTAATAAAATATATTTCTTTTTCAAAATAAGAAGTAGAATGTAGCCATTTCCAGTTATTTCTGGAAACCCATATGGCTGATGCAGTTGTCCACCTTTCCCCTAAGAAAAGGTAAACTGTGATCCTTTCTGGTGTCCCAGATTTTGGTGGGGGACCTGATCCATTTTTTGTGAGCCTCCTGAATACGGAAGGCCAGGAATCCCTTTTCAATCCAGGAAGCTGAAAGATTTGTTTCGATCCGGCCCATTGGCAGCAATGAGGGAGACTTCTCAAGCTCCCCTTCCTGTCATTTTAGGCATGGTTGGTCATTATATCCTTCATTAAGAAATGGATTAAACACCAAAGTTAAGACACCACTCTTTCTGGGATTGTTTGTCCCTATATCCTTCATTAAAATCTGGATTAAAAGTGCCAAAGTTAAGATACCACTCTTTCTGTGATCCTTTCTCTTCTGTCTTTCAAGGAGACCTGGATTTAAGGAGAGGGCTTAAGATAACACCCTTTCTGGGATCCTTTCCCTTCTAGCGGCTGCCTCCCTCCCCGCACTCCATGTGTCGCCAAAAGAAACTGAAAGCAGCAATTTTTTGGCAGCCACTGTCCTGTTTTGGTCAAAAAAATATGGAGCTCTTGCCATTACCGGCATCTGAATAAGCCGAAGACTGTTTTTTAAAGCAGATCTGGGTACAATCCTAGAAAATATAATGTAAGGTGCTTTCAGTTTTGCAAGACAGTTGCAGGTTTTTCCATTTCTCTCCACTCTACCTTTTAAAAGTGTTGCAAAGCACTTAAAAACTCCAAGTGTAATACTTTGGGGGACAATACTGATTCATTGTGTTGGATTGTCTTCTGGGATATCCAGGCTTTGCTTTCAATTGAAACAGAAGCTAAGTTTCCAATTGCCATAAAACAGATTGAAAGAGAGTGAGCCACAGGGGACACGATGCATCCACTTGGATCTTTCATTGGGACTTACTTTGGGCCCCCATTAATTGGAAGAGGGTGTCAAAAAGGCTAACTTCTGGAAAGCTCCCTTGCAAAAGCTTCGAATATCCCACCAAAAAGTAATGTATTTTTCTTGCCCAATCCAAATTCTCCAACCACCATTTTTGCAGGAAATGAATGGTGTGACAAAATGAAATCCTACCATTTGTCCTACAACAGGCATGGTCAAACTTTGACCCTCCAGGTGTTTTGGACTTCAACTCCCACTATTCCTAATGGCTGGTAAGCCGTTAGGAATTGCGGAAGTCCAAATCACCTGGAGGGCCGAATTTGACCATGCCTGTCCTAGAATCTCCTTTTCCTATGACTTTCTCATTTCATTCTGACACACTATCCTATGTTTACGTTTGGTAGAGAGACATAATTAACAAAAAGCCATTCAATGAGATTCAGGGTTATAGAAGTAAGCTTTGATCAACTATACCATGATACTCTAACTACTATACCAGGGATAAGCAGCTGCACAGGAAGTGTGGGCCATTCCCACATGAACCCATTCAACAGACAAAGCACTGCTCTCAGTATGTTTGGAAGTTATTTCTAGTTTCAGCTGCCTTTTTTCTTATTTTGTGTGAAGTTTGGGGACTTTAGGGGCAGCAAAGAGGAAGATGACCTTATGGTAATATTTTTTTTTGTGATGGTTTGCTATTTTTGTGTCAATTCAGGCTGAAAAATCACCCTTTTTTTAAATCATGAAGGGATGGTATCTTTGGAGGCCTTTAGGGAGCTGTATGCAAGCCACGGGCCACACTTTTCCCACCCATCTGCTATACTATGCATACTTGTGACTAACCTGTGTTGCATCTGGCCTCTTACTGAATCTGCTTTTTCTCTTCTCTGGAGTTCCGCATCCGACACTTGATCACCTCTTTCTTGTTCATTTTGATAGGAGTCCCTTGCTATGGGAAAAGTATCAAAGTAATATTTGAAAACCTGAAGCAACACTCTTTTCTATCTCTATGCTTTGTCAAACCTCCCTAAGAATTTGCTCCTTTCTTGCACTTATGAAAGAGGACAATGGGTGGCTCAGAGTTGATAGAAGACAAGATTATCATAGGATATGTTCAGACTCAGGTGTGGATCACTCTCATAAATGGTTCATGGAATAGTGACTGAGACACCTTTAAGTCTGTCATTAGAAGACATGTGTACACCCACTCTGAAGTCATTCACCTCATTAGAAACAATATAAATACATCATTAACCAGTTGGTATAGGGGGAAATCCATTTATATATACAGTATATGACTGTAAAATGTGCCAATATATTCAGCATTTTTTAGAATGCCTCTATTTTGTATAACTTTATAATATGCATAGAAGTATTAAACTTACACCTTCCAAACGCTATGCGGTCCAGCACAATGGAGTCTGAAACATCTAACAAAATGGCAAAGTCAAGACCAGGTGGGTGCACAACTGGTTCTTTTGGAGCTGCTGGATCAATAACCAAGCTGTGCTTCTTCATGACTTTAGCATTTCCTTCTTCCTGGTCTGGATCTCTTCCATTCAATGCCTTTTCAAGCAGTTTAGCTTGATTCAGGGTCATTGGGAATCCATCCAAGATCCAACCCTTTTCTGGTGGCAATCGACTAAAAAAAAACACACAGAAAAAAAAAATGGTTTCAGAGATCAGACCATTTCCCCTCTCAATACGAGTAGACCTAAAATAGACCAACTAAATATTATGAAAGTTTTAAGAGCATAAGACATAAAAAATGAAGATAACGAAATCCCAAACAGAACTACATGAGCTCAAACAAGGCTAAATGTGATCTCTCATCACTCTTCTCATCTGCATGTGCTTCTGCTATCTAACAGTCAAGATAATTAACCACATTCAGATATAATTAACAAAACACTTCTCTTTCATACCTAATAGCTTCCACCATGATGCCAACTAGTAATTCATCTGGAATACTTTTTCCTTTCTTTAACAATGCTTCTGCTCCTCCACCAAGCTGAGCACGAATAGAGAGCTGTGAAATTTACATGAAAATGTGAATATGAATGGGCACATTTGAGAAATGTACATTAATATTATTAAAAGAGAACATGTCCCTCTTTCTATCAGAAATTCTAACATCAATATAAATGGCTATGGTAATCCAGTATGATAATACCAAAGTTATTTCTTAATTACTAAGGGCAAAATTGCATTTGACTGGTTGACTTAATTTCTATAACAATATAAAAAATATATTCCTCCAAACAGTAAGAAAGCTAATTACTATAGTAAAATGGAAATTATTATTATTATTATTATTATTATTATTATTATTATTACTTATAGTATTTATACACCGCCTTTCTCACCCCTGTGGGGACTCAAAGCAGTTTAAAAGCCAGCAATAAAACTGATAACAAAAACAGTAAATTAAAAATTCAATGCTGGCCAGAAGAGGAAGGTTTTTGTCTGCCATCTCAATGATGGAGATGTCAGGTGAGTCTCTACAAACAGAGGGCCACTGCAAAGAAGACTTTAATTCTGTTATTCAAGTGGTTTGCTCTTGTGGGATTATTTTTTCTTTATAGAACAGCTACTTTGCAGTTGTCTCTGAAATGAACTTTTTTCAAGTTTTGCCCTACCCCAGGTCCAATCAGAAATAGGGGCTGCCTCGACCCCTTTTTACAATGGAAAGAACTCTTCTAGTAGTGCTACTTATATAAAGTAATGCCATAGTGTGGGAAAGCGCCTTGTTTTTTGCACAGGCCATGGTGGCTGAGGGATTCTAGGAGTTAACAGTTAAAAATGCAACATTTCCAAGGTCTGGGGTTAACTTTCTTCAAGCTTGCAGTTGTGAATGGAAAGGATTAGATAAGGCTCCTGTTCAGGCTGGGGATTTGCCTGAGCAAAAGAGCCATTACTGGATCCCAGATTGTTCTCTGTTTCAGACCACTGGGGTTTAAATCAATAGCTGTCTACAGTTCAGCTCTGACACTTGTCTAAGCATCTTGTTGGGGGAAATTGTGCATTAAAAGATTTAGTCTCAAATGAAATGTATGTATTAGTTAACTGGGTTGTCTTGGTTAGAACCACACATTATGAGACTTCCCTCAGGAGCTCAAACACTATGTGTGAAATTCCCTTCTGTTTCCAAAATTTTCTATGTAGGTTTTTAAAACTATTCTTTGAGAAAAATGCACAAAGTTCCATGGGAATAAAACAACTAGTTACAAAGTCCTTAGGGTCCTGCTCTATGGAAGTGCAGAGCATGGACTACAATTTTCAGAATCCCCAACCCTTAGTCTGGGGATTGCAATAGTCTAATCTACCAAGTACTACATCAAAGATCTTGAGATACTCAAAGTCACATGCCCTAAGTGGGCTATGACCCAAATATTGTCAATAGAAACAAAAAGGAAAGAAAAGCGAATTGCTGGGAGTCCATGCTCATACATAAAACATCTAAAGGCTAGAATCGGGTAGGAATAGTCCCCTCCTCCACCCATCACCAGTTGTGAATGTATTAAAAGAAGTATTACACCATAAATTGTAGTAAATAATAACATGAATTTTCTAGTACTTTGAGTATTAAAAAGCTGTAAAATCTAGAATTAGAGCTGAAAGTTATCTCAAGTTACCAATAGACCTATCTTCTCCTACTGTAGAAGATCCACTGATACAGCATCACTGATAAGTGGACATATCACGTAATTGCAATATGCTTAAAAACTTCTAATGAAATAGAGCCCAGTGCATTTTAAAGAAATCTGATCCATTGTGAAAGAACTCATATCAATACGAAAATCTTCCTAATGTTTATTGGAACCTCTGTTTTTGCAATTTGAACTTCCAGCATACAGTTCACTATTACAGCACCACTGATAAATAGATATGTTTATAACCACCTTTGAATGCAGTGTGGTCACATCAATAGAAGATTTTCCTAATATTTACTTGCAAACTGTTTTTGTGTAACATGATTATTCTGTTCACACACAAGAATACAGTTCCACAAGACATGTGCATTGCATATTACTACAAATAATGTTCCTGCTGATGAACTGTAACTCTTGAATTTTGGATTGTTTCAGCATCTACTTAGAAGGGAAGCTAATATCCAAATGCTTACTTTAGTTAATTCATCCTCTTGGTCACTCATCTCCTCTTGGTCACTCAGCTGAACAGAGCCTGCTTTTTTCTCAAAGTCTAGGAATAGCAAAATATTAGTAAGTAGAAGTAATAATAATAAACAACTTTATTATATTCTGTCCTCTCTCCCTGAGGGGACTCAGGGCAGATTCGAACAAAAATACACAGCAACATTAAATGCCAAATACATTCATAAATAAAAAAATACAAAAACAAACTAATGAAATATCAAAAGGAAACAACAACTATGACAAGATTTAAAAAAATGATAACATAACCTACTAATTACCTTACATCTTGTAAAAAACATTAAGCATAACTTATAAAAACACACACACAACAATAATTAAAATAGTTATTAAAATATTAAACGGCCAATTAAGCCAGCAAGCCATCCGTACCAAGTGAACCAAGACCAAATAAGATTATAATATAATAAGTAAAACAATGATATCACAATATTAGCATTGGCCTATTATACATCTTTGTCTGAAACACTGAGAAGTGTGAATTGTCGACAGAGAGGTCTTTTCAATCATTTTGTCATCCAAATTAACCAAATAGCAATACAGTAAAAAAAAAAAACACAATGACATATATATGCTTGGGTTGACATGTGCATTTGTGTGGGTGAATTGCTGATCACAAGCACTGTAAAATCTGTCTTGAAGTTTACTTAACTGACTTGCTCTAGTTCCTTTGGAATCTATCACATTGAAAAATGAATTATAAAGACATGGAGGGAGTCAGAGCAGGATCAGGGGCTTTGGGAAACAAACCAGGAACTAAGTATTCCAGCTAAGCTGCAGTTAAGAACTGATGCCATTCAAGTGAGGATGTCCGAGTTGGTTGGCTGAGAGAAGGGCCAACAGGTGGGATCACTTGGGGAAGTGGCATAAATAGCTGGATCAGTTAGGTGCTGGAAGCAATGTCAGTGAAATTATTACAGCCTGAATTGCTGCTGGTGAATCTTGACTTTGGTGTGTGGAATATGTTTTGGCTTGCAGCCTTAGTGTTGATGAGATTACTTGGAAGGGACTTTGGACTACTCTTGTGTCTCACCCTTATTTTGGCTGATTGCTATGGATGACCTCTGACTTCTTTGGACTGTGATACAGTTTGTGGCTGTTTAACAGTAATTTGGTGGATAGGACCAAGACATGAACTGCGATTCCCAACATTCCTTAATTAATAATAACAGTAATAATATTTCTTACCTGCCTTTCCTCATGGACTGAGGTGAGTTACAGAATAATTAAAACACATGAACATTGCAAAAGCACTACAGATACATAGATTAAGGCTCGCTGAAAGATTCTCAAGGTTATAGCCTAGGGACTCCTCTACACTTGACCTGTCAATTGTCTGGTGGCTTGATTGCGATTCCTTCAATTGCCTTTGATGTGTCAGGAAGTCTCTAGGGGTCTCCTTCTCCCATGTCACCAGCTGTGACACCACCTAGCTTCCTGGTCAGATGGCCAACTGATGTGAGTCAAATGTGCTGCTCACAAAGGCAGCTGGGAGGTGGGGAAAAATCACTCTCCCCCTGCTCAGCCTCCTTAGTGAAGCCCATTAAAAGGTAGGTGGGGGTGTCACAGCTCTCACCAGCAGCAACATGGGGTGTGTGGTGTGTGGGAGGACACTGCATTCCCACAGCCTTGAGCTGTCTATGTCAAAGGAGCACAAGGTGGCAGGCTTTCCCAGATCAAAATCTTGCCATACTTATTCACTTTTCATCTGAGTTTTGGTATTTAAATGTAATACCACATTCAGCTAAATATTAGTATCATAACATATATCTATATTTTAAACATTACCTTTTATTTCATCTGTAGGAGGCAAGTGGAGGTTCAGATCTGTTATGTCACAGTAAGCTTTCAATGCTATCACTGAAGCCCTAGAAGCTTCCTTCAGGACCTTTTCAATCCAACAAACAAACACGAAAGCAAATGAACAGTTAACTGAAGTCTAGCACATCATTACAAAAGGGTTTTGTCAAAATTTGATTCATAGGAAAGAAAACCGTAAGTTTTGAAAAATGTCTAAGAAAAAGATTGTTTTCATGTGTGGATTAATTATATTACTTTCAAGGAATGAAGTGGCAAAGTGTGTGTGATCTTCCTAGCTTTCATTCAAAATGACAACTCCGGTGATCTGCAGCCACTCTGCCTCTCAGGAAGAACTTACAGACCAGGAAGAGTGGGCAACCAGGGATGCTGCAGAGTAACCAAAAGTGTCTAACAAAAAAAGGAGAAACGCATCAGCCTTGTCCACCCTACAAATAATGGGAAGTTCAATGACACCACTGAGAGAAATTCTAAAGAAATCCTAAAGCACCCTGAAAAGAGAGGCAGCATTTTCACACTGTGAAAAAAATAAAGCTTTAAAACTTCATTTCCACCATCTACTCAAGTTTGTGTATACATTTCTGCCAATTGAAGTACTGCTCTATGAAAACCTGTGCCAATTAAAAACTTTTAGTCTCTTCTGTCTGGACATAAATAAGAAGAAGGACTTTAGCACAGCAATATTTTTTTATAGTTGATAACATGGTGTTCATGCAAAATCCACTTGCAAAGGACAAGGTTTCCGCTCTTTAATTCCGTTCTCTAGTATTCAAATCTGCACTATCCTTTAACTGTTGTTATTTATTGGTATTTATTTCTTTTTTTTCTACATTTATATCCCGCCCTTCTCACCCCTAAGGGGACTCAGGGCAGCTCACAGCAGAGCCACAATTAGATGATATATAAAGATAAAACAACATTAACTTTAAAGTCACATAATTAAAATATATCACTTAAAATCATTATTTAAAACCACACAGTCCAAAAGTATATTCTAGGAGTTATTCCAATTGTCATTGTTCGTTATTGCACTGAGAAATCATTGTTGCACTGGGAATCATTGCTCAAATTCTTGGTCCCACACCAGGATTTAAATGTCTTCCTATAGGTCAAAAAGGAGGGAGCTGATCTAATTTCCCTGTGGAGGGAGTTCCAAAGCCGAGGGGCCACCACCAAGAAGTCCCTGTCTCTTTTCCCCACCAGTCACTCCTGCGAGGGGGTGGGTGGGATTGAGAGCAGGGCCTCCCCGGACAATCTTAATCCCTGAGATGGTTCATAGGGGGAGATGCGTTCTGACAGATAAGCTCGTCTGGAACTGTTAAGGGCTTTATAGGCTAAAGCCAACATTTTGAATTGTGCTTGGTAGCACACTGGAAACCAGTGGAGCTGGTGCTACAAGAGGGATGTCCTCTCTCTGTACACTGCTCCAGTGAGCAGCCTGGCTGCCACCCGTTGAACAACTTGAAGCTTTCAAACAGTCTTAAAAGGCAACCCCATGTAGAGCATGTAATTCATCATTCTATCTATAACCACTTGCTTAAAATTAACTTAATCCCTTATGAAGTCATTTGATAATGCTCATCATGTCTTCTAGCAGTGAGTTCTATTCATTAGTTAAATGCTCTGTGCACAGAAGCACTTTCCTTAGTCTGTCCTGATTTTTCTGCCAATCAGTCTCAGCAATTAAAATTTCCTATCGCTATCTTGTTCCATCACCACGAATCTCAAGATGGGGCATTAAAAGCCAATCATGAATAAATTTTAAGACAAATTAGATCCCTGAATGCAACATATATTTTTAAAGAATCAAACAAAATGCTAAAAATTGCAACAGGACAGGCAAGAACCAAGCCATGGACACTTGGGCCCTAAATCTTGAGCAAATATTTAGTCAGCTTCCAAAGAAGCAGATTTCAGGCACTACCCAGAGACATTCACAGTATCAATCCAGCCATGAAGTTGCCAATTATAAATCCTGATGAAATTAAAAGAATTTGTCCAAGTATATGGCAGTCTATGTGAACACAGTCCATGTGAATAAGGCTCAATATAGTGGTTTTGTAGATGGAGAGGAAAATGCTATTTGGATTTTCTGCTTCTGAGGCCAAGGCATCGGGTCATCTTAGGTACCAAATGTCAGGGCTGAGAGAAGAAATGGATAAGTGAATGTTGCTTGTTATGGCCACCCTTAGAGGTAAAGGTAAAGGTAGTCCCCTGACATTAAGTCCAGTCATGTCTGACTCTGGGGTGTGGTGCTCATCTCCATTTCTAAGCCGAAGAGCCAGCGTTGTCCGTAGACACCTCCAAGGTCATGTGGCCAGCATGACTGCATGGAGCGCCGTTACCTTCCTGCCGGAGCGGTACCTATTGATCTACTCACATTTGCCTGTTTTCAAACTGCTAGGTTGGCAGAAGCTAGGGCTGACAGCGGAAGCTCACACCGCTCCCCAGAATTGAACCTGCGACCTTTCGATCAACAAGCTCAGCAGCTCAGTGCTTTAACCCACTGCGCCACCGGGGGCTCTACCCTTAGAGGACCTGGCTGCAATTTACCACTCTATAACGAATTTTAAAAGACTTACAGCAATTTGATCCATGGAAATGACATCCAGTTTAGAGACTTGAAGCAGACTTGTTTCACTTGCCGTTTCCTTCTCGTGATAAGCTTTGATAGCCTCTGCGATTAGTGTATCAATAGATAATACATGGATGTTGCAAACTGATATACATAAAAGGAGATCAAAGAGTTGGATTTTAGAACATCATAAAAGAACACTAGTGAGTTTTCTCACATAAGTATTGAATGGTCATTTTTCTGATGGGTTGTATTCTAGGACAATTAGTCCCAAAATTGGGGGCCTGTATCTGTCAACATGATAGGAATGGATGGGGGATAATGTACATGTTTTATGACACCAGATCTCAAGTTTGGACCCTGGTGCTCCTTGCAATAAGTGAAGTAGAGTTGAGAAGGACTTCTACTCAAACCTTGGAGAGCTTACATATGTTAGACCAGAGATTATACTAAGCAAAAACAGACTCAATCTAAGTCAAAGTGTAAGGTCATAAGACCCAGGACCTTTGAAAATGGATCCCTAGACATTGTTGGGGTAAAAAAGTATAAAAAGACTACCTGTAGTAACAGCTTCATATGAAATTGTTACTTTAATCAATTCTGTAGTTTAGTTCAATTGTAAACGACACCCAAGTGTAATAAACTTCCCCTAGAATATGTTTATGCAAATCACACTTAGCAGCATATATCTACTATTAATACAATTTATCTTTGCTATTGACAGGATCATTTTTAAGAGAGACCTTGGACAAATAACTAATAGTGAAAAATGAGTTTCCTGGAAAAGGAAAAAGAAGCCTTACCTTCTTCCAAGAACTTTAAACATGTGGTTTTGCCACTGAAGAGCTTTCCCAAAATACATCCCTTGATTGGAAATGGAGAAGATACAGGTGGAGGTGGCTCAGGCTCTGGAGGATAGAAGAGTCCCATCAATCTATGAACCACATGACCTAGTATTATATTACTGAGCGGAGGCTTATTTGCTCTGATTTCTTCAGGTGGATACCATTCTTCAATCATAATCTGTAATAAGTCAAAACATAATATAATTTTAAATGTTCCATTCAGTACTGTTGCTAAAGATACTAAATTAAGACTGACATTTGGCAGGAAATCTCACCGAACTGGACAGAATTTACATCTGATCAAAAAAGTAAAAAGCTCTGAGTGCAATCTCTTTAAAACTATTTCTATACCACAATCTTCATGACGGTTTACAAATATTAGCACTAGATAGGAAGCAGGGAAAATTCCAAATCTATAGTCACTCAAGAAATATACATCCACATGTTTTTCCTGCACACCAATAGAATCGTCTTGGTGTGTGGAATTTATATCCATGCTTCCCTAGCATTACTTCCCAGTTAATTAGCACATGTATGGATTGCATACACGCATGATGGCTTTGAAGTAGGACAAATAGTGGCTTATCATATTCGTGCATGTGACGACAACAACTAAATGAGGAATATAAAAAGAGCACCAACTAGATGGATCAGAATAAACTAGATTGAACCAAAGGCCTATCTAGTTCAATTTTATGTTCACACAGTGGCCAGTATTTGCCTTGCCAAAGTTTTAACAAATTATGAATACAAACAGCATTCAAATCATTGATAGACACACATCATTTTCTCATTCAGATGTAACAGCAAGTTGCATTTATTTATTTATTTGTTTGTTTGTTTATTTATCGTATCATAAGCGAACCAAGGGTACAGTTGTAATGCATTTTAAAACACAACATTTAAAAACTTGGCATTATATTACATGTCCTTTGATCACAAGTTGGCCACTTGTGGTGTTGCTATAAGGAGGACCTCCATTGTGCATGCGGCAGGGCTCAAACTGCATTGTAATAGGTGGTCTGTGGTTTGCTCTTCTCCACACTCGCATGTCATGGACTCCACTTTGTGGCTCCATTTCTGAAGGCTGGCTCTGCATCTCATGGTGCCAGAGCGCGGTCTGTTCAATGGCAAGTTGCAGATATCTTGTTTAAGAAGTAACTAATTGATTTTATATGCACAAAAGAGGGGGGGGGGGAGATTAAGGATCATTTCCCTCATCCAAATCTTGGCTTGCAGGTTCAAAAACATGAGTGTGAACCAATCCATCAAACCACTTTGAACCATGATTAAAGGATTTACAAATCAAGGCCAGGTGTTCCTCTAATATCCTTTTTCTGCCTGCCTACCCTGTTACATATTAGTTTTAATCTGAAGCCAAGCTCTGTAATATCACTTATGTTAACAAACCAGGAAAATAAACCATGATCACACATTATGGAACCATGGATTTTCATGGAAGTCTACAACATTGACAACCCACACCTACTTGTTTCTGCAGTATCATGAGGCAATGAGAATGGTTAGGGTTTGGACAGACACTGCGTGATTTGTACTCATGAATCACATTGAATGGATCTCAAAGACTCTAGATATTTTTAAATGAAAGTTTCAAATGGGTATCAGAAAAATAGAACAGCAATATCTATGGTACCCTAGATGATTCACATTCAGTAAAAGGGGAGAGAATGGCAGTTTTCTTTGAGAACTAGAGGTGATCAAGGTTCTTGATGATACCCGCAGTTACTAAACAAAACATTGGTTAGTGTATAAGTCAACTTTGTATTTATGAACTAGTACCCATAGGTGGACATAGGAAGCTGCTGTACACTGAAATGAATCAGGGCTCTATACAGCCAAATATTGTCACAACTCTCAAGGGCAGAAATGACACTCCAGTGTTTCATGGAAAGTTCTTTTCAAGCTCTACCTGTAAAGTCAGCACCAAGTCAAGTTATGACAACTCTATGACTTCCAATTCACCTTCTTACCAATAGGCCTGCTCAGATCTTGAGAATTCAGGGTCTTGGCTCTCTTGGATGAGTGTATTCACTTGTAATGGGGTCTTCCTCTTTAACTACTGTCTTCTACCTTGCCTAGCATTGTTGTCTTTTCATGATGGATCCAAAGTACAACAGTCTTATGTTAATCATCTTAGCTTCTAAGAAGTGTTCAGGATTGAGTTGCTCCAGATCCATTTATTTGTATCTTTGCAGAACTCTCCTAGAGCACCTTAGTTCAAATGAGTTGGTTCTTTCAGTACTTCTGAGTTTATACTGGAAATCCTAATCATTTCTTGGATAATTTATGGGCAGTAGTTTACTATAGTTGAAGGAAGGTTCAATAACAAGGTCTCAGCTACTCAATCCAGCAGTGACAATAACCGATGGCACATATGAAAGGCATACACTGTAAGCCAATCTTCACCTTTGACTACTGAGCTTTCACTCACAGAAAATCCATTGACTTGACAAATCCGCTTTAAAGTGTGTAATCTTGTATGGCATCAAGATTACAGGTGACAAAAAACACTTTATTTTAGTAAAACACCATTTCTGATAAGTATGAAAGCATTATGTGTTACCTAGAGATGAGCGCAAAAAGCTGAATTCCACAGAACTAGAATCCTCTTGCTAAGTATTCTCTGCACCAGGGGTGCATAGTCTTGTTGTCCCCATATGCCATAGATAACATGATTCAGTGATTTTATACTGTTTCAAATTCTTGCTGTTTTTATACTATAGCTTTTTGTATTATTAAGTTTCCTTTTTCACTATAACTTTTTAGGTATTTTACCTTTGTTACAAACCACATAGCTTTTTCTGTATTATTACGTTTCCTTTTGCACTATAATGTTTTAGGTGTTTTACCTTTGTTGCACACTACAAAATCTCATTTTTTTTGGGAAAGAAATAGTATACAAATTAAAGAATAAATATAAATCATATGTAAAGCGTCCTTGCATTAGCAGGGTTAGTGCATGGGTCGATGCGTACATATAACTGTCTTTACTTGCCCCACCAAACAGTAAATCACAGGATTCATAGGATGTTCGCATGTTATGACTGTATAATGTGAATGCATTCAAGCTGCCATGTTATCTGCTTTTAGCCAAAATATTCAGTGAAAAATACAGATGTTATGCCTTTTCTGATTCCACTGGGATAGCCTAATGGCAACTAGTTGCTGCTACAGCAGCATGGAGAATAATAATACTTAGGGAACACCCACTACATTTTAAAAATGGGTCATGACAGGCCTTTGATTTCAATGGGTCAGGTCTAAGCATGGACAAAACTTGATCGAGCCCAATTGCTCAAATACCAGTATTAATATTAACAGTCTTTGCTCTTCCAATGAAATTTATTATCTATTTCATGTGACATATGAGCAAGTAAACAACTTTCACTTACAGAGGTTAAGTTGAAAAAAACAAAACAAAACTAAGCTGCTGCTCTACTGAAATATCCCCCACACAAACTTCCTAACCAAGATTTACTACTTTGTACAAAATAGAACGTACAAATTTGTTCAGGATGTGGGCACAAAGAAGATTATAAATGCGGTATTCATTTCCCAAACAAAACTTTTAAAAGAATCACAGGCTATTTACAAAGATGGTGCTTTGCAGGTTCAACAAGTTAGCGGTGTGTGGGTGGGTGTGCACACGGGGGTGGGTGGGTGTCTTTTTTCCCTAAAAAGCAACTAAGTTGGTAATTGGAACTTTTGGAAGGCAATTATTTTGAAGACCTGCACCAGAAAAAGACAAATGTTCAGCATTTCATTATGTATTATGTCAAATCAAAATATTCTGATCTTAAAATATCAAGAATTTGACTATTAAAATAAACCAGCTACCTTTTATCAGATACCAACCATATTGTATGAAATAAGACTACTCACTCTCTGACAGATGTAGTGTTTATTATGCATTACATTTTGTGTCCTTACATTTTCTAGCGCTGTGGAATGTACTACAGCTTGACTTCTGTTCAAATTATAGTTATGTTCTTGCTTATCACAACATACATGATCACAAATTCAGCCAAATAACTGAAAACACAGTTTTCCAAACTGCGAATGAAGCCCATTATCATCTAGTCCCTGATAAACAGACTACGAAGTAACCTTGTATGTTTAGCCAATGTATGTTAACATGTATGTAAAACCAACATAAAGGATTATATGAAATCTGTGCAACATTCACAAGGCAGTTGTCACGGGCAACAATTTTAGGCGGTATCAGTTGGGAGTACCTTGTATTCATCATAATCTTTTTCATCTAGTATAATCATTTTTTCCAATTCTACTATTTGATCTGGAGTTGGATGAGTTGGCAAAGGATCAAGTTCAGCCTGCTCATAAATTGGTTTCCCTTTTAGAAATAGCTCCTTCCAGTCACGCATTATTTTTATTGGAATTAGGCTATGGAAATAAAAATAAATTTGTAATCATCTCTATTTATATTCAAGAACTATATTTATCAATCAAAACATTCAACAAATAACATGAAAAAATTACTCTAAGATTCCATATGTTCTTCAGATGTAAGATACACACCTTCCATTCACAGTTCTCTGTGCTGAACATCAACTGGCATCAAGTTTTCCTCTACCCAAGTATGCGACCATTGAGATTGTTACAAATCAAGAGATTTCTTAAACCTCATGCATCTGGACTGATATTTTATTATGGAAGTACAAGTATGCATTCTATAAAATTGACACTTGAAAAACTACTTCAATCATTGAAGGAGAAATCAATAGAATGTTAAACTTACAAATAGTAATAGTTAATACAAATATACTACATGCACGGATAATAGGAATGAAGAATATACAAAAAGACAAATTGGTTGACAAATTAATAGTGTGTCCACAAATTATTTTAATGAGGGGTTGGAAAGATAAAACAAAATGGACATTGACTAATTGGTATAACTATATAGTTAATATGTTAAATGTGGAAATAACAAATTGCAAATGGAATAATATAGATAAAATTGAAAAGGTTACAATAACTAAGAGGATGCGGGAACCAGTTAAGAATTATTTAGAGAATGTGCTAAGATGTGGAGTAGAAAAATTAAGACTGAGACTTATATTTCAAATGTAACTTCTGTAGTTTGATGTATAAATTGCATGTACAAGGAGGGGAAAGTGGGAGTGGGAAAAATCCAATAAAACAACAATAAAAAGACACTTGAAAAACTGCAATTTGTTATCCTTAAATTTCAGCTGCTTGCCATGTTGCTGTTGCTGTGTGCCTTCAATCAAATTGTTTCTGATTTATGGCGACCGTAAGGTACTTCCTTGTCAAGATCTGTATACAGGAGGTTTGGCTTTGCTTTCCTCTGAGGCTAAAAGAATGACTTGCCCAAAGCCACGCAATGGGTTTCTGTGGCTAAACAGGGATTCGAATCCTAGTCTCTAGAGTCATTGTCTAATGATCAAACCAGTACACCACACTGGTTTCCCACTTGACATGTACGGCACTATTGCTTATGCATTTGGATACTTTTTTTGCCCAATACAAAGTAGTACACTAGGCCAGAAACTAGCCCATACTGTTTTCTAAACAAATCATGATGGTAAGAAGCAGAAATTACACAGTTTAGTTGATTTTTCTAGTAGAGACTGAAGGAAAACATTGGAATTATTCATGAATTTAAGATATAGAAAAAGCACACATTAATACTTTCCAATACTTTGCAATGCTAACTTCAACCTTCATTATGCTATACTTCTCAGTGGTGTCAGAAAACTCAATAAGTTTGGGCTAAGCACAGTGGGTTAAACCGCTAAGCTGCATAAAAACCTGCTGATCGAAAGGTTGGCAGTTCAAGCCCAGGTTGGGGTGAGCACCTGCCATCAGCCCCAGCTCCCTGCCCACCTAGCAGATTGAAAACAGAAATGTAAGTAGATAAATAGGTACTGCTTTAAGCGGGAGGCAATAAAAGACACCCATAAGGACATGCAGCGATTTGATTGGGAGGATGTCAAAGGATGACAAACCTCCTTGGAATGGAAGATGGAGCGACAGCACCTCTGTGGCTGGAGTTGAGCACAGCCTCCAGATGCCAGAAACGGGAAAAGACTTTACCTCTGTTTATGTATTGTTAGTCCTTGTTAATTGTATGACAGCACTGAATGTTTGCCATATATGTGTTCTGTAATCCTCCCTGAGTCCCCTTGGGGAGATGGAACGGAATATAAATAAAGGATATTATTATTTATTATTATAAGTATATTTTTAATCCTGGTGCATGGAAGTTAAAAGAGCACAGAATGATAGCATGTATTTTTGATCAGGGAAAATGAGTAGTCCTTGAAATTATGAAGTATATTTTGTTTCTTGTCCAGGAAGTCTTTCATTATTACCCACCCTCATCAGAAAAAGCTCTTAAGCTAAGCCCTGATTACATTTCCTTCTAAATAATACAGTAATTGGCATGATGAAGAAAAAAGGAAGATTCTGGCTAGGTTCTGACTAAGCCATGAAACTGAATTGGGTGATGTTGGATTAGTCACCCTCTCTTGTCTAGCCTACATCACAGTGATTGTGAAGAAAAACTAGAGAGAAGCAGAATGTATAGCTCATTGGGGTTTACATTTAACTACCTACTAACCATAAACATATGAGGAAAAAAACAAGCTAAATAGAAGGCAGAGATTAGAGAGCAATAGTCAATGCTAAGGAGGCTTTTCATCTATATTTCTTACAATCTTGTGCTACCCAATGGTTCGCACATTGGTTAGTGGAGGAAAATGAGGATGCCCCCTTGTCAGATAGGAGACATTGGTGGATAGAATCTTCAAAAGGTAGGAGAATCAGGTGACCAAGATGGACCAATCCCTTTTCAGGTCCAAACACTGATCTGACAGATCACTAACAAGTGAATTTACAGGGGTATCTCTTGATAGGTTCACTGTTTGCTTCCCAATCTGCCAACTCCATTTTATATTCTGCATTTTTTCCAGTATTTGGGCTAATGACCACCAAGAACTGAGTTCGTGAGCATCATGTGCAGACATTCCAAGCCTGAGAGAAGAAGGTTTGAATTATGCCTTAGGTTTGGGTTTTTAAAATTCTTAATGATCATGCCTATGGGCCTCTTGGTATTTTGGATTTCAGGTCCTAGAATTCCTAACAATTGGACCAGCTAGCCATGGCTTCTGGGAGTTGAAGCCCCAAAAACATGGAGTGCCACCAGTTGTGCAGGTATACAATAAAGCAAAGGTACAAAATGATCATGGCATTCTCTGCTTGCTTATAGCAATTATGCGGTCTTGACAGCATATGGGTGCACTCCGGAATAGAAAAGGTAAATAAGGACCCTTCCTTAAAATATAATAGAACCTGCCTGGCCTAGTGACTTAAAATTAGTCCCTGGAGAACAGGGTTTGAATCCCCACTTGGCTATCAAAAGTCACTGGCTGCACCTTGAGCATCTCACACTCCTAAGCAGTGAGGTGAATGCAACACTTATACCTAAGTTATCCATGCACATGGGCCCTAGGAGGGACAGTAGATCCAAGCCTACCAGATCAAAAGCCTGTGCTGAGCTCTAAATGAATCCAAATAAATATATTATGTCCTAGGCATTTAGTGAGCTCCAATAGTGGTGAGAAGAGAATTCCACTTGGAGACTTGAAAGACTAAGCAAAACAACACCAGCATTGATGTTTCAGTGATAAGTCTATGAACTATGGCACAGCTATTACACCTACAGATGTTTTGTTCCTTTCTTGTTTTACTCCTGAAGATCCTACTGAAGGAAAATATATTTCTACAGCTTTGGAATCAATGACTAATGAATGAATGGAACCTTCCCCCTCCCCTAATTTCCCAATGTACCCCCAAGGGCTGAACAGCAGCTTCTAACTCATTCTAGAGCCCAATTTGGTGCTGTATGGGAGAGGAGCTTTACTAACAGGAGGGGGATTTCCAAACTATCTACGGAAGCAGTTTCACCAGCAGCAACATCACCAAAAAGAATTTCCCACAATTTTAAAACATAAAAATCCCGGCACAGAAAAGGGCAACTTACTTGTTTGTCAGTGTCCGATACTCTCCTATTTTGGTCACCAAGTCTATGATTTGCTCAACTACCTCCCAACAGATTGCATAATGCTTCTTATAGCGTTCCTCAGCTCTCTGAGCAGCAAGTTTGGCATGCAGTTGTTTTTCCTTATGAGCCTGTTCCTCAAGTTCAATTTTTTCTTGTTTTGCAAGAGCCTAGATGGAGTTGGGGTAAAAACAGAAACGGCCATCAGATTAGCCAAGTTAAGTACATTAATACAGAAATCAAATGGAAAACATGTACAGGATCACTGTCCCTCTTGCCAAAACCATGTATGCTGAGCAATAAAAATGGTGAGTTGAAAGAATTCAAGGGAGAACATTTGGGCAGAGATTAAACCTTCACTTGCCTATGATATTATCTCTTCACACACTACCTCTGCAGGTTGTATTCTTTCTCCCTTATTTCATACCTTCATATCTGGATGGATTACAGTATGAAAAGTGTACTGAAGTATTCAGAGCATGTAACTACCAGCACATGTACTTTCAGCTAGGCATAATTTAAAGATGAGTCGTATGATAGTTCTTTTTTTAAAAAAAACAGAAAAACACACATTTTTGCTATCAGGTTAACTTCTGTCTAGGTTGCTCTTAGCAACCCTTCTCATTTGGGTTTCTCCCAGGAAGCTCTGTGAGGATATTCTACATCCAAGAATTTTATGCCCTGTTCTCTCCCACTATCATGAATACCTCCCCCAATTTTGTATGGAACTAATGTTTCTGCAAAGGGCCATTTGCAGTACAACTTGTGACTTTGGTTGCATTTATAAATGTCTGCAAATATAAAAAATGAAAGGGCTTTAATGTTACTTTGTAGAGCACCACTCACACTATGTAGGATAATCAGGCAACTTTTCACAAATTGATGAATTTCAACTCCCAGCATTTATCACTATTGGTTATACTGGTAAGGGTATGTGGAACCTAAGGAAGGACACAAGCCGTTTGCTCAAAGTTGATTAATGGCTATACTAAGTCCTGTTCGAACTTCTAAATCAAAATGGGATTGGGAAGAGGTTAACCCAAACTAAACTCCCAATTAATGTCCCCCTCCTCTCCTACCACTTTCACTGCATGTTCCTCACAGATTGCAGCAATGCAGACCATTGGAAAGTTCCCTTTATTAGCCTCAAAATCCTGAATCCTTGTTCCAGGATGGTTGTACTAACCCATACTGTAATCTACAACAGTTTCTTAAACTTCTTCACTCGTGACCCCTTTTGGCCCGAGACCCCGGGTATATACATAAGTATATAAAATAGGTATAGAAATCACACATTTACAGATAACAAAGCAGCATTTGCAGGGCTTGCTAAGCAGGCTGATTTCCCTTTTTATGAAGTATAGCTGAAGCATGTTCTGCAGAGTCAAATGTAAACATATTTGTGCAAATGTGTAAAATAGCCACCAGGCAACATTCAGAAAACTTTTATTGTTTTCAATTTTTTCAGGACCCCAACGTCTAGCTAAGGAGACTGCATTTGGGGATGGGACCCACAGTTTAAGAAGCAGTGCTCTAGAAAGTCTTTTAATTAATCAATTATAGAAAGCTTCCTCTAGAAGACATTTTATAAAAACAGGCAATAGAGGAGTGGGGGGGGGGGGATACACCAGCACTCTTTCTCTTTAATCTCTCACTGTTCAAAGACTCTTTCTGTAACAGTCCATTAATATACAAGAGAATGAAGAAAGCAAGTGGGCACCTCATTAGGTTTATGTACCCTAAAGCAAATTTCCTAAAGCAAGGAGTTTGCTGTTCTGCATATGTGATGGAACTGGAAAGATCTTGTCCCCCTCTCCCCATCAATCATGGCTCCTCACAAAACACAACATAAACATAGGGTAAGTTAGTATGTCTTCAGCTGCTTTGAGGAATTGTCTAAACTCAATGAGCCCTGACATCAGAATGCAAATCCCTTTGGGTAATAACACACCCTAACCAATAGAGGCTACTGTTGCACTAATCTGTAATCTGGAGGCTACTCTTAATCCATAGCAGCCAACACTCCTTTATATACAAGCCTTTATGGTAAGATAGTACCCTTTTCTAAAAGAGAAAAAAACCCCAATAAAACAACATAAAATGTTTTAAAAAATCAGCAGCAGGCAGATGGAGCCCCCGGTGGTGCAGTGGGTTAAACCCCTGTGCTGGCAGGACTGAAGACTGGCAGGTCACAGGTTCGAATCTGGGGAGAGGCGGATGAGCTCCCTCTATCAGCTTCATCTCCTCATGCGGGGACATGAGAGAAGCCTCCCACAAGGATGATAAAAACATCAAATCATCCGGGCATCCCCTGGGCAACGTCCTTGCAGACGGCCAATTCTCTCACACCAGAAGTGACCTGCAGTTTCTCAAGTCGCTCCTGACACGACCAAAAATAAAAAAAGAAAAGAAAAGAAAAAGAAAAAGCAGGCAGATAAGCAATACAGCTCATAAAACTAAAAGTGAAATCAGCTGCAACGATAAAACATTGCCAGTATCTGAAAGCATTACCATAGTTTTGCCTGATGCTGAAAATATCATAATGTGACTGCCAGGCAAGTGTCTCCGCAGAGATTATTATGTATATAAACTGCCATATTGAAAAAGCCCTCTCCACTAGCTTCCTTTGGTGGTAGGGATCTAAGGGAGAGCCGCAAAAGGTTAACTTCTTGTGTATAGAGGGAAATGTGGGAAGAATGCTCCTTTATTTAACCTGGCCACAACCCCTTTAGGGTTTTTAGACAGATGTAGATGGTGAACCCTAAGGATGTTTTTGTGGCCCTCAAGCTCTCTAGCAGTCACAGCATGCACAGTCATAACACGACACACTGAGATGTGTTTTAGTAAAGCTAAGAATGCCATGTGTGCTCTGTCTGTTTAGTGCAGTAGATTGTTTGGCCTTTAACACTACAACATAGCCTTGGCACAGGTGTGGTTCACCCATCCCTATATCCTTTAGAAGATTAGAGGTTTTTAATTGTGTGCCTGTCAGTCTGAGTCAGCACAAATTTTCTGGAATTAGCGGTATTTTTCACGTAGGGCTCCCAAGAGTGCAAAAGTCAACCAACATAATAGCCAATTTAGTTTTTTTCTGGCTCAGTATCAAGTCATTATCACAGTCAACATCATATTGACAAATCAGTATTCGTTCATTTATATGCAAATCTAACCACTATCAAGTGTGAGTTGGGAATTTTACTTGTTAATGAGCAGAATGTTTAATGGTAATATTTACTGAATACTGGTAATTTAATTTCAGCTAATTTTAATATTATTTTACAGATATGTAGCTATGTTTATATATGTGAACAAAGGCTTAGAAAAACTTCAGAAGGAAATATAAACATTTAAAAGCCAACTTGGAAGGGAACCCTTTAGCCCTGCTGAAGTTGCCCATCCTTGCTTTAAGATGTACAAGGATGCATACAAAATATGTGGACAGATTAGCCATTTATTTTTTAGTACTTCTCTAATTCCTAAAAGACATCTAACATCATAATGAATATGATAACTCAACAATTTTATTCTGACTGAATTCACTCAGTTCATCCCGCACTTTATTAGGCCACTGTTTTTTCATTACTACTAGTGTTGACTCATTTTCTTTTCATTTAACTTCCAGTTGGTTGCTTCTTACTAGCCAGATGCCTGCCAGCCACCATGGCCCTTGAAGGTGTCTTCTCCCTCCCTTAGGTCACAGAATAATAGAGTTGGAAGAGACCAAATGGGCCATCTAGTCCAACCCCCTGCCATGGAGGAAAAGCATATTCAAAGTACCCCTGACAGATGACCATCCAGCTTATGTTTAAAAGTCTCCAAAGAAGGAGCTTCCACCGCACTCTGGGGCAGAGAGTTCCACTGCTGAACAGCTCTTACAGTCGGGAATTTCTTCCTAATGTTCAGGTGGAATCTACTTTCTTGTAATTTGAACTCGAGTCCTAGTTTCCAGGACAGCAGAAAACAAGCCTGCTCCCCCTTCCTTATGACAACCTTTCACATATTTATACATGGCTATCATGTCTCTTCTGAAGATGTTTCTGTGCCATCTGTAATTTTCCCTGGCACACAAACACCAGTGCAATTGTGGCCTCTAGTGGACAGGGGTGCATATGTGATTCCATTAGAAAGCCTGGCCAACAGTAGCATGACTGTTTCACCATTGCTAATGACAGTCACATAGTTATACTAGGGGCATCAGCTATGAGACACTGAGCATTGGCTCCCTTCCATGGCAAATACTATAGTTAAGATGAGAAGAGCCTCAAATAGCTGCTCAGGTTAGATCTTCCCTATTCCCTATACTTTTTCAGCTATTGGGACACTGTGCTCATGACAGAGTTCAAGGGCCAAATGGTTATTTGGTGAATAACATTTTCTTTTGCTCAATTAGCTGGCTCATGTCATAAGAAATACAGTCAAACTTTAGCCATTTTTGGAGAGGGATTATAATGCTGTGCTATTGAACTAAAAGTAGTAAGAGTCGTGTCATAAGAATTGTGCCCAAACTCTTCAGGGTCTATGTAAGTTGTGGCATATAATTAACTGTGCTGTGCTACATGAAAAAAAAAACTACAACTTGTTCTTCTGTTAATTTACTAATATTCCAAGCTTACGAAAATGTAATAATAATATAAATGTTCATCTCACTATTGGGCAAGACTGAGTTTTGCAATCATGGGAATTTAGGTGAGCAACTCCACTAATTCCAGAAAATCCATGCTGACTCAATCTGACAGGTATAAGGCAATACATCTCAAAACTTTTAAAGAATAGTGTAAAAGCAAAACAAGTTACAGCTGAAAGCAAAGAGAGTGTGCACAGCAGGGTGGGGTCCTACTAGAGACTGAGGAACCATGGGCTCCAGTTTCCCTCATGTCCAACCATCATGAAAATTGATTCAGGATCATGGGGAAAATAATTCATCAGCATGTGGGAAACCACAGGTTTCCCATCCCTTCTTTACCACAGTGTACTATACTCTGCTTTCACAGAATCCTAGAATCATTGAGTTGGAAGAGACCTTGTTGGCCATCCAGTCCAATCCCCTGCCAAGAAGCAGGAAAATTTCACTCAAAGCACCCCAGACAGATGGCCATCCAGTCTCTGTTTAAAAGCCTCCAAAAATTTGACACTCCGGGTCAAAGCATTCCACAGCTAAACAACTCTCACAGTTAGGAAGTTCTTCCTCATATTCAGGTGGAATCTTCTTTCCTGTAGTTGAAGCCAGTCTCCAGGACAGCAGAAAACAAGCTCCCTCCCTCCTCCTTATGACTTCCCCTCACATATTCATACATGGCCATCATCATGTTTCCTCTAAGCCTTCTCTTGTGCAGGCTAAACATGCCCAGTTCTTTAAGCCACTCCTCAAGGGCTTGTACTCCAGACCCTTGATCATTTTAGTTGCCCTCCTCTGGACGCAGTCCAGCCTGTCAACATCTCCCTTTAATTGCGGTGCCCAAAATTGGACAAATATTCCAGGGGTAGCATGACTTCTCTGGATCTAAACACTATACTCCTATTTATGCAGGCCAAAATCTCATTGGGGTTTGTTTGGTTTTTTTTTTTTTTTGGCCGCTGCATGACATTGTTGGCTCATGTTTAACTTCAAGTTTCCTAACTCTGACAGCAAGTCAAGAACAATTAAACTTCCCATTACTTTTCTCAAGCTTTCTCTAGAGGAAAACTAAAACATGAAAGATCCTTTTTGGAAACAGTAGCTCTATAAACTAATGAGAATTTGTCCTTTGTTCCACCATCATGATGCCCTCAAAATTTCATGCCCACTGTGTTCTGCTGGTTACATGGTCTGATGAAATTAAGGCCTTTTCACTACATATCCCAGACATTCCTTGAAGACAAGTTCATGTAGAGCTAGGGAAAGTTACTCTTTGTAGACCAAACACCCTTAATTCATATCAGAATAAATACATCCCATCTCTGATTATAAGACAAATAACAAGGCTTAAAAAGATGAGCAAGATAAAGGGGAGAAAGTAAATAACATTTACCGCTTCTCTGTCAAGAGCTTCTTGGAATTCTTTCAGCCGCCTTTCTTCAAACTGTTTTTCTCTGAAAATTCTGTTCTGCCACATCACTTCTTTCTCATGCCTCACATGCAACAGCTGCACAGCAATTCTTCGCTCCTGCTGTGACTGCCTCATCAGCCGGTTGATGAGCTGCTCCTCTCTATATGCCTCCTAATTTATTTTTTAATGTGAAAATATGGTTTTACAATTTTTTATTTTTCCATATGAGTTTTTTTTCTGAAATCTTAACCAGTGAACACTTTAAAAATTCCATAAACAATTCTATTTTGGTTATTTTAACTAAAAGTATGCTCTATTCCAAATTGTGGGGTTTGTACCCAACAGTCCATACAAATACTTTTGGGGATGTTTTTGTATATTTTAGTAAGCACTGATAATTTTAATAATTAAATAATTTTAACTACTGCTGTGTATCTTATTGTGGATTGATAATTCACTACATTGTTATCAGCACATCATCTGAAAACCCCTAGGCAAACACACACAACTCACTTCTTGTGCTTCATGAGCGATTAGTTGTTCTCTTAACATCTTCCGGCGTCTTTTCTCCCGCTGTTCACGAGCAAACGTGTCTTCCTCTAGACGTTTCTGAATTTTCCGGATATATTCATCATCAGAGTAGGTGCTCAATAGCTCAGTGATTGGTGGGGTTGCAAGAGCAGGGCCCTGTATCATGCTAAGAAATACAATTCCACTTATCTAATATGATATGTTTCAATACAAGGGTGAAAAACATTGCTCTTTTAATGCCCCATCACATCATTATCATTAGTATTTACTTGTGATGTGATAGTTTTTCCTACCAACTTCTATTGGCTCACTGGAATCAGCACACTCAGCTGTGACTTGTTCTATAGGAAGCTGCTATGCATTCAAGAGGAACACAGCAATAAATGCCTGACTTTATAATAAAGTACTACGCATGTACTACCTTCCCGACTTTATAACACTGTTTAGAACAGTGTTTCTCAAATTGTGCTCCTTCAGGTATTTTGGACTTCAGCTCCCAGAAATCCCAGCCAGTTTACCAGCTGTTAGGAATTGTGGGAACTGAAGTCCAAAACATCTGGAGGAGCAGTTTGAGAAACTCTGGTCTAGAGCATTGCTTCTTAAACTGCAGGCCTCAATCCCAAATGGGGTCCCCTTAGCTCAATGTTGACAACAGTAAAATGTTTCTGAACGACACTGTTTTTGACTTTACATGAATCTGTCAGCAGCAACATGCAGTGTTTACCGCAGACTCTGCAGAAAACACTTCAGCTGTACTTCATTAAAAAGGAAAATCAGTCTGTTTACCAAGCCTTGCAGAAGCAGATTTATTATCAATGCATGTTTGATTTATATCTATTTTATATAACTATACACCTGGGGTCACATAAAAATTTCTCAGGTAGAGAGGGGACATGATTTGAAAAAGTTTAAGAGTCCTGTTGTAGAGAATCCATGGATCCCCAGAGGATCTTGGAAGCAAATGCCAGCAGATACCAAGGAACCATTATATATTTCTAAAAGCTTTCAGGCTCTAGAGTTTGTAGCTTACTCAAACAGAAAACCCTCCACACTAGAAAACTATTCATCCAGCTATGTGGAAGGTTGTGGGGACAAGTGACTAAGATGTGAGGGAAGGACATGAGCCATAGGACATTGACATTCCTCCATCAGATGATTCTAATTCTGCAGCATAGGGGTTAGTTCTGTGCAACAGAAGAGCTAATATATAATATAAATTATAGGAAATTAGAACCAAACAGGTGTACAGGGGGAAGCATTTGGATAGTTAACTCCAAATCCTAGAGAGGCAGTCAAGACAAGGTACTTCCAATCTAAAATGAAAGCAGGGAGAAGAGACTGCATATCCAGAAATCAGCAGAATAACAACAACACCACTTTTTAAATATTTTGCCCTTCTCCCCAAGGGGACTCAGAGCAGATTACAGCATATAAACAGACACAGGCAAACATTCAATACCTCATTACAATGAAATACAATGAGACACAAATACACAGGCAAAGGCTTCTCCTTTCATTTCTGGCTCTGGAGGCGGTGGTCAACTCCGGGTCTGGGGGAGGTGCTCTTCTCTATTTCCAAGCCGAGGAGCCTGAGTTGTCTGTAGGCATCTCCTGGTCGTGTCACTGGCATGATTGCATGGAGCTTCTTTTTTGCCTTTTCCCACTGAAGCGGTACCTATTGATCTAGTCCCTTGGGCCACAAGGTGTTTTGGACTTCAGCTCCCACAGTTCCTAACAGCTGGTAAGCTGGTTGGGATTTCTGAGAGCTGAAGTCCAAAACACCCGGAGGCTCAAAGGTTGGAAAACACTGATCTACTCACATTTGCATGTTTTCAAACTGCTAGGTTGGCAAGAGCTAGGGCTAACAGTGGGAGCTCACCCTGTCCCGCGGATTTGAACTGCCATTCAGCAGTTCAGCAGCACAAGGATTTAACCCATTGCACCACCCATGGCCCCTATCATGAACCTATCATGAAACTATACAATTTGTGTACATATTTTCCAGACAATATTATTTATTTATTTATTTATTTATTTATTTATTTACAGTTCTTATATTCCGCCCTTCTCACCCCGCAGGGGACTCAGGGCGGATTACAGTAAACACATATATGGCAAACATTCAATGCCAGTTTGACAAACAACATTTAACAGACAAAGGCTATTTAACTTTTTTTCTGGCCGCCAGGGGAGCTGCTGCTTTTTATCGTCCATCAACGACACCGATGAAGTTCTTCCGCATTCCACATTCCCCGGAGTCTTCTTTCTTTATGGCCTCATAAATTAGTTAAATTTAGCCTCCCACACAAGGTGGTCCTTATTTTCCTACTTGACAGATGCAACTGTCTTTCGGGTTGCAAAGGTCGACAACAGGCTACACAATTGGTTGGAAACCCACTCCAACCCGGGCTGGCTTCGAAGTCATGACCTTTTGGTCAGAGTGATCTTAATGCAGCTGACACTCAGCCAGCTGCGCCACAATCCCGTGCCAAGTTAATAACATGGCTTATTAACTGGATGACAGACAGTTTCAAGACCAAACCATTGTTTATGTCTATCACTACATGATGCTACAAGGGTTAATTTTTCAGATGCGACTTGATTCACACATTACCTTTCAGTGAGCTTAGTGGGAATGATGGTCTCTTTCCTCATCTGCTTCTCAAATTTCATGATTTCTGTATATGTGTTCTAGAAAACAAGCAAGTATATTTGAAAGGCTTTTTGTTCAATGTACTAGAGAACAAAAGTAAAAAACAGTAGTGAGTCTGGGTCCATTTTTTTGTCATTGAGAACCTCAATGGGGCCGCACAGACTTCGAAAAATACAAAAACAAAACCCAAAAACAAAGGGGGTAGAAAAAAAATCAGAAATAGCCAAAAGCTTAGAGAAGACAATTATGCTGGGGAAAATGGAAGGAAAAAGGAAGAGGGGCCGACCAAGGGCAAGATGGATGGACTGGATTGACCTTGAAGGAGCTGGGGGTGATGACGACCGACAGGGAGCTCTGGCGTGGGCTGGTCCATGAAGTCACAAAGAGTCAGACATGACTGAACGAATGATTAACAACAAAGCCAAAAGACCATATCTGGGTTTTTTAAAATGTTTTTTTTTCATGTTACTGCCACATTGTCTGATTTCAAGCTCCAATTCACACGTTAGTGTAAGACCTGCTGATTTAGGTGTCTGGTATGTATGGGAGAGAGAAACAGAGACAGAAAAAATGTATCATACTCACCCCAAAAATGTAATTTTGTCAAGCTGTAGACTTTGAATTAGACCTTAGCTATCCAATGAATGGTCCAATACTTTCAATGCAGTAACACATGAATTGGAACTCAAAATGTATTTTTAAAAAACATACACATCTTTTTCAAAAGTTGCAAATGCCAGAATGTAATGATAGGTTAAAAAGTGTTTTGAAATGACATGGACTGGAAACATCCTTTATTGGCAGGAGAGAAAGAGGGCAGAGAGTATTAACAGTGTGATTAGCTAACTCAAATGACTTTGGGATCAGAAAGGCAGACCTCCACTAGGTCAGGTCAAGTARACTGACTCTTCTCCTACGCCAAGTCAAATGGATTAAGTGAATGGCCCCAATACTTGTAAAAAAATTAAGGCATGGGGGGGGGGGGGGRGCAAAAGACCATTGAGGCCAAAGAAAAGTTGAGGCAATTCTCTACAACAGTGATGCTCAGACTGTGTATCCCCACACATTAAATGAGTTAATCTGAAAGATGCTGCCACATTCCTTTTTCCTTTCCTTCTCTTCTCTTTTTTATACTGAAAGAGCCTACAGCTGCTACTTAGAATAATAAAATCATAGAATCTTAAGAGTTAGAAGAGACCCCAAGGGTCAATCAGTCCAAACCCCTGCCATGCCAAAACACACGTTCAGAGCACTCAACAGAACCAACCTTTGTTTAGAAACCTCCAGAGAAGGAGACTCTACTAGACTCTAAGACAGTATCTTTCACTGTTGAACAGCTCTTAGTGTCAGGAAGGTTTTCTTAATATTTAGGTGGAATCTCTTCCACTTCTATTTCAATCCATTGCCCTGTGTACTAGTCTCTAGAGTAGCAGAAAATAAGCTTGCTCCATCTGTAAGGACTTTGTTTAAGTCTATATTCTTGGCAGACTTCCAACAAATATTAGGATAGTTGAAATCTTTGTAAAGTAATTTATTTAGGCTTGAGATTTGGGAATTTTAATGATTTACATTTTATTTTATTAATTGGTTTTAAATAGGGTATATATGGTGTTCTATTTGTTTATTTCGTTAATGATATTTTTGTAATATTTCATGTTTATTTTTGCTGTTTTAACTTTGTACGGAGCTTTCAATCCCACCTATGGCAGAAAAGCGAAATATAATAATAATAATAATAATAATAATAATAATAATAATAATAATAATAATAGATTGATAATCAATCCTGACAGAATGAGAGCAATTAAGCTTCATCTATTAAGTTATTATTGACAGAGAAAGAGAAAAGATTCCCTGTTACAAAGACATCTGACTGATGTTCATCTTTGATTATTTCATCCTCATCCATGAGGACAAAATTGCTGGAGTTTTCTTTCTGGAGCAGAAGATACCATAAATATTTAACACCCTTTTTCTCTCTGGATTGTAATGTCTTGAAGTGTTTTGAAAACTTGTAGGATTTTTGTGCAAAAAACATGTTCAGGAAACACATAGAAAATGCAGGGTTTTCACAAAAAGTATTTCTCTGCATCTTGAGAAAGTTGCACAAAAGCATCACTGATCTATTATTCTTCCCAACAGCATTTCCTTTCAGGGAACCCATTTTCTGACACAGAAACGGATTATAGGAAATATTCTTTCTGTCCTTACATATCACCAACTCTTTCGCTGCTAGAGTTCAAACCCAACAACACCTGCATGATTGAGCCTTGGGAAGTTGTGTTTAACAACTTTGGAAATATCACACAATTACCATTTCAGTGCTATAAGAATTTTACTCCCATTAATACAGGTGTGAACATGCTGTTCAAATATTACATTTATGCCACTGATACAAGATGGATAATGTTGCAAAAACTTTTATATCACAAAAAGTTGTGGTGCCAGATCAATAATCACACAGTATGTTTCCATGTCTGTGATGTTTTTAAAAGCCATGATAAAACCTGAGAACTCACCTCGGCTTCCTTCTTCTTCCTCATCATCTTTTGTTCTTCGATCGCCTTGACAGTATGTTGCGGCATTGGTTTTGGAATCTGGACAATGGCTGCTTGTATCTTAGCCATTATTTCATTTTGCTTTTGTTTTTCTAAAATTTTCTAAATATCCAATGAAAGGATAAATAAGCTACACAAAACTGACTACAAAATATATGCAAATTATAGCCAAGGCAAAATCACTTTAGAATCTGTTTCCAAACAAACTTCACAATAATATTTTAAAACTAGAAATATAGATTTTCTAATGATAAAAAATGTGGTTTCAGAATAACAAATTCAAATTGTACGTATTTTGCAGTTATTACAGATGAGATTTCAAGGAGCTTTACCAGTTTAAGGAAGGAAAATAAGTGTATTCTGGCATCTGTAAAGAGGAACCTTAACACCTGACATGTCTTCAATTAATGGCCCATGCCCCCCTTTAGTATGACTCCCACAGATACTTACCTTTTCTCAAATGGTGGGCCCCTCTTTGTATCCCAATACACAAACTGAAGCCATACATTTTGTGCAGTTTTAGGAAAAGACCCTTATATATTATAATATATAAATTTTCTTATATATTTTGAGGCTGTACTAAATGATTTTAAATCCCACTTTTACATTGCCTTTAGACTATATACTGCCCTGAGATCTTATGTCAGAGAGAAGTTCTATAAATATTTCAATAAAATACATAAGTGTTATCCACGTGGTCCCAGAACATCCTACATGAAGTTGGAGGAAGCTTGGCACTATCAGTTCCCATGGCCTTGACTGTTTGATTTTTCTGAGGCAGCGCTTGCTGATATCAATCTTGGAACTACCACTTCCAGAATCCCCCCACACTGACTGAGTAGATAAGAGGTAATTCAAAAGGGAAACTGTGGCATCCTCAGTCAATGTCCAGTGTCCCAGCAGGACTTGCCATTTTGCCAATTCCTCCTTTTGGAGGCTTGCAATGTATTTATTTGTTTATTTAAAACATTTATATTCCGTCCTTCTCACCCCGAAAGGGACCCAGAGCAGAGCACAGCATATATATGGCAAATATTCAATGCTGGGACAAGAATTCATTATATGCATACATAAACATCAAAAACATGTAGGACTGCCTGGATCTACTATTTCCCAACAAGGCACTCCTTGGTGATGTATCTTTCCAAGGTATTGTGGGAAAGGTACATGGTGGCTCTACCCTGTTTTGCACAGGGTAGAGTGAAAAAATAAACCAGTTAAGTGAAAAAATAAACCAAGGAGATGAGAAGTGGTGTCTCTACATAAAGAAGAGGCCTGCCTGGATTCAGCTCTAAAGATTTTGCCCTCAAGCAGAATGAGGTTTATCGAATTTGCCACTAAACAACCAACTACAGATAAAAGAGAGTTAAGCCTCGCAAATGCTTCAGAACTGTGACTCAGATACACTGGAAAACTGTTATTTATATAAATGTCCTTTTTGATTTCCCCACAGAAAATGTAGCTAAATTATATGGTCTGTCATAACAGGGCCCATTTTCTAGGAAACATGAAATGTCACATGGGGAATTTAAAGCTCCACACATATCTCAAAAGTAACAAGGAAAGACCCTCTTAATCTTCAGTCAAACTGTAATCAAAAAGTCTTTTGGAGGTATAATTAAAATAATATTTGGATGAGGGGCAATTGTGGCAATACGTAAAGCTTGGTAAGCTAGCAAAAAAATTGACAGATGATAAAATAATTACTTCCAGGAAGGAAGGCTATATATAAAAGAAGCTTCCATGTTTACAGTTGTTGTCAATGTTGGTGTGCATCTAGATATACATCCCCAGATATTTCCTTTGGTACACAGAGCGATGCATATACTATAAAAAATACCCAGTTGTTCCATGTAACAAATTGCTTATAGCTATAAGTAGATAAAACAATCAAACCCAATGCACTACAATACAGTATTTTTCAAATTGCCTGCTACAATGACCACAGAAAATTTTCCTTATGCCAATGCAATAGGAATGTATTTTCAACAAAAGCCTTTACAAATTAGAGCCGAAAATAGATGGTGTCAATCAGAGAGCTAAGGTGAAAAAGTTGTGAAGGAAATCAATGGAAAATGGAATGAGTTCTCTTGTTCCTAGTACAAGTCAAGCTTTGATTTTGGGTTTAATATATCCTGGAAGTTTTCTATGTTTTTGTTCATGTATTCCTGTTCAAGTTTTACTAGTTATACCTTCTTAAGTGTAAACTTGTGCTGTTTCTGTTATTTTTGGCTGTTCCTGGACTTGGTTACCTCTGGAACTTTCTGAGACATTTGGATGATTGTTTGGTTATCAACTATTGCTAAACCTTCTTGGATTAAATGTCTTCCTTTCTTAGTCCTGATTTTATATGCATTTATATGTTTTTACAATAAACTGTTTGCTTTTATTCCTGGACTCTTGTGTGGTGCGGTGATCATAGAGTTTTCAGGCCTGGAGTGCAACAGGGTTTTGGATTTTTTAAAAGGTTGCAACTGGATTTTGATGAAGGAGATAACTGCATTGTTGCACTTATCAGTATTGTTGCACAAATACAGTATTGTTGCACTGTATTTCTTATGTTCAAACAGTTCACAATAATAAGAAAAAATAAATATGGAATTCAACCATAAAAGTTAATAATTATTTCTGAAACAACACAAATGCAACTAACAACTAAACAGTACTTCTGTCAACAATATGAACTGGGTCTGGGTACAAACTTGTAATCATGGCACCTGTTGCAAAGTTGGCTAAATCTGCTGTCTATCTATCAGGATGTAAGCTATAGTGTTTAGTACTGGCTATAGCTCTGAGATGTCATCAAGAGCAGTCCTGTGTGAAATGAATTACAGCAATCAATTTGATGAAGGTTTTACCTTTACCTTTAAATAAACCAATGAGATTCTGCTGTAAAAGTGAGTGAAGTTTTCATAAGATATGCCAGTGGTAAAAGTCCAGGTTATCTCTGTTACCTGCTTATTCAGGAACAAAACATGACTTCAAAGCAACCTAAATTCTGTGTCAGCTGAGAAGACAGATACCCATCTCTGTCATTATAAGCCAGTTACATCCCTCCAGGAGGTTGTGATTATTCACTAACATTACTTACAGTAAAGAAAGAAACTAAGTTACAAATCTTAGCAAATTCACACAAAATTTTACAATTTGTTTTCATTTATTTTGCTTCCAATTAACAGTATACTCTCATACACACTGACTCAGAAATAATTCCCATAAATTTTAATAAGATGTCCTCCTTGCTAAACGAATTTACAATTGTACACTTAAAAAGTTCACAAATAAAAAGCAATGTATAATCAACACTTATAATCAGCACTTTTACAACCTTGGGGTCAAATAGGAATTAAAATATGTTTTCACCTTTTCCATGTCTTCCACTTTTCTCCCCTGGATTTTCTTTGCTTGTTCTTGCTTTGCCAATTGCATAGAATATATTTTACTTTCCAGGTCCTTGGCTTTTTTGTGAAAGCTGTCTGAAATCTGCAGAAGTACCAGTTCTGTCTGCCGTGGTACCAGGCTTTTAAGGCGCTGAAATGAGAATGCAATGCAAACAATTTGAAGGAATTATTAATCACATTCCCAGCTTGGAAATGTTCCGTTGTGACTATAATTTCAAAATCATGGGGAATTACTAGATGGGGAATTCTGGGAGTTATAGACCACAAAGAAGAAACATACACTGGTCCAACTCTCCATCTAGCCCAGAGGTTCTCAAGCTGTGGGTCCCCAGATGTTTTGGCCTTCAAATCCCAGAAAGCCTAACCACTGGTAAACTGGGTGGGATTTCTCAGAGTTTTAGGCCAAAACACCTGGGGGACCCACAGCTTGAGAACCACTGATCTAGCCCAATTATTTGAATTTTGACACATTCCAGAACCTTAGACACAGAGAGGATATAACCTAATATCTGCTGGTTTAACTAGAGATGAAAAGATTGAATCTGGATCCTTCAGCATGTAAATCATTAGCTCTACAAGTGAGCAATATTCCCCTTTCATGCAATTAAAGTAATGAAACTCACATCTGAAATTTAGAAACCCAAATCATCTTGTTCTTGTGTTGGATAGCCTTAGTTATAAGAAGTGTTTTGAGTTCAAGGCTAAATGAATAATCAACTTGATAGCAAGGAATTTGGCCAAATAATCAATCTAGATAAATAATGAAATGTTTTAATTGGCTTCCTCTCCACAGTAAAAAGGAATTTAGGAATACACATCCAGCACTGAAAGCTGGCTTATAGTGGCTAGCTATATTTTTCCAGAACTTCACACAGAAATCTTTTCCACACCTAACTGGAGATGACAAGGTTTGAATCAGGATTTTTCATATGTACAACTGAACTACAACCATTCAATAAATAAATACAATGCAGCAGAGCACAATAATTTAAACAGGCATTTCTGATTTTTTCTTTGTAGTTAAATGTATTTTACAGATTTATTTCTCTTCCATCAGAGATGAAACAATAGAGCAGATACATTTTCTGTTGCCCCGCTGTATTTTTGCCCAAAGAATATTTTTCATACAAGTTCAAGTGTATTTACTACTAAAATGGAAGGTCCTCAGTATTTCAGACTTATGTGCCAATTTAACTTAAATGTACATGCAGCACAGATATCGGAGACACAGCTCAGAGGAAAATGCAATGAATCCATCTCCATCCCAAGTGATAGCTCGTGGGGACTATTGCCGATTTTCTAACTGAAGCTACATGTGTACAACTTCATCTGCTTGATTCTTTCTGGAACAACATGGCCCACTTATTTGGATCACAGTGGCTCATCCATTTATGATTATGTTCAATATTACTGGTTAACTGGTTAGAGGAGATGGATGGTGTATGCCAGAAATATCTGCATGGACAGAGTCGCTCACCCTAACTCCAGAGGCATTTATCAATGTTGAATGAGTTAGGAATCCTCAAATTGCGGCCCTCCAGCTGTTTTGGTCTCCAGCTCCCAGAAGCGCAAGCCAGATTGTTCAATTATTAGGAATTCTGGAAGTTAGAGGTCCAAACAGTTGGAGGGTGGCTGGCTGAGGATGCCTGAACTAAACTGTTTTGAGAGGATGCCTTGAAAAATCAGCATAAAGATACTGAAATAAAAATGTGTCACTAAACTAGGACTCATCAATTTCGTGAAGTTAGACTTTTGGTGTTGTTTGTGTTTGTTTGAAGCCCATCTTCATCCAAGAGAAATACAAAATGTAGCAAAAGAAGTAGAATGTCAACATTTCAGTGTGAATCTGGCCTGTAGCACGTGGTTAATTTAAAGTTATTTGTGATCTCAGAATACAAGTTTATAATGCAGAGGATATTGAGGGACAGATACATCCTCAAAGTTTTGCAAAACTAATATTCTTTATTTAGACTTTGTGGCAATTTTCCAAAATGGAAAAAAAGTTTGAGCCCTGCCCAGCAACTGAGCAGATCAAGGAGAAATTAAAAAATCTATTACTCTAGTATGCTGAAATCCTGGAGTGTAGAACTCAATGGAACAGTAATGATGCCTCTGACAGAGAATCAACAGCCATGTAGAATTTGTCGGTTCCAATAGAAAGCACCAGGTACACTCTGATGCAAATGCCAATTAAAATCTATGCACAGCTTCACACACAAAGTGAAGCCTTTGTGCCTTATAAATGTTTCCTGCTTGTTGGCTCTTAGGAAACAGTGGAGACCCAGCATTTTTTGTTCAGTAGTTTGTCAGGGTGGGCAAACCACAATGTTTTTTTTAAAAATACAAATGCACAAAATGATTTTTAAAAATATTTTGATTGCAGCTAGGAGAGAAAAAAACATAACTCAAATTTATATTCAGTTTATCTCTTAATTCCCTTCCCAACCCAGCCTCTGACGCACAATGTGCCTCTGCTATTTTCCCAAAGTACCTCTCAAGTAACAACAGCATCCTCATAGAAACAAGCTCACCTCTCGATACATCTCTGTTCCTACACTTCTGAGCTTTGCGTGTGCTGAGGGTCTCATTGCATCCATGGCAACCCCAGTGAGCCCTGCTTTCTTCTTCTTCTCCAGAGCTACGTACAACTGGTATATGAGTTTTGTGGCAGCTCCATGCTGCTCTGTCATGATGTTTCGGGCTATATTTTGGTCAAATTGCACTTTCAAAAGTTGAAGGGTGGGCTCCATCCGAGAAAAATTGTTAAGCTTTGCACTAGCAACCCTATAAAAGTTTAATACAAAATAAATACTTCATTACATAAGGTCCTTCCTACTTCAAGTCTTCCCTTAAACCCATCACCATTTACAACCAACAGTTGAATTCAGATCAGTTCAGTCTAACTTCATCCAACACCCAGCCCTACGATATGCTGCTTGCACTATCTCATGCCCTGCCCTTTTATAGCCTGGGCCCATTGTACTACTGGCAATGGGCTTGTTGAGTATTGTTTTGATTGAGTTTTAATGTTGCTGTGCTATACTCTTATGTCCTATTGAATTGTGCTTTTATCTGAATTGGTATATTTAACTATGTTTTTATTTTAATTGTGTTTTTACTTTGATAGATTGTTTTGTATTTGTGTTTGTAGATATTTTGTCGCATATGTAATCCGCCCTGAGTCCCTTTAGAGATGGTGGTGGGGTATAATAATAAAGTTGTAGTTGTAGTAGTATTAGTAGTAGTAGTTATTATTATTATTATTATTATTATTATTATTATTATTAGCTTTAGCCCTCTGAAATTAGAGAGACTTGTGTTTGTAGCTTTAGCCAAAGAGGTCAATGAAGGTTAAGTCTGACAAATATAATCCTGGATCTACCGGAGTGCTTCAACATCTTTCAGCATGATCAGGTAGCTATTTCAGCATGATTCAGGTAACTATTAATATTACTTTCCATTGAAGACATATAGTATTATCGAGACTGGAGAATTATCTGTTTTAGAAACACTGATAAAGAGCATCGGATGTTTCAGAAGGAGTGATCAGAAGGAGGACATTACTTGAAGTAATCTTGTCTTGGAGCTCCATCTGAATCTACTGCAGATATGAACTATGCTATTGTGTGCAGAATTGTAGGTTTGGAAGGAATCCCAAGGACCACCTAGTACAATCCATTGCAGGAACCTACAACTCAAACAGTCATCGAATCTCTCCATAAACTTCTCGTGAATTACAAGTCTAGTGTTTTCTGAGACAGTTTGCTGTCAAACAGTTCTTACCATATGGACATTGAAATTTTCTCACTTGAAACTAGATTCCACGGGTTAGGGTTCCAAACTCTAAAGCAGCAGAAAATAACGTTGTTGACTTTTTTTTTTCATATTTCAGCTCTTCATATATTTTAAAATGGCTGCTAAATTGTATCATATTGAGCAAATTGAACTCTCACAAGAAGGCAAGATCACTAAACTGAGATTGTCATACTTTGGCTATATCATGAGGAGACATGACACAGTATAAAAGACAATAATGCTTGGCAAAGTAGAAAGCATTAGGAAAAGAAGAGGGCCATATTCCAGATGAAGGACTCAGGGCCCTTCCACACAGTCCTATATCCCAGAATATCATATGTTAAAGTTGACTTGACAGAATCAAGAATAACAACAAACAGTATCACCTTTCAGTCTTTTCTTCTTGAAGCTGAAAACTCCTACTTCCTTTAACTGTTCCTCATAAATCAGTGGTTCCCAATATTTAATCCAGGTATTTTGGACTTCAGCTCCCACAATTCTAACACTGGGGGCCCTTCCACACAGTCCTATATCCCAGAATATCAAGGCAGAAAATCCCACATTATCTGAGTGTGGACTCACATAACCCACTTCAAAGCAGATATTGTGGGATTTTCTGCCTCGGTATTCTGGGATTTAGGGGTGTGTGGAAGGGCCCCTAGTCAGCTGGCTGGATTTCTGGGAGCTGAAGTCCAAAACAACTGGAGGAACAAAGGTTAGGAACCACTGTCATAGACCATTGGGTCTCTAAGTCCTCTAAGTCCTTCATCATATTGGTGGCCCACCTCTGAAAATGTTTCAGCTTCTCAATTCCTTTCTTAAACTGTGGTGATCAGAACAGCATTACAGGCGAGTTGTGATCAAAGCAGAAAACAATGGTGCTATTAGTTCTTTTAATTTAGTCACTACCATTTTTTTCAGTGCAGTCCAGAACTCTAAAAGACTGATTTTAACTTTTAGACTAATTTTAACTTTTAATGTTTAATAATATGGAAATTTTTTAAGGATTATCAGACCTCTAATACTTGTTTATTACAGTTTCTAATTATTTGTATGTACATTTTTTAATGTGATGTGAGCCACCTGGGGTTTGTTCTGGAGAAAGGCATCATAGAAATCACCAAAATAAATAAATAATAGCTTTCCTTGCCAACTATCCCCACTGTTACCTCATTTAGGCTTGCAATTTATTAAGAATCCTAGATCCTTTCTACACATGCTACCGTGTCTTCCATCCCTTATTTAAGAATTTGGTTTTTCATGACTTTGCTTTTCTCATGATCAATATTTGTTTGGCTTGATTCAATTTACCAATCTCATAAACACGATTAAAGTTGTGCTAAAGGTACAAACCTGCTTTGTGAAAATTGATCAAAGTCATCTTGAAGTTCAAACTTGTGCAGAAGTTCTCCAATGAGATAACCAGAAGAAAATTCTCTGGAGAAAGACTCCTTATCTGATTTAATTTTGAAGAGAAAAAGGAATAGTTTTTAAAACACACCCTGACAAAACTGGTGGCCATTGCATTTTCTATTTTCTCTGTTTGATTGAATATAAGAACTGATTCACATGTAATGATAATGACGTGGGAGCAGCTTCCTTTTAGCTTCTTTCTATGTATCTGCAAAAACATCTAGATAGGTGTTTCTTTCACAAATTGGATGGAATCATGCCACTCATGATTCCCTTTAATTATATCCCATCTTTTACCATGCAGAAGTACTGGGATTCAAGCTGGCTTACAAATTAACAAAGACAGAATTTGGATCAAATATATGGAAGTTTGTCATTAAAATGTAGTTAACATGTTCAGATTTTAAGACAGTACTTAATTTAAAAATCTCATCAGGCAGGCTTTTCAAACTAACTTATTTTTACTCCATTCCTGAAAACCTGTGAAACTAGAACTCTCTTTGCTGGCCAATGGAAGGGGGACAAAACAAAAGGGGACAATTCCAGCCTCTCAGGGAAAGCAGTTCTAGAACCCCGGAGCAGCCACCAAAGAGAACCTTTCTTGTGTCCCAACTAGATATGCCTTTGAGAGTAGTAGGACATTGAAAAGTGTTTCTTCTAAAGATGCTTTTAAATAAAATCCATTGTATATGATAATTAGTAACTGACTGCTGATTTCACTGTAGCCCAATAAGATCATGATGAATCACCCTTTCATTTTGCAATTTTGTATATGGGACACCATTTTATTATGCCACTGTATATAACTGGACAAGAGTATCCACTGATTTTGCTATCCACCAAACCCCAGGGGCCCACTCTATACTAGAATCAATGTCTACTGTGCTGGTACGTCTGTACCAGGAGCTCCAACTTTATTTTCTTTCTATTAAGTGTTTGCATGCATTCCAAAGTTTCAGGGATTCTGCAAAACGGTGGCTTCCTTTGGTTTGCAGTCATAGGGCAAGCCACCTGTCTATCATTGTTAAGTTTGGATCCGCCCCTTCTCCCAGGGAGATGGGAAGGGAAGAGGGGGCCATTTTTAGTTAGTCTTAGTGAGGAAAGCTAAGTTAGAGGACGTGGACAAGCTTCATCTGCAGAAAAGCTTCATTTCTCAAGACATTCCGGGGGGAAATTCCCAAAGCTCTGGCTGAGAGCTTGCAGCCTCTCAGCCTTACAGCATCTGAGGGAAACAGCCCTAAAGTCTTAAAGAAATTCCAGAGGGAAAACAGCTTTACAGACCCAAAGAACTCCAGCTGGAGAATCTACAAGCTTTGTCTGGTAGGTTTACTCGGTACCAAGACGCAGTTTGGAATTGGTAGTAGATCCCACACCAACAAAACTTAGATAACAGACAGCCTGGGAGAGGTTAAAAAAGGGTTTTCCTCTCAAAGTATAAGAACAATTAACGAAGACAGTTGCCTGTCCCTTGTGGACAAGATTAAGGAAGTCACCAGTTGATTTAAAGCCTTGAAGCATTTGTTTGACTCATTGAAGATTTGAGAAATATCTGTTTAATTTGTTCAATAATAAAGGACTTTGTTTAACCTTTCAAGCCATCTAAAGACCATTTCTTCGGGGAAATCCTTGAGGGCCTCTTTCGTGGCACCCTGGCTTCCTGGGCACAAGGTGCACCTCCTATTTCAAAAGACAATTATGACAGGCCCAGTGCGTGACAGAACATTTACATTCTCCACTTTTCAAGATGTGTCAGCCTTCTTCTGAGAAGGGACGGCTCTGTAAGGCTGCGGTCCACAAAAACGTTTATTAAACATAATGCCTGAAAGTGTTAAAAGTATATTCTTGAGTGAAGATAGCAGTTCAAGTGTTTATAACAGCCTCTCCCACAACCCTAAGAGAAATCTAGTCATTCTGATTCAAATTAGGGGAATTTATTCTCTAATTTGGTGGATGATGTTTTCTCTGTAGAGAAGGCATTTGTAGCTGAAACAAAGGGAACTACAAGATAAACATGTACCTATGAGAACTGTCTGACCTCTAGAGTCCTTATTAATTGAGGGAACTAAACCACTTTGTCCAGGCCCTGGGTGATGAAAATCCTCCCTCCCTTTCTTTCCCCCATGGTAATTTCAGAGATGTGAAGGGATTGTTATGCAACTCAGAACAAACACTGTATACCACAGGGATTTCAATTAAGAAGCTTTCATTTGATGAAGTGTGGGGATGTACATACACAAACCTGTCTACTTGGGGTCTTAACGCAAGCTTTCTCAAACTGGGAACTGCTTCACAAAGTACTTTCCAGAAATGCAAAATGGGTAAAGAAATAATGATAAATTTAACATCCCAAACAATTGTTGTTGTTGCTGGAGCCCCCGGTGTCGCAGTGGGTTAAACCCCTGTGCCGGCAGGACTGAAGACTGACAGGTCGCAGGTTCGAATCTGGGGAGAGGCGGATGAGCACCCTCTATCAGCTCCAGCTCTCCATGCAGGGACACGAGAGAAGCCTCCCACAAGGATGGCAAAACATTGAAACATCCGGGCATCCCCTGGGCAACGTCCTTGCAGACGGCCAATTATCTCACACCAGAAGCGACTTGCAATTTCTCAAGTCGCTCCTGACACGACAAAAAAAATTGCTGTTGCTCTTGTGTGCCTTTAAATCATTTCTGACTTATAGCAGCCCTAAGGAGAAACTATAACAGGGTTTTCTTGACAAAAGTTTTCAAGGAGGCTGAGACAGTGTGTCTTGCCTAAGGTCACCCAGTGTGTTTCTATAGCCAAGCAAGGATTCGAACCCTGAACATCAAGTTCATAATCCAATGCAGGCTTTAAACAAATACATAGTATTTGTTTATTTATTTATTTCTGACATTTCTACCCTGTCCTTCTCAACTCCCGAGGGGGGACTCAGGGAGCCTTACAACTGGCAACAATTCAATGCTGTAACATACACAAATATAAACAACAATTTAAAACAATAAATAAAACATTTAACAGTTAAAACAAATTAAAACAGTTAAAACAAATTAAAACATTATTATCAAACCATATATCAATTTCCAGTAAGCAGCAACATGTAATTTTGTTGTCTAATACAAAGTTTGAATACCATCATCCAATAAAGACACATTTTATTGCACAATGCTGAATCAGATTATATATATATATATATATATATATATATATATATACATACATATACACACACATTTGTACATAAAGACATGGTAGAAACCAAAAAGCAACTCCCATGCCCCCCCCCCTTTTGTCCCTTATTAAAGGTTCTATCTAGATATGACCTAATAAAATTTAAAGAACACCGCTGAATCAGAGCAAAGGAATCAGCAATTCTGTTACTTTACTTATCACAAATTAGGACATCACTGCAGTTGCATCTTTCTCCCCAGAAACTGGCATTCTTAATGGAGAACCATCAAAATTAGTCTTCAATAGCTTTATTCTTTATTTTTAGCCTTATCCTAACATTGTTTAAGGGCACCCACATTTGTGACCATTATTATTATATCTTGATAGTTTTACAATGTGCAGTGCTGCAAATCTTTACGTGCAAAAATGTTAACTATTTCTTTATTACCCGAAACTCAGAATTCAGAATAATTGTGATGACACTGGCAAATCCAGATTTCAGGACCCCAGTTTCAACATCAAGAACAAGGAAGTTGCACAAAATTCCTCCCAACTATTTTTCAACAGTAGTTCACTGACTAGTGCCTCCTTTTCTTCACACCCCTCAACTCTACTGAAGAATAGAATCAACATTCCTGCAAATTACTTATTGTAAACTAGCTATCCCCTGCTACGCATTGCTGTGGCCCAGTCTTGTGAGCTGGAAAATAAAGTAATGAGAAAGTGTTGGTTTCTTATATATGTAATGTCTTGATGCTTGTGGGTTAAAAGTATTTCTTGTTGTTTCTTTGTCAGTGTTGATGTGGAGATTGTTTTGCCTGCTCTGGAACATACAACATATCATTGTCCTTCTTTAGAAGTCCCTTTCAAATCTATGATACTATATCTGTGTAGGAAGTTTGCCCTAATTCTCTCGTTGGTGGGGTTCAGAATGCTCTTTAATTGTAGGTGAACTATAAATCCCAGTAACTACAACTCCCAAATGTCAAGGTCTATTTTACCCAAACTTCATCTGTGTTCATATTTGGGCATATTGAGTATTTGTGCCAAGTTTGGTCCAGAACCATCACTGTTTGAGTCCACATTGCTCTCTGGATGTAAGTGAACTGCAACTCCCAAACTCAAGGTCAATGCCCACCAAACCCTTCCAGTATTCTCTGTTTGTCATTGGAGTTCTGTGTGGTGATTGGTTCAAGATTGGTTCAATTCCATCATTGGTGGGGTCACCAAAGACCATTAGAAAACACAGTATTTTCTGTTGGTCATGGGGGTTCTGTGTGGGAAGTTTGGCCCAATTCTATCATTGGCGGGGTTCAGAATGCTCTTTGATTGTAGATTAACTATAAATCCCAGTAACTACAACTCTCAAATGACATTTTTTTTGTATGATGGTCACTCCTTGGGTTAATAAGCATTTTGTGGCCAAATTTGGCGGCAATTCATCCAGTGGTTTTTGAGTTATGTTAATCCCACAAACGAACATTACATTTTTATTTATATAGATAGACAACAAATTCCTTGTTGCTCAGGGAAATATTATTTCCTTAGAAATGCTCAACATTACTTCATGGCTGATTGTGGAGGAGGAAGAATTTGTTAATCCGCTGGCATCTATTTTTCAATGGCAATCAAAGGAAAGGAAGTAAATCTAAGAAAAATGTGTTGTCGAAGGCTTTCATGGCCGGAATCACTGGGTTGCTGTGAGTGTTCCGGGTTGTATGGCCGTGTTCCAGAAGCATTCTCTCCTGATTTTTCCACTTGCCTAGTTTCCAACAGACCTCACAACCTCTCAGCGTGCCTGCCATAGATGTGGGCAAAATGTCAGGAGAGAATGCTTCTGGAACATGGCCATACATCCCAGAAAACTCAAGTTTGCCCATGCCTGCCTTAGGCTGACAATCTAATTAAGAGATGACACAAAAGGAAAAGGAAAAATAGATGACACAAAAGGAAAAGAGATGACACAAAAGGAAAAGGAAAAAGGGATGACAATGGGAGAGAGTATTATTCATGAGTTTTTAATAGCTTTTGTCCTCCCAACCCTGTGAAACGTGGACTGTCTACAGATATCACATGCAACTCCTGGAACGATTCCATCAGTGCTGCCTCCGGAAAATCCTGAAAATCTCTTGGGAAGACAGGCGGACAAACGTCAGCGTGCTGGAAGAAGCAAACACCACCAGCATTGAAGCGATGGTCGTCTGCCATCAACTCCGCTGGACCAGCCACATTGTCCGGATGCCTGACCACCGTCTCCCAAAGCAGTTGCTCCACTCTGAACTCAAGAACGGAAAATGGAATGTTGGAGGACAGGAAAAGAGATTTAAAGATGGGCTCAAGGTAAAGGTAAAGGTAGTTCCCTGACATTAAGTCCAGTCATGTCTGACTCTGGGGTATGGTGCTCATCTCCATTTCTAAGCTGAAGAGGCAGCGTTGTCCGTAGACACCTCCAAGGTCATGTGGCCGGCATGACTGCATGGAGCGCCGTTACCTTCCCGCCGGAGCGGTACCTATTGATCTACTCACATTTGCATGTTTTCGAACTGCTAGGTTGTCAGAAGCTAGGGCTGACAGCGGAAGCTCACGCCGCTCCCCGGAATCGAACCTGCGACCTTTCGATCAACAAGCTCAGCAGCTCAGTGCTTTAACCCACTGCGCCACCGGGGGCTCCCGATGGGCTCAAAGACAATCTTAAAAACTTTGGCGTAGACACTGAGAACTGGGAAGCCCTGGCCCTTAAGTGCTCCAGCTGGAGGTCAGCTGTGACCAGCAGTGCTGCAGAATTTGAAGAGGCATGAGTGGATGGTGAAAGAGGGAAACGTGCCAGGAGGAAGGCGCGTCAATCCAACTCCGACCGAGACCGCCTTCCACCTGGAAACCAATGCCCTCACTGTGGGAGAAGATGCAGGTCAAGAATAGGGCTCCACAGCCACCTACGGACCCACAAGACTACTGATCATGGAAGGCTATCCTACTCATCCAAGGAGGGATCGCCTAAGTATTCATGAGTGACAGCATAGTGTAGTAGTAGTTGCGCCATGAACTAAGACTCTGAAGATGAGGGCTAGAATCTTTGCACAGCACTGGAAACCCACTTGGGAAAGTCACACTCTCTCAGCCTCAAAGGAAGACAAACAAATCTTGACACAAAAAGCCAGTGACAAGTTTGCTCTAGAGTGCATCTACACTGTAGAATCAATGTGGTTTGATACCACTTTGGGCCCTTCCACACAGCCCTAAATCCCAGAATATCAAGGCAGAAAATCCCACAATATCAGTTTTGAACTGGATTACCTGAGTCCACCCTCAGGTAACGTGGGATGTTCTGGCTTGATATTTTGGGATATAGGGCTGTGTGGAAGGGGCCTTTAAACTGCCATGGCTCAACACTATACACAGTCTATCCATGGAAGGCATTAATTCATTGCACAAACAATGATACATCTGATAATATTCCCTCTGCATAAACCTCTCTCCAAGGCAGCCGCCTCAGAGCTCGGCCTCACCCACTGTGCGCGAGAGCCTCACTTCCCGGTTCAGCCAATCACAGAGAATGTCCGTCATGGCCGCGAGCCGGGGCTCCTCGCGCCCCTTCTCCGCTTCGCTGCTGCCGCTGCTGCTGGGCGCGAGACCGGCTCGAGCGTTCCGCGTCCCGTCACCATGACAACCGAGGCAGCTCGCGCAGGCGCAGATAAGAAAGGCAGACCAAGGCGGGCAGGTGGAGGAAATTCACTAGCTGGCCGAAGTTGACATGACTTGAACGCGCCTGCGCAGTCGAAAAGGGACTTTTCCGGTGTGCCAAGCATTTTTTTATTTTTTTGGGACAAACGAATCCATGTACTTTGACAGGACATTATTCACTGCTATGGAATCCATCCTGGGAGTGGTAGTTTGGTGAGGCAGCAGCACTCTTTGGCAAAGAAGGGTCTGGAGAACAAGCCCTATGAGGAGCGGCTTAAGGAGCTGGGCATGTTTAGCCTGAAGAAGAGAAGACTGAGAGGAGATATGATAGCCATAAATATGTGAGAGGAAGCCACAGGGAGGAGGGAGCAAGCTTGTTTTCTGCTTCCTTGGAGACTAGGACGTGGAACAATGGCTTCAAACTACAAGAAGGAGATTCCATCTGAACATGAGGAAGAACTTCCTGACTGTGAGAGCCGTTCAGCAGTGGAACTCTCTGCCCCGGAGTGTGGTGGAGGCTCCTTCTTTGGAAGCTTTTAAACAGAGGCTGGATGGCCATCTGTCAGGGGTGATTTGAATGCAATATTCCTGCTTCTTGGCAGGGGGTTGGACTGGATGGCCCATGAGATCTCTTCCAACTCTTTGATTCTATGATTCTAGACCCATTCTCAGAGTGGTTTGGCCACCTGAAACAATGAATGCATGCATCCACACTGTAGAATCAATACAGTTTCAGAATTCCATAACATGGAGTCATGCCAGTTAAAGTGGTGTCAAATTGCATCAATTCTACAATGTAGATCCATTCTCAAAGATGGTTTTGCCACCTGAAACAGTGAATACATGTATCCACACTGTAGAATCAATGCAGTTTCAGACTACTTATAGAGTGATGCCAAACTGCATCAGTTTTATAGTGTACATCAGGCATGGGCAAACTTCGACCCTCCGGGTGCTTTGGACTTCAACTCCCACAATTCCTAACAGCCTACTGGCTGTTAGGAATTGTGGGAGTTGAAGTCCAAAACACTCAGAGGGCCAAAGTAGACGCACCCAAAGTTATCCATATTTGCAGGTACTGATCCTTGTCCTAAATACAAGGATCAAAGTTTGAACTGGGCCCCGGCCCAAACTGGTAGCCAGTGAAGGGATTTCCAGAGGGGACAAACATGTAAATATTTTGAGGGATTTAAAACAATCCGCATGGCTTAAGTTAAGGCCAGAGAGAGAGAACAGAGCAAAAAGGGAAACTTGCCAGGAGGCTATTGCAACAATACCAACGCCTGGATAAAGAGTCTTGATGGTCAAGAACCTATGGACCCTATATATGTATTGTCGAAGGCTTTCATGGCCGGAATCACTGGGTTGTTGTAGTTTTTTTCGGGCTATATGGCCATGTTCTAGAGGCATTCTCTCCTGATGTTTCGCCTGCATCTATGGCAAGCACCTCATCTCACAACCTCCGAGGATGCTTGCCATAAATGCAGGTGAAACGTCAGGAGAGAATGCCTCTAGAAAATGGCCATATAGCCCGAAAAAACCTACAACGACCCTATATATGTTCAAAACATGAAATTTATATGCCTCTGCTTGCACCTCAATAGAGGGACACAGGGACTCCCATCTAAACTGACCGTTTAATGCAGTTCAGAGCTCAAACTGTGGCAGCCAGACAATAAACTCCATCAAAAGCAGCCAAAAAAACACCTTTAATGTGCATCACTGCTCTCTGGTTTCTGTAATCACTATCCGGGCCTCAGACTAGTTCCAGGGTTTCTATGGAATCATTTGCACAGTGCAAACAGTTTCTTCGATACAAGTTTGAAACCACATTAAATTGTTAGTATAAACGGAAACAAGAGTAAAGGGTGATCCAGCAGGACTCCAAGGTTCCTGGCAACAAAAACAGGTACCACTATACACCACTGTGCTGTCCTATGGTCAAGTTTTTGAATGACACAGTTTAAAAAGAATAGTGGCAAACTGGGCTGTGTCTAAAGAAGAGCCATGGTTATATCAAACTATATGAGAAATGTCTGTTAGGACAGTGGTTCCTAACCTTTTTTTTCACCAAGGATCACTTGGCCAGGGACCACTTTGACTAGAAACCGCTCTCCAACATTAGTACCAAAAGGTTATGAATCAGTTTTTGGTCAACTTTAGATTCGATTTGGTTATTTGGGGTGCTGATTCAGAAAATTGCATTGAATAAATCACATCAACTCTAGTTTCTGATACAGAATGTATATCATCCAGTAGTTGCCATCTGCTCGCCCACAAAAAACCATATTTAATAATCTAGGGCTGATGTGGTCTATCCAGTGCAATGTTTTGAATCAGCACTTCAAAAATACCCTGGAACAGGCCTAAAAACCAAGTCACCAAGGTGTCCCCACTTCCAGCTCCCACATGAAATGGCTCCACTCGGAGGGAGGGAGGGAGGAGGAGGAGGAGTAGCAGTCAGGAGGCTTGTCGTGACTTTTGTGGGTAGTCAGCCTTGGTTATCACAAAGAGAAAGAAACATGTTAGGCGATATGACAATTCTCATCAACGTTTTTGAAAGACTGATACAAATAAAAAGCAAGGTTGTTCTCCACTGCTCAAGAGGACATAATCCAAACCAATTAAAATTAGGAGAAAGGAGGTTCAACATTAAGAGGTGATTCCTGATGGTTGACCCCTGCTCAAAAGTGGAATGGAATATCTCAGAAAGTGGTAGACTCTTCTTTGTTGGATTTTTTTTAAAAAAACTGATTGTGTGACAATCTCCCAGCAAACGTTTTAGCTGTGGGCTCCCTGTATTGGTAGTGGGATGACTAGATGAGCTCTGGGTCATCTTCCAATACTATGTTGAATTTAAGAATCTCTCATCTGTTTACTTAGTTTTATCTGTAGCTTGGAATGTTTAAGTCACCTTGTTGCCATTCCAAAGATATTTATTGTCAATTTAATTCTCAGTGCTGAGCTATAGTTTCATCCTGAATAGCATTAAAGATCAAATTGGGAAAGACTTGGGGTCTTCTTACACTGTAGAATTAGTGCAGTTTGCCACCACTTTAGCTGCTATGGCCCAGTGCTGTGGAGTAATGGGAATTGTTGTTTTACAAGGTCTAGCTTTCTCTGCTCAAGAGTTTGAGTGCTTTGCTAAATGACAAATGTTGGGAAGACATAGGAAGATACAAATGGAAGGCCACTGTTTCTGACCATTTCCTTAATGAGGCAGAGAGACTGCAAGGTAAGTTTTGCCTTATCTGGAAAAATCCTCATTCAGTAGACTGCATTATTGGCAACTATAAATATTAATTAGCATCTGATTAAAATTTTGCCAGGACAAAGGGTCAAATCTCCCTTTCCTCTGCATTTCATTTACATAGGCATTCTTCTTTGCCTTTGTTTCTGTTGCATTTGTTCTGATAGACAGCCAGAATTGTATGCTTTGTTTTGATATAGACCCATTGAGCTTGCCAACATAAATATTGGTGGGTGTGCTTACACATAAAGGGGAATTGATGGACTCTCATGTTTCTGGACAGCTTGCCCAGCTGGGTATTTGAAACAATGCTTTGTCTCCTGTTTGTTTGTATTTCAGGTTTTCCATTCCTATTCTTGATAAATGATGTCTTGCTCTGCAAGATAGAAAACAATAGGGAGCATTCTCTTGCAGTCTATCAAAATACATGTAATCAGGCTGTAATACATGTAATCAGGCTCTAGTGCTGCCTTTACTTAAAAAACTTAATTAGAGCCCTTCCACATGGCCCCTCTGTGTGCACAGCACACTAAATTAAGTAGAAACTGTTTAATACTTTGCTAATTATGCACAAACAACATATTTTCCCCCATAGACAAAAATGAACCCCAGAGCCCTGCCACACAGCCATATAACTCAAAATATCAAGGCAGAAAATCCCACAATACCTGTTTTGAAGTGGGTTATCTGAGTCCACACTGCCATATATCCCAGTTCAAAGCAGGAAATGTGGGATTTTATTTAGCTGTGTGGAAAGGACCCAAGATGCCAGTGACTAGCAAGTACAAGAAGCAAATGTGCCCACTACAAATACTATTAACCCCAAAAAGACAACTCAAAGGGAACCTATAAATGAGGGCCCTTCCACGCAGGCATATAACCCAAAATATCAAGGCAGAAAATCCCACAATACCTGCTTTGAAGTGGGTTATTTCAGTCCACACTGCCATATATCCCAGTTCAAAGCAGAAATTGTGGGATTTTATTCAGCTGTGTGGAAGGGGCCTGAGAGACCTGCAAGAGCAATCAACTATCCTGCTCAAATCTTGCAAATTTACGGATGTGGCTTCCTTGATTGAATCAACCCACTGGTATTGCAGACTCTATTTTTCTACTGCCTTCTACTTTACCAGGCATTACTGACTCTTCCAGTGAGTCATATTATCTCATTATCTGCCCAAAGTATATCTGCCTCAATTTAGTAATCTTCTGTTCTAGTGAGAGTTAAGGGTTAATTTGTTCTAGAATCACTGAGTTGGAAGAGACTTCGTGGACCATCCATTCCAACCCTCTGGCAAGAAGCATTCAAAGATGGCCATCCAGCCTCTGTTTAAAAGCCTACAAAGAAGGAGTCTCCAACACACTCCGGGGCAGAGAGATCCACAGTTCAAAAGCATCTATCTTCCTTTGATCAGCCTTCCTTATGGTCCAGCTCTCGCATCCATAGGTTATTATGGGGAATACCATTGCTTTAACTATGCAGACCCGTGTTGCCAGTGTTATGTCTCTTCACTATGTTACAGATTTACAGATACATCTCAGTTAACAAAGCCTATGACAAAGGCCGAGTAGAGCAACAATCCTGTATACACATGGCAGCTATCACGTCTCCAAAGATTCAGCCAACATCCTCAGAATGCACAAATTGAAAAGACAGCTCAATCAGATACCAAGATTATTTTCGCTGGA